AAACTTTATAATATTTTCCTAAATTTACGTTCATCTCCTTCCTCACCTCTGCGACATCCAAACCCAAATTTCCGCCGATTTTTTTTTTTTCACTATTGTTGCTGTTTTAGCTCGGGTTTCTTGAGTTTTTTACTCAATTATAGCATATCTATCTATCATTATATGATTTTGAGTTTTAAATCCTGAAATCATTTTTCCATAAAAAAAAACCTCAAAAATCTAAGAGATTCACAATCACAAATCACAATCAAATGAGAAGAATGATCTTAAACAAAATAAATGATTCAAATTTCAGATCAGTCTTGGCCATTGATATATTTGTTTGTACATTATTTTTCTTTTCTTTTTATTAACTAATGTTTTGTCTAACTAAAATTAATATGGTACAAAATGTTATGGATGTAATTTTTTAGAGTGTTAGTGTATATGTGGAACAAAAACTTAGATTAAGTGCATTTGAGAGAATTTCTCTTTAAACAAAGTACTTGTATAATTTTCACTTTAAAAATAGAGAAAAGATATGATAAATTATCGGGTTACCAATTATACGATGGGGGCGCGGGAGTCAGAGATTTGATACTAATTTAGTTTTTTTAAAAAAATATTGAAACTCTAGTATATATTTTCTTTTGGGTGTTAACGATCGTGATTCGTGTTAGTATAGTGAGCAACATAAATAAAAAATTTCGTACAACAAGTTTACAATTTTATTTTTATTTTTTCATAAACAACGACAGACATATACAAATGGCTCTGTTGACTTCGTGACAATTTCATAAACTTAGATAGTGCCATCAGTTATATCAATATCATAGTTGCCTCTGCGTATGTTTCTAGTTTTTCTACAGATATAGATGAAAATATAATTAATACGAACAGCGATGGTACCATAATGTTCAATGTATCTTTACGATATATATATATATTATATTGGCATGGTAGGTTTTGAAATGTAGAAAACGTCGACGCTGACTTTTGCTATGGTGATCCGTTGTTTTCATCCTTACGATAATATATATATGTATCCCACAATCCACATGCTAACTTTTGCTAGTCTTTTTCCAATTAAAGTACCAAATAATCAACACAACAATAACACTAAAGTCTCTTCATGGCTTGACACTTTAGCTTTTTTAAGTTTTATAAATATGACACCTCAGCAAAAATAATCACTAATCAAAATATTTTATTAATACATCTCATCTACTTATTTTAATTTATAATATTAAATCTATTAAAAACCCAAATATTTTTTCTATTAATTTTTGTATTATTTTTTACCAAACACAAGCCCAAATAATTAATAATTTTATTTTTTTGCCAAATCTAAATCCAAATAATAAATAAAAACAAATAAAAAGTTAAATTATTATTTTCTTTTTTTTGCCAAAACCAAATCTAAATAATAAATAACAACAAATAAATAATAAAAAAAATTATAGCTATCAGTTTGTTTGACATAGACGTATATGATTGAAAAAGTGCAGGCTCAGCATCAACGATGCTTCTATGACAATAACACAAATAACTTTATGTTATAAGAAGCTCACACATCAGCAAAAATTTGAACCGATAAAAACATAACAATTTCTTAGTTTTCGCGGGAAAACACAATTTCACGGGAGATAAAACAATTTTTAGTTTTCGCGGGAAATTATAGTTTATTTGTTTTTGTAGGAAAGCGTGATTCTGGTCTTGGCGAGACAATTTTGTTTTCGCGGGAATTTTTTTTTGTTTTGGCGGGAATAGCCGATTTCTCAGTTTAGTGGGAAAATAAAGTTTTTTTGTTTTGACGGGAAATACAATTTCTCGATTTTTGTAAGAAAATAAAATTTCTCTATGCTAAATTTCCAAGTTAAAGTGTGTTTACAGTAACCAAAATTTAATTATTTAATTTTAACTAAAACTATATTTTAAGAGTTCAAACATAATTTTCTATTTAGTTCTAAAGCAATAGCAATGGTTTTGATATGAATGTTATTGATTATAGTTTGGTAGTTTCAGAAACAAATATTTATAATAAAATATTTTATAAATAAATAAATTTTATAATTCAAAATAATCATATTAATTAATAAATCTTTTTTTTAAATGACATTTTGCTTTATATAATTACAAAAAAGATCATGTGGTAATTGATTGGAGAAAATAGATTACATTTTCAAAAATGTATTGCTTTATTTTTAATATATATTTATAATTAGTTAGCTAACTAAATTTAATAGCAAATTATAATTTTGAAAAATAAATAAATAAAAAAATATATAATGTTTATATAGATTTAAAACATATAAATACATAACTTAAGTTAATAAAAAAATATAATATTCATTTACATTATAAAAATAATTTTATTATATTATAAATATATACAAAATTTAAAAAATATTCTGCAGCATAGCGCGGATAAATACCTAGTTACTCCTAATATGTCTATAGATGAAATTAAATTTATTGCAAAAGGTTCTCCAAGAGTCATGGCTGATTAAAATTCCGAGTCTTTTTGTTTCCGTTAAGTAACTTTTGCCCAAAACGCTATGCGTTCTTTGCCTTTATAAAATAAGTTGCAAATACTTCAACAAATAATGATTTTCTGCAACAGTAGTTGTAATTTTGGTTATAATTAAGAATATACATGACCCATATTCAATAGTTTATATAAGCGTCTCGAGAAAAAGAAAGTATATAATCGTATGTATCATAATGGACTATTGCTGTTGTTACTCATTCAACGATCATTATGAAATGTTTGCTTCTTAAGTAACATTGTGTTATGATCATGCAACACATTTGGCCTTGCTTGACGAAGCGAAAGAAGACCCGATTTTTTAAAACGAAATCAAGATTTTTAGAGAAACAGACACATGGAAGACTATCGCAAGGACATGTGTGATACAAAACGAAAAACTCCACTAAAAAATGTTTGTTTGTTGAGATTTTGTTTGGAGTTATAAATTAGATTAATAAATGGACGTATATATAGGACGAAGACACTCAGAGACAGTTCATGAACAAAAGTAAGAATTTTAAATTAGTGGATAAGATTTGATTTCATAATATATCATTGAGTATGGACTATTTGGTCCACCACTCCTTGACGTACGGGGATCCTTCAACTTTTTTAATTCATCGTGTCTACAATAGTCTTCTTTGTTTTTTTTAGGTTACACAGTAATAAACTTTATATACATGCATGAATAAACGTTTTTCAGTCTGTACCAATATCCAATATAATGGTTGATATGCTAATTATGGTAGTTACTTACCCGGTTGAGTGAACTGAAATTATTTCCGAAATCAAAACCATCAGGATTTCATGCAAACCATAAAAGCGCGATAAAGGAACAGAGTGTACACAACCGAAGAGACAGCCAGAGCCAGCATCATAAAGTCTTTGCATGTCCTTTTAGATGAGTAAATCATTCAGTTGAATTATTACAGTATCTTTTATTTGTCATCATATGATACGGATTTGTTTGGATAGTGATTGTCTAATCAATCACTTCATACTGAATAAAAGGTTTTATATAATTTTTTACTTTTGCTAATAGTCATAAATATTTTTACCATTAATTGATCATTTATTAGATGTTGCACTATATATATATATATATATTTATTTTTTAGTTTGGTTTTTTATGTTCATATGATTTTGAAAATAGTTAAGTTACATTTTTATAATAACTATAATTTATTTTTCTTATACTATTTGGTTTCAGTCGATGCAATTATTAATGACAAAATATTAATATATGTGTATATTTTTTTTTATAAATTTTGAAAATTTCATCTTTATATATAATATTTTGAAAGTTAAATCTTATGAATAAAACTGTAGGGAATCCATGTTCTAATAACATTAAATTTTAATACAATTACAATATTAACAATAACTAAATGTTTTGAATAATTTTTTTTTTATGGAATTTAAAAGTCTTTAAACTAATAATAATAGATTTTATTAAGATTTGATATATCTATAAACCAGTCTAATATATATTAAAGAGGAAGCATTAATGGTTTATGTGTCATTATCTTAGAATTTTAAATTTTTTAAATTTCAATAATGGTTAAAAACTTAAATAATTTATTCTTCCAACCAAACATAATTCAACCAAACAAAAACTTCTCTAATTATTTACTTTTTAATTACATTTATTATTTTAAAAATATACAATTAATATTTAGTTTTTTGTATATAATTTAAACAATTCGATTTAAATAAATATGATAGAAAATTTAAGTGAATTTTTGTTTTTTTAAAAAACATCTAACATATATTAAACAGAAAGCATTAGCTTGGGTGTCATTATCTCATTTTTAAATATTTTTATTGATTTATTTTTGTGTGCTATCCATATTACCAAACATTTTATTTTAAATCACTTAAATTAAATCGAATTTAAATCTAACCAATCACAAATAATTGGATAATTTCATTGATTTAGTAATTTAACTTAGTTACCTGTTTTATTAATGGAAATAAAAAATATTTTCATATTTTAGATCTACGAGTATTTATTGTTTCAACAGTTTTGATTTACATATTATATAAACGGAAGAAGAATATTATTAGATACCAAAATATTTTTTCAAATCTCGACTGAACATTTTTGAATATCTAAATATTTTTCAAAACTTAATAAATTATAGAATATTTCTTAAATATTTTTATAAATATTATTCCGCAAGAACGTGTGGATAGTAAATTAGTATCAACGAAAACTCAAAAATTTTAAAATCTTTTAAAATCTATCTAATTTTGTAATTTTGTGAGAGATATTTGGGCCTTTTCACTTTGGTGGACTACTCTCGGCCCACAATAGTTAAAAAAAAAGAAGATATTTATCGGCCCAAAATCAGTCCCTGGCTTCCTCTTCAAGCTCGCCCAAAGAAAGAAGTGTGCTAATCACTGAAGCAGACAGATTCTGTGAATTTGGTTGTCTTGAGAAATCCGATTCTGTAATTCTGAGTGCTTTGCCTCGTTTGGGTTTTGATTCATGGAGTTTGTTATTGAAGAAGGGAAGCGAGTGCATGAAGAATGCTCGACTTTGATTCTCGTAAGTTGTTTCGTCTACTTTTGCTTTTCCGATTTCGATCTGTTCTCTTCGGATATCTGTCCGTCTTTCAAATCGTATAAACTGCAGCTTGCTTGAGAAATTAGGTTGTAGTTGATGAGAAGTAGCAGCTCTACTTAAATTAGAAAACTCCCCCAACTTTCTTGAGAATTTTTTTTTTTTGAAATCCTCGGAAAAAGACATGAAATTTATTTGGGAACGAAGGGTTTTAGATAAACATTGATCTTTCTTATGAAACAGAAGTGTAGAGATTTGTAACTGAAGGAACCTAATCGGTTTTGTTTTGCCGACCAGCCAGCATTGTCAATTGGGAATGTAGGGCAGCTAGCTGTTGATCTTCTGGTGTCATCTACTGGTGCGGAGAGAGTTGGTTATCTCGACGACCCAAATCTGCTTCCTTGTGTTGGGAATGACGCCTATGGCTCTCTTCCTTGTGGCGAAATCGCTCTTCCTCTCGAGGGTTCGTTTCTCTCAAACTATGTGCTTCATTATACATTAGGCTTTTTTTCTGATTTGCCAATGTTATTGAATCGAGAAGCTGTATAGAGACTCTATTTTCTGTTGTATAGTTTGATGCGATAGATCTATGCCACTTTACATTGTTGAATCAGTCCTTTCCTCCTTGTGAGACCTCAAGGTTTTCTCTTTTCCTTTTTGTGTGTGTTTTCAGTTTATGAGTCATCTTCAACTGCTACTACTCTTGCCCAGCAAAGGTCTCCAGTTGCAAAGGTATTGCATTTATTTTCTCCTCGTCATGTTTTCTTCAGGATTGCATTCAATGCTTGTTTTGTTGGAAATTTTGTTTGGAGTATGAAAAGCCGTTAGTTTGAGTTTTCCTTCAGTAAGAAATTTGGTAACTTTAGTGTGACATTCTAAACTTATAATGTCGATTTAAAACAGGGAATGATGATTAAATTTGCGGAGAATATAGCCGAATTTGCTGCGTCGAGTGGAAAGAAGCATGTTATTGTGCTTTCGAGTTTAGACTTCCAAAGGCTGCATAACTTGGATATGTCAAGGTAACTATAACGTCTCCTTTTCCTTTTGTGATTGCTATTCATATGCCTTTAACGTAAAACTAAGCATGGACTTGTGCAAACAACATTAGAGATCTGTGAATCACGGAATTGATAGATAACTGAGATTCGCTTGCACCTTTGTTTTTTCTCTTTCATTAGTAAAAGCAAAGTCTTTTCCAGTTAATTTGTGTTCTTGGTCAATTATTTTAGAGGCCCACTGGTGTATTATCTGTCCAATGCCGAATCTGGTGGAAGAGACGATCACTGTGAAAGGCTCGGGTTTGGAAGATTGAACGAGTATGATGCAGAAGGAAGATGTTGGAAGTATCTTAGCTCCGTCTTTGAAGAGAACAGTAAAGAAGAGCTGACTTTCCCTTCAGAAGATGAGCTGGAAGACATAGACTACTACCCAAGCTTGCCATTTGCAGCTCTTTTCTCAGCTTTTAAGGTAAGAATGAATGATTTATCAACACACCGACTCATTCTACATAATTGAAACACTTACATGGTCTGCGTGGTTTATGTTGATGATTTAGGCAAGAGGCTTGAAAGTGACATGCCTCCTATGCTACTGTTCTGAAGGAGACAACATCCCTGATGCATTTCTTCTTGCAGAGGCTGCATCTAAGCTTACGGGTCTGAGTCCTGACAAGTTCCACGGTAAACATTATAATTTCTCTTCTGTCAAGGGTAATATATCATCTCGAGCAATCAAGTCGTGAGAGCCCGTGAAACTAATTATGGATATTTCTCATGTGCAGGAGAAGAAGGTGGGAAATGGCAGGTACCATATTCATGGAAGAGTATGTATGGAGCTCCTCCAGATATGTCCATGTTTTAAGACTGTTGTGAGCTCACAGATTCAGACAGAAAATATTATAGTCAAAGGGTGATACAGTGACGAGTTTATGAACACTTGAGATGGTTTAATAACCCGATCTAGACATTTTTTTTCTGGTTTTTCAATCATCAAATCTGCTACTATGGAACAAACATAACGATACCAAGTCTCTAGGAAATTCTATCAAGAATCATATAGTCTGTATCATTTTGTGTTCTGTAGATTGACAGATTTGCAATTTCGTGTTAAGTCAGTAACATAAATGTTGGGTGTTTAAAGTTTAAAACATGAGGAGGAGACACTAAACCAATACCCGAACCGAATCCTCAACCGAACATGATCTAAAGTCTTGAACTCAAGACTCATACCGATATACTTAAATGTGTGGATGCAAAGAAATAATTACCATGGACAATAGTGAAAGAAATATCTCCGGGACTGGAAAGAAAGTAGTTGAGCAATAAATTCTGGAGTCACTGTGTTTTATTGTATAGATAGGCCAAAGCCAAGTACTTCTGACCGGTTTTTAATTGCACCTTTATTGCCATCAGAAAATAAATATTCATATTTTATACTATACTATGATTTTTGTTCGTAAGTAGTTTCGGATCTTTGAAGAACTGTGGGTGGGATATTTGGACCTCACTCATGTATGAACAGCACAAATAAACTTGGCTAGTGGATTCTTTATTTGCTTATCTTGAAGATTAGTACAAACTACAAAGTATATATATATTTAAAAATAGCTGAGTCTTACACTTTGATTATTATATTCTTGGTTCTTGGACACTATCATATTAGTAAATCCAAGAATTCACATATGATGTAATTAAATAAGCATGTTTCTTCTGGTCATAGTAATAAAAATCATAGATAACAATGAGCCTACCGTCTAGAAGACAAAGGGAAACATATTTTCTACTTCGTTGGCTTATCAGGCAGTATGAACAAATGGAGGAAAAAGAAAGAAAATAGAGAAAGAAGAATTTTCATAAAGGCTTTGGGATACATACAACAACATAATAATAATAATAGAAAAAGTCGATGAAAAATCCACTTAAATAAAGTTCCCAAAACCATTAGTATCAGAGTGGGACACCACATCAAATCCACATTAAAATCAAACAACCCTAAAGGAGCACTATCCCTTTTATTATTCCTCATACTCCATATTGCTAATCTCTTATACCTAGTAAAAATGATGGTTATACAGTTAGTTATTTATAGAATAATAACCCCAATTTGAACAACCTAATAATAATGTACAATCTAAACATCCTATGTGACAAAAACTCCACGATTGGATTGCATCCAAATTTTGCAATTATTTGATTAATTATATGTATCGTTTTGGATCGTCATATTTGTCTGCAACAATTAAAAAAGCAAAACAATGACGTGGCAATTAATCTTCCCAATACCGTTTACCTTTAGTCAACTCCTTCTTTTTCCCAAATACTCATTTACGTTAAACATTTCACTGCAACCTCTGTTTTAGGCTCTTTCGTTCTTAGACATTTTTTTGTTTGTTTTTTTTACATAAATTACTAAACCACCATGCGATTCGCGGCGCCACCGCCGCGTTCCGGCAATATCTCACCGTTTCCTTCACCAGCTCCTTCACCGTATTTTTCACCGGCTCCTTCACCATATCTTTCACCGTTTTCCGGTGTATCTGAGGAGATTCTTTCCCGTTCTTCGGATCCTCCTTTGCAGTTTAGTCCTCCGTTGATCGCTATGGTGGTGGTTTTAGCTGCCGCTTTTCTTTTCGTGACGTACTCTCGCCTCATCTCCCGCCGTTTTATTTCGCCTATTTTCCGTCGTTTTCGACGGTGGCGATGCCGTCGGCGCCGTCTCCTTCACCTATCGTCGGCTTCCTCTGCTTCAACTTCATCTTCCGATCTCCGATCGTTCTCCCCTTTCCCTTTCGACTCCTTTCACTACTCCTCCTACTCGCCTTACGGGTTAGATGATTCCGTTATCAAAACGCTGCCGCTTTTCCTGTACTCCGCCGCCGCTTGCACCGGGAAGAGCGTTTCTGCTGCTGCGGTGGGGAAGACTTCCGCCGCCGTTGCGGATTGTGCTGTTTGTTTGTTGGAATTCGAGGAAGGAGACTATGTACGGACGCTTCCGCTATGCTTCCACGCTTTCCACCTTGAATGCATCGATGAATGGCTGCGATCTCACCCTAATTGTCCGCTCTGTCGTACGGCGATTCTGGGATCCACGGCTGCCGGCGTTTTGGCTCCTACGTCGCCGTTCGTCCCACTCATGGCTCCTCGGATTCGTCCAAGCTTCGATGATGAGAGTAACGCGATCATCATCCGCAGCGAAATTCCCCAGCGGAGCAATTGGAACACAATCGCGGCGGTGACGGTCGATCAGGAGATCACGGTATCAGTGGAAGAGCAATCACCGGCTATATCTCGGTTCCGGGAGCTGAAGAGATCATATTCCTTCGACTACGAGAGGGAAGAATCAGCATCAGAGAGAGTGACGATGGAGCCAGCGACGGTGTCTCCGTGGAGATACAGGAGATCTACGTGGAACAAGCAGCGGCAATCTCCGTTCGGAAACCTGATATCGAAATCTCGAGTGTTCTCGTTCCGGAACTACAGAGGCGCGAAATCGCCCTTCTTCCGGCGGCGATCGGGAGTGTTCTTCCCGATATCGGAGCGGATCCCAGCGACGGGGAGCTCATCGAGGCGGACGAAATCAATGACGAGCCCGATGTTCTTCAGAACAGCACCGCACTCGTCGAGCCGGCTAAGATGCGGAGATCCAGAGGCACTGTTGTCGCCGGAGAGGTGGAGGAGAAGGGACACGTGTAGGGTAGATATGTAGATGAAATCGGACGGTGGCGATGATAGGAAGAAAAACTGAAGTGGAAGGAGAGAGCATTAATGGAATGTGGGGTTTAAGCATTTAATGGAATTAAAATGGACGAAACAGAGAAAGAAAGAGAGATTCAGAAATGCTCAGCTTGCTCATCACAACAACAAGGTCCGTTTATTTATTTATTTATTTATTTTCCTATAATAACCATAACCTTATTTCACCTCTCTTATTTAATGCTCTTATTTTATTTTATTTTGGTTCTCTACGGATTTCATCTATGAATATCACAGTCATACAGAAAAACATTTTGAATTTTCCTGGCTATCATGTTTTGTTTTACAACCCTTACACAATTTACATTTATCTATATAATATACTAATCGATTTTAAAAAATCGAATGTGCAGGGCTCTCTATAGACAGGAGACGCCAAGACAGTGAAGGTAATGGAGCCCTTACACAATTTACATTTATCTATATAATATACTAATCGATTTTAAAAAATCGAATGTGCAGGGCTCTCTATAGACAGGAGACGCCAAGACAGTGAAGGTAATGGAGCCTATACGACGACGGTTGGCTCTTTTTTTTTTCTCTTGGAGTTATCAAATGCATTAATTTCCAAAGCTGCCCAAAGTTATTATAGAAACGAAGTCAACAAACCCATTAAATTTCGTTTCTGTAATAACTTTTAAATCGTCGGTGGCTAATTAATTTCTATTACGGTATTTTATGTTTTCTCAGCTGTTTGTGGCTTTGTTCATACTAATATTTGATGATTAAGTTTAACCAACCCAAATTAAATGATGATGTGTTAGTTTACCATGAAAAAACTGATGTTAACATTTCAGAATGTACTTATCTATTGCGTCATTGTTGTCCTAGAAAATGTACTAATCTCCCATCTCCACACGATTTTGAAATAATATAAAAAGCTAATGGTAACACTAGATTATATGGGAGCTAGAAGAACTGTTAGTCTTTTATAAATGTTTAGATCAATGGAATAAGAACTAATAATGTTAGCGGTTAAGTAAAGTAAACTACTTTGGAATACCTAAGGAAATATTCTAAAATGATTATGGTTCTACTATGTAAATTAATGGTGTTTTTTAAACAGTTTCATATAAGTAATTCTGGATTCTTTTGTTTTTCTTTTAGATGTTAAATATCATAAATACAAAAATATTTTAGTTATAACATCATAGATACAACAAATTGTTAGATGATGTAATAGCTGTGAAATATATAGACTTATGTTTTCGATTGGAAAAATTACTAGCTTTTGGATTTCATACTAGTTCAGCAATTCTCTTGCATTGTTCTCGGAAAGGCTGTTGCCTTCTTGGTAAAATTTGAAGTAGTCACGTAGATTTAATAATGATCTAAGAAGGCCTAATATAAAGCCCATAAATTTGGCTTCTTTTTTTGTTGTCGTAAAGCCCATATATCAATAAAAGTTGGCCCGCAAAACAAAACAAGGTGTAAGGTTTAAGGCGTGGTTTGAGGTTTTGGGTGGAGGGTTTTACAACTTGGAGAAGAAGACGACGACGACGACGCAGAGGAGACAGACATGTTTTCCGGAATGTTCATGAAAAAGCCAGAAAAAGCCGTGGCTCTGAAGGAACTGAAGCAAAATGTTGCTTTATTCGGCGGAGGGGTCGTCCTTATCCGTTTGGCTCCATACGTCCTAGCTTATTTCTCCGATTCCAAGCAAGAGCTCAAGATCGACCTCTAAGTATCGGTTCCAGTCGTTCTTTCCATTCGCATATTTGGATTTGAAATGTCAATTGGTAACAAGGTTTTGTACGATTTGGTGATTGTTTTTTTGTTCTCTGTCACACGTTTCGATTTGAGTAATTGCAATGTCGTAGCTTAAATTGACTAATTGAGTGATCTCTTTTAAGTTCTTACTGGTTTAGCCTGTTCACGACTGATGATAAATGACTGATTTAAGGCTTCAGATGTATAAACTTTGATGAGAATAAGTTCGAGGATGTACTTACTTGTATGCCTAGAAAAATCATCTCACAAGCCGTACTTTTTTTTTAATCTTCAAAATGCCATTTTAAAAATTAGGAATAGTACCCCCACCTTCACGGGGTTAATCTGCAGAATATTAAAGATTAAATAGAAATTTATTTAAAATAATTATAAATAAAATATATATATTAAAAATTTGAACATTCAAAATAATTTATAATTATTAAAATAAAAAGTTATTTTTCATGTTTTTTAATTATTAACAATAAGTTCTAAATGAAAATATATAAATTAATTATAATAAAAGTAAGTAAATTTTTACAAAATTTTCTAGGATTTTTATTACTAATAATTAATAGAAAAAATTAAAAACTGAAAATAAGATACACAACTTTTTAAGTATGTTAAAAAAAGTTATATATAAACATATACAATATAAATATATGATATAAATATGCGATTTTCTATTTGTATAATTATTAAAAAAATTGTATTCGTGTAAAAGTGTAAAGTAAAAAATAAGTTTAGAGGCAATCTTTCAAAAAAAGTTTATAAAACTATACATTTATTATTGAAAAGTTAGAAACAAAGAATTATGCTAAAAAATTGATATTTTTAAAAAATACTACAGAAACATTATATAATAAAAAATGATGTAACAAGATTTTATAATACATTTTCTAAGATTACTATAGTTTCTAAAAAAAGATTAACAATATTAAAAAAGTATATTACATATATATTAGTTAAAATATAAAAAAACTTTGATACTTTAAAAATACATATATAAATATATGTGAATGTGTTACGTTACATAAATATATTTCTCTGAATTTAAAAAAAAAAGAATTCAAATATTAGGTACTTTAAGTTTATAAACAACTAACAAAGAATATTAAAATTTGAAAATAACGCATTTAACTATGAATATATAAAGGGGAAATTGCTGAATATGACTCAAAACTTGAGTTGAAATGCAAAACTAGACCCCCCATTGCATGTTTGACAAAAATAACTCACAGGAGTAGTGAAATTACAACTTTAACCCTTATGACCAAACAAAAAAACGCCAACCTCAATTACTATTTTATCCCAGAGAAGTCTACTCGAGAAGTTAAGTAGACTTCTCGAGTAGATACATAACAACAAATATATACTTTTTTACACCTACTAAAAATAAAATTTGACAGAAAATAATCAATTTAAATCATCATAGATAAATTATGATAAAAATCAATACTAAGAAACTTCTCGAGTAGACTTCTCGGTTTCTCGAGTAGACTTCTCGAGTAGACTTCACGAATTTTTTTCTACATATATAAGGAGAGTTTAACCTAATTGTATTAACAATAAAGTCTCTCTCTATCTAAAAAACTGTCTCTCTCTCTTCTCCCTTCTCTCTGGCCATGAATTTCTTCTCCTTCCTCTCTTGCTATCAATATCCTCTCCATCCTCTCTATCTTGCATTCAGCCTCCTCTCACTTGCAGGTTATGGTAGTGGTAAGCAAATATGAGCTTTTGTGTTCCTCTTTTTGTTTGCTTTGTGTTCATATTGCAAATCTGAGCTTATTATTATAGATTTGAGCTTATTGTTATAGATCTAAGTTTATTTTTGTAGATATGAGTTTATTGTTGTATAAATTTTGTAGATTTTGTTAATTTTTTGTTATTATTGCAAAGCTGAATTTTGTTGATTTTTGTACAGATCTGAATGTTATAAATATAGTAGATTATTATTATAGATCCGAGCTTATTAGTTTAGATTTGAGATTATTGTTATAAATCTAAGTTTATATTTGTAGATCTGAGTTTATTGTTGTATAAATTTATTAGATTTTGTTCTAGATCTAAATTTTTCGTTATTGTTACAGAGCTGAATTTTGTTGATTTTTTCTGCAGATCTGAATGTAGACTTTTCGAGTAGACTTCTCGATCTTGAGCAGACTTCTCAAGCAGACTTCAGTTGCATACATAATTTTCAAAGATTTTAGTTTACTAGTAATTTCTTATGCCAGTTTTAAGATTTATAACTAGTGATCCTTAAATGTTTGTTTGTTTATAGGGTTATTTTCTTTGTAATGTTGAATTGCATTGAATTTTTTGTATCAAATTCCTGAATTATCTATGTTTATCTATTCTACAAAATAGACTTCTTCTGTCTCGAATAATCTTCTTAAAGACATTAACTTTACATAACTTATAAGTGATTCAGAGAGAGATTTCTCCCATTTATATCATATAACTTGTCAACCGAGTAGACTTCTCTTGTCTCGAGTAGACTTCTCCTGTCTCGAGTAGACTTCTCATGTCTCGAGTAGGCTTCTAAAAGACATTAATTTTACATAACTTAAAAGTGATTCAGAGGGACATTTCTCTCATTTATATCATATAACTTGTCAACCGAGTAGACTTCTCTTGTCTCGAGTAGACTTCTCATTGTCTCGAGTAGACTTCTTAAAGACATTAATTTTACATAACTTAAAGGTGACAACATTCGCCATCCTTTGCTATTCGCCCTCCTTTGCCAACATTCACCAAGAAGCTCACCATGTGTGCAACCATCTCTTAAGAACAACATTTGCCCTCCTTTGCTATTATCCACCTCGAACTGCCACACTGATTCACTCTTAACCCATTCTCCATAAACAGCGGGTATGTGAACCATTCTCTGTGAAAAAGAACAAAATCCAAACCACATTAGACATCAAAATTGCATAAGTAGACTTCTCTGAAAGTCGGATGAAGTCTACATAGTAGACTTCTAGAGTAGACTAAGAAGTCTACTCTTAATAAGCTAAGTATCATATAAAACATGAAAACTCATTCGACTATACCTATAAAATATAAACATGCAAAACTTATACATAAGCAAGAAAACTTAATAACAGAAGCTTAGGATCGCGAAAATCTTAAAAATTCGTTATATATTGTATAAAAATGATTTTTTTTTTAAAAACAAGAAAAGTAGACTTTTCGGATAAAAGTAGACTTCTCGCAGGTTAGTTTTGCAATTGCCAAAATATTAGTAGACTTCTCTATGAAAAGTAGACTTCTCCGAGAAGTCTACTTTCGTAAGTAGACTTCTCGCAGGTCATTTTTGCAATTGCAAAATATTTGACTTTTTGGTCAATTGCAAAAATGACCTGCGAGAAGTCTACTTACGAAAGTAGACTTCATTCGGACCAAGAGAAGTCTACTTTCGGAGCATTTTCGTAAATAAGTGAGAAAGATGAGGATTAGTTGGTCATTTGGATTTCTAAAAATAAAAGAAATTGATTAAAAATAATGGCAATTTCGTAAATAACTGAAACTATGAAGGATTGTTTGGACACAAAATGGCAAATGTTGGAAAGGTGATTTTTGTGGGTTAGATTTGCAATTCAAATCAAATTTTAGGTCATTTTTGCAAGAATCCCATATATAAATGCTTTTCATAAACAAAAAAATAACATAATATATATTAGTAACCAAAATACATATAATTTTTTTATAACAAAAATATCATTATATTTTGGTTGAATAAATTTTATTTTTCGGATGTAATTCATATAAAATAATCTTGTAATGAAACTGCTCATATTTTAGCCAAAACTGAACCCCCAAATGGAATCTTTCACTCATATTTAATATCTGAACTTCTTGGACTTTTAAAAACTTTATATCATGATAACATGTTATTGTAAATAAATATGTTTACGACAAAAAAAAAACTCACCAATAAAGTAAAAGTTAGACACAAATGATTTTTTGTGGTTTTGAGCAATATATATAGTTTTAAAAAGACAGAATAACAGTTGTAATGAAAAAACGCAACCATTTATAATGAAAAGATGCAACCATTTATAATGAAAAGACGCAACCATAAATTTTGAAATGACACAGCTTTAAGTGTAAATGACATTTATTCGGATTGTTAACAAAAAAATTAAATAACATAGTATATATTAGTAAACAAAACACATATAATTTATTTATGATAAAATGTTAGATTTTGGTTGAATAATTTTTATTTTTCTGACGTAATGCATGTAAAACAATCTTGTAATGAAACTGCTCATATTTTAGCCAAAACTGAACTCCCAAATTGAATCTTTTACTCAGATTTAATATCTGAACTTCTAGGACTTTTAAAAACTTTATATCATGATAACATGTTATAATAAATAAATATGTTTACGACAAAAAAAACTCACCAATAAAGTAAAAGTTAGACCCAAATGATTTTTTTGTGGTTTTAAGAAATATAAATAGTTTAAAAAAGATAGAATAACAATTGTAATGAAAAAACGTAACCATTTATAATGAAAAGATGCAACCATTTATAATGAAAAGACGCAACCACAAATTTTGAAACGACACAGCTTTAAGTGTAAATGACATTTATTCGGGTTGTTAACAAAAAAAATAAATAACATAATATATATTAGTAAACAAAACACATATAATTTATTTATGATAAAATATTAGATTTTGGTTGAATTAGTTTTATTTTTCTGATGTAATGCATGTAAAACAGTCTTGTTATAGAACTGCTCATATTTAGCCAAAACTGGACTTTCAAATGAAATTTTTTACTCAAATTCAATATCTGAACTCCGAGGACTTTTAAACATTTTGTATCGTGATAAAATGTTATGATAAATAAATAAGTTTACGACAAAAAAAAATACTATAGTAAGAAAGTAAAAGTTAGATCCAAATAATTTTTTCTGTGGTTTTGAGCAATATAAATAATTTTGAAAAGACACAAATTATAATTGATGAAAAAACGCAATCATTTATAGTGAAAAGATGCAACTATTTATAATGAAAAGACGCAACCATTAATTTTAAAAAGACACAATTTTTCAAAGTGCAATTGACATTTTTTCAGTTTGTTATTATATATAGATATAACATGATCTTCATTAAGGGTAATCATAATTGAAAAAAAATGCCACAATACAAGTTTTAACTATCAGATCGGAACCAAAAAAAAATAAAAAAACTCGGTTGTTTTCTTCTCAGAGAAGCAACCCAAATCTGAAATCATGTGCGACCCAGTCGATGGTGAATCTTCCATGCTTCTTGCTCCGACACTGCTGAATTTTATTTCTTGCATCGCAAGGCACAGAGTTCCCGATCAAGTCGAGGACAGCCACATGGCACACTTCAGTGTCCTTGGCATATAATTCCACGAGCTTCGGCAAAAGTATCTTGTTGTCTTTGGAGATTCCTACGTTTGATCTTACATACTCTTCTCTACCACATTCTAGCTCCATCATCACGTTCTTGGGAGTATATATACGAACCTAAAAAAAGCTATGTTTTAAACCTAATCTTTCATTTGAATGGCGTATAACACAAGACACGATATAATTGAGTCGGGAGATTATACTTACTGATGGATCTGAGAAGTTCCCAGAGCAAAGTGCGAAATGAAGAAGTGGCTCAGGGTGAGTTATAGCATAATCCCTACCCATGTCTCCAGCTTTACCCTTTGATCTAGACGCAAACAAGAATCTGAATACCTGCAAATAAGCAAATCCTTTTAAGCATTCTCTAATAAAACTTTAAAAGCCGAAAAATTCAGAACTGCGTATCAATCTTAGACTTGCCTGTCCTGGACGAGAGACACGGCAACGAAGAATTGAACTCTGAATGGTATCTAAGTTCAAGCTTCGACCTCCAACGTTATACGCAGCCTATATTACACAGAAGAAAAGCCCTAGACATTATTTGATGACTTGTTTCCTAAGTAAGACCTGCACCTTAAGTAAGATCACACACTACCTTCAGCAACCCAGATACCCTTTTCACACTATTTTTAGGGTTCCCATAGACAAGAATCGACTGCAAAAATGAACCCGAAACAACAAAATTAATGTACACAGGGATTAATCAAGTCAAAAATTTAGTTTCAGAAACATTACGTGCATAACCAAAGAGTTGTGTATGTTAATCCAGAAAGCTAGCTTCTCTTCATGATTCAACTTCCTTGGATTCACTCCTTCTAACTTACTAATAAGCGACCTAAACATTTAAATTTAATTATTCAATTGAATAAAAACAGAGTCTAATTTATATTAAACCAATAAGAAGTTTGATATATAGTAAGAGCCTGAGAATGAAAAAACCTGAAATGTTTTAAAGCAGGTTCAACTTCGTTTAACTTCTCTGAGTCTCTACATATCGATTTCACCATTAGTAATTTATCGTAAGGTCGGCTAATAGTCTTCAGACGCTCTTTCCCACGAAAAGGGCTGCTCGATTCTCGATCATCATCGAGAGAATCTGGATCCGCGAGTTGATGAAGTACTTCTGTTATACATTTGATCATCTCTTCCGACAAACTGTTCGGTGATTTGGTAACGTTTTCAGAAACACATGTCCCGACCATCGCATCGATATCGGCTTGCTGCAACCCAAAAAGTAGATCACCATTGATAAAAGAAAGAACTCAAAACCTAATTACCTAATAAAAACTTGCTTTTTACCTCAAGCATTGAGAAAGGAAGAGAGTGATGGTATGATGAGTCCATTGCTTGGGGAGACATTCTAAAGGAATAGCCTGAACAATGAGACAACGAAGAGTGGCTGCGGAATATTCCAGAGTCTTCTAGAACTTTCTGCGGGCTGCAGACTCTGTTCTTTGGTGAATCAATGAGTGTAGTAGACCCAAGAAGTAAATCCTCTGATCTCTCTGTCTTCTCTGATTCTAAGTTACTTGTAATTCTGTTGTTGAAGAACAACCTTCGGTATAACAGAAGAAGATATCTTTCTAAGTACATCACTTGCAGCTCCAAACCCGTGATTTCACTCACCAGCTTCTTTGCTTCCTAAACCAAGAAACCATAAAAACGTTTCTTTTAAATCTCAGAGAAGATATTCAATGGCTTGCTTGTACTCTAAGGCAGCAAAAGCTTAGTTGTTCTGTATAACCTTGGGGAAAGAAGGATCTTCGTTTCTACAATCTTCCAACAACAGTTTGCGTCGAAGGAATGTCTCCATTTCACGCCTCACTAGAACTTCATCTTCTTGAAGCAGGAAATCAATCTGCAGAATAAGAAGTTGAAAGATTTTAAGATCTGTTTTGATTTTTCTTAAAGAACCTAAGAAAATCTTGTAGGGGAAACATTGTTAAAACCTCATCACTCGAGACTCTTTGGGGATGTAATTTTCTTGATTTTACAAGAGATTTTAGCTGTTCTATCTCTCTCTGCAACGTTTGATCCTACAGAAGAACAACTTATGTTGAGCTGATGAACAGAAGAGGATGAAGAAAAAGCTTTTAGAAGCAAGAAATACAAATTTGACCCTTTTAAAGATTCTGACCATGTGAAATCGATCGATGTTGTAATTGCCTTCTCTTGATTTGTTGTTCTTGAGAGAAGTTTTAGGAACCGGATCGCTGGAGAAATGTCGGAAATAGCTGAAGCTTGTAAAGACAGGATTAATAAATCAAACATAAAGTAATGAAGAAGAAGAGACAGAACCTTCTAGAACGTTTGTGAATCGAAGTTGTTGTCGTCATGACTGTCTGAAGAGTTTTCTCTTGTGAAGTAACTTGAAATCCCCCGCCTAATATTATTTCTAAAGAGGTTTGTGATGTGAAAAAAACCAGAAGTAAAAACTACCCAACAGCTGAAAATCACTGAAACAAAGCATTGAATGAGATATATAAAACACTTTAGATTGTGACCCAAAAAAAAATTACAGAAGAAGAAGAAAGGAAAGGTTAAAGAACAGAGGGAAATTGCAGTGAATAGCATACATTTATACTTACTAGAAAAATCATACAATTGTACATACATTTTTTTAATATGTTTTCCTGAAAAAATAATATATTAAACTGTTTGATACTATGTTTTATTTTTGTTACTATAAATGCATATATATAATTTGCAACCAGTAAATGTATACACACATACAGATACAGTATGATATATCTTCTCATGTGTGAATGTATGCACATATTTCTATTAGTGGAACAAAATGAATAACATAGAAAAAAAAAAATCAATATCCGTGATCTATTCCATAAACTATTGAATAACTAATTTTCCGATTTGCTCTCACTCCTAAAGCCTAAAAATTATTTATGTCTAGCTGTAAATCTTCTCAAAGACAATAAGAACAAAGTGTCTAGTCTTAACTTTTTTTCTTGTCAACAATTAGTCTTAATTTGGGGTTTTATTTGTTTTGTTTTGAGTTGTAATTTTCTTTCATGCGTCAAGGTTTGTTTTGGGTTTGTAGTTTAGTTTAGTTCACAATATGGTTTTCCTTGAAAAAAATTACATATTTTTGTTTCATATCGTGATATCGTCCACATATTTCTGTTAAATACGAGTACTTTGTGAATAATTAAATACAACTCATGGTCAAAATCCCATTGTGTATAATTCGTTGTCGGATAAAAATCATTTGCATAATCATTATAGAAATAATTTGGCTATCTATCTGTTTCATCATTTATATTGACCAGTCTAAATCTTGGAAAGAAACTTACCTTTGATTGTAACACTTCACTATTAAAATAAAAACCGAATTATGTGTCTCTTTTTGGGTAATTGCATGAAAAGAAACAAACAATAGTATGTAATTATTGGTTTGACATCGGGTCTGATGTTTTATAAAGGCTACTTTTTATGCACACAAAAATCAGAAAGGAAAACTTACAAATTGGAGTTTTACTAATGTTTGTGTGTGTGTGTGAAGTTATAATGTTAATATATTGTATGATCATATTAGTTCCTATATTGGATTCTTTGTAAGCAAGATTCAAAATTAGTTGGAGCATGACTGTATATAGACAACGCACACTGAGATAGACTCGAGGGAGAGCTATTAACACTTGCAAAAGTCTAGTATAAGATTTTTAAAAAAATTTTGTTCCACGTGATTTTATATGGTGGCTACGTCAAGTCAAGTGGATCATTTCTAAAAGCTCCACTAAGATTCAAATTTTGTAATTGCATATTTGGCATTTCACGAATAATTTTAAAAAAAAAAGGTTCTTTTGACAAAGCATTATCCGCAAGAGTTACTATAATGGTAAATGACAAAAGTGTTTTTTGGTGGGTGACTTTTAATTAAAGAGATGCATGGAGTGGCAAAGCACTTGATTGAAAATGGTAAATGAAAGCCTTAAAAGCCATGAAAGGTGAGAAGCTGCAAAACCTTTTTTTCATAGAACAAATCTACCATACGTAGCTTAGAGAGATCGAGATGCATAATATTTAATACTATAGTACTCACACTATTCATTATTTATAACGAACTAGTCTTCAATTCAATAGCCAAGGACATGTACAACACACAACATTAATAAAATACGAAAAAAAAGAAATCATATTTACAAAATGTTGACTGAGTTGGTTTTGTTTGGAAGTGTTACATGCGATTAAACGTAAATTTCCAAGTGTTTTCAGGGTTTAATTATTGCTCGCCACTATAATATACAAAATTAATGAAAATTAAATAAAGAGAATCCAAGAGAGGTGATTAGGTTATAGTAGAAGATTCATATTTTGGGATTGTGTTCTTCGTTTTGTGGTTTCCTAAGTTTCTGCTCCGTAGTTTTCTCTCCGAGACGTAAGGCGACAACTCTTTTTTTGTCTTCTGAGTTTTTGTCTCGATTGCAACATTTTCAACACAAACTAATGTGACTCTTCTTACCATGCACATAGTAATTTATTACTCCTATGAATCGTTACAATCAGTAAATATATTTCTCTTACGGACGTATACACAACACTAAACAAACGCTTTTCTTTTTATATATTAACAATGTAATACAGAGTCTGTATACATTGTTTTAAACAGATTTAGCCTTACATATGTGAAGTTGATTGAATGAGAAAAGCTCACTTGAGAGATACAAGACGATCCCACAGTTTATGAATGATAAATTTGGATTATATATGTGAGAGAGAAACAATGGGTTATCAAATATGAGTATTTGAACAGAAGAATAATGTAAAACTCAAGAAGGCAAGATGAATGTTGTATGACTCTACATATAGGTTCACTGATTCATACCTGCAAAACTGAATTTCCCAATTTCTCTTTAAGAATCTGAAGTTTAGAAGAAGAAGCTCCAGGGTTTAAGGCCAATGCGCCTCACTCTCACACATAAGTAACTAATGATTGAAGACTGGAGATGGAAGCGGTGATGTTGGAGGCTTCATGTCCTCGTACCTGCATACATACGAGTCTATCAGCTCACATAAGAAGAAGTAATAACAATGAACGAACTTAGAGCCACAACGCTTCTTTCTCTCTCTATCTCACATTGTGTAAGGTGACAAAGGTCTTGGCTTTGGCTTATCAGCAGCATTGTCTTCTGAAGTAAGGGAAGTGTCTGTCACATTGTTCACAGTTTCTGCTTCTGGTACAGAAGAAGGTGGAGTCGTGTTCCTACACAAACAACAAGCAAAAAACCTGAGATTGTATAGATCGATTCCTTAAACTAGACCCAATTTTTTTTAAAGATCTAGTTTTTAGATACTTACACACTACCATCAACTGTTTCCAGCACATCATTGCCTCCAGGCAACTCTAAGTTTTCTTCTGCAGATGCTGTTTTCTCAGAGGCTGTTTCCTTAAGACCGGTTGATGCAGGAGTTGGCGAGGTTGGTGGTTTCAGGTCTGCGTAACTTCAAAACACAGTGACGATTCATTGAAGAGAAAAAAACAGACCACAAGCGGCTTATATGTATAGAGAGAGAGGAAAGTAATTAGTAGAAGAGGAAAAGTTTTTACGCTGCATAAGGAGAAAGAGGTCTCATTTTTGGCGTGATTGGTGCTTCTGTCTCAGTGATACTTGCTGCAACTGTTGAGCTTTCACCAGTATCAGAATCGGTTGGAGCAGGCGGCAATGAATCGCTCTTGCGGGTACCTGAAGCTTTAGGAGAGGGCGATGAAGGTGGTTTTAGATTTTCATAGCTGCAGCCAAGTAAAAAAGCATCAAACTTTCGTCATTGCAGCTCACATTTCTTTTAGTCAAACTGTGATGATATCAATAGAAACTTGTAGCCACACATAATAAATTTTCGATCTAGTGAGTCCTGAATATGATCCAAAAATACAATAATAAAGTAGTTACCTAGCATAAGGGGAAAGAGGCCTCTCTTTCTTTTCCTCAGCTTGCTTCACTTCTTCTTCTTCTTCTACTGCGACATTTGAGATAGTATCTGTCTCTTTCTTTTCCTCATCTTTCTTCACTTCTTCTTCTTCTTCTTCTACTGCGACGTTTGAGATAGTATCTGGCAGTGGAACTGCATTAGTCTCAACAGGAACCTCTGTGGCATCTACCTCCTTAGATTTGGTAGCACCAGGTGATGTGGCCGAAGATGGAATAGGAGATGTTGGAGGTTTCAAGTCTTCATAGCTATACACATTACCATAGAACACACAAAAAAAGAAACAATGTCCTGTCCACAAAGTCAGTTTAGTTACATATTCGATTTTTTTGCCTTTAAGGAAAAGAAGTTGTCTTACGCAGCATAAGGAGACAGCGGCCTAGGTTTCACATCTTTAACTTCAGCAGTTGCTTCATCCTCCTTGGGAGCTGTTGGTTCTTGAGTGACAGGCTTAGTAGGGACTGGTGTGACCTCTTTGGCTGCAACTGATTCCTGTCCACAGTCAAAAAATGCAGAGAGACAAAGATAAACATCTTATCACAGAAGAGCGATGATCAAGATTAGAGAAAAGAGAGAATGAAAATATTTGACCTTTGGTGGAGGTACATAGAGGCGCTTTGAAGGAATCTTTTCAAGAAGCTTTTCAATTGGAGTCAATGGCGCAGTTGTTTCAGCAACCACTTCCACAATCTTAGAGAAAGAAAGTTTAGGGTTCTTTGCCATACAAGCGAGCAATTCTGCAACCTGTAGATCAGTTAACAAGGAAGCAAAAAGAAATCCAAATCAAATCACTTCTTCATAGTAGGGTCATATCACTTGTGTTATAGACAAGGGAAAGAAAAAAATAATACCTGGAGATTTGAGACCTGACCACCAAACAATGTATCCTCTAGAGCAAGAGTGAGATTATGAGTTTCCTTGTATGCATCAGTGGGTCTCTCCATTCCTCCAGGCCTAACTATCTGAAGAAATCAAATGCAAAGCCAAGATTCTAAGGTATGGCACAATCTAAAGAGTCTGTCAAAACTGTCAAGTTTGGTGTTTAAAGATATTTTGTGAATCACACTCACTGCGTAATTGAGACCGCTTGCAATCAACGCTTCTTCAGCTTTTCTCTTCCAGCATAGAACTCCCCAGAATAGGCTTCAGAGACAAGATGTATACAAGAAGTCATATAACAAGAGAACATGCCATTTAGTTTTGTATATGCTTTTCTGTCAAAAGAGAAACATTACAGACTTACTTGAGAATCGCAGCCGGGAATCCAAATTTATTTGTCCCCAAGGATGTCACCAAAATGAAGTTATTAACTTTTGCAGATGTTGCTGCTCATTAAAAAAAACCCACAAAGAGGCAATGATGAAACAAGAAAGATAGGATGGAGAAATTAAAGAAACCGATTTTTATGTGTAGCTTTTTTGCTTTACCAGCATCAACAAGGTTTTTGGTGGCTAAGTAATCGATCCTGTAAGGACCGGTAATGTCGGAGATTTCTTTCTCGCTAGCACCGATACAGCATATAACCACTGATGCGTTTCCCAATGCAGGTTGTATTGAATCTGTCTTCTCCAAGTCACATTCCACAATTTCAAGCTTTTCTACAGCTGGGCTAAAGACACAGACACTGCCTGTTACTTTTCTTCTACCACAGACAAAACCACATTGTAGTAAATTCTAAAATCAAAACGTTTTCTTCTTACGTTGAGTTCCTTCATCTGTGTTCTGTAGCTTCATTTCCTTAACACTCTGCAAAGTAGTTAACATCACTTAAAAAATGATTAAACAATTGACTAGTAACAAATTTTTACAAGTGTTAATAATGTAAAGTTATATATACTTGCACAAGACTTGATGCTCTCTGAGCACTTCGAACTCCAGCTCTAACTCGAAATCCAAGCTTCAATAGCTCTCTGAATGAAAGAGAACTCTTTAAGCAACCAGCATTACTGTGAAATTACTCTTTCTTTAAACTTAATAAAAGAAACAAGAAACTAACCTCACAGTTCTAGAACCAACTTTACCCGTAGCACCAGCTACAAAGACAAGGTCTTGTTCCTTAGATGATCCTATGTTCGTTGGGTTGGCTTCTGTTACCCCTGAGCTTGCTTTGATGGGGCCTTTGTTTAATTTACAAGGAAAAGAAACTAATTAATGAAACTGAAGAAGACAACATTACATAAGCCATAATCAGCGAGACCCGTTTCAGCGAGAAGCAAGCAAAAGTTGGAAATTCGACATTACCTGAAGCTCTGAGGCTAAGATCGAAAGACCTGGACTTTACAGAATCGGAGTGATTCTTCAAAGCTGAAAACCTGACAATCCGATTGTTCTTCAATCCTCGGAGAAGGAACCGTTGTCTGGGAAGAGAGGGCAATGTTGTTAGAGGTTGCCCTCGGAGAAAACTAGTTCCTTCCATTGTTAGAGTTAGTGTTGTTTCTTGACTTAGACTCTGTAAAGTTTGTCCTCTAAAGAAGCAAATTTTTATCTTCTGGATGCAGAGAGACGAAGAGTTCTTCGGCCACTGCATCCTGATATGATGGGACCCACATAACATCATAAAGAGACCAATGAAATGTTTGATGGAATGCTGACATGGCAATGTTGATTTTGTTCGGTTTAGTTCAAACCATTTTTGAATTTGAACAAACTTGGCTGTTATTTCCTCCTTATTTCATACAGAACCGGTTTTAAAACTAATTTTCTGGTTTATCTGCAGATATAAAATCGAACCGGGCTGAAGATAAACACGAGTGACGAAGAAACCAATGGCTAATTCTGCTGTTACCGTTGCTTCACTTCATCTTCAACCTCTCTCCTCATTCACGCCGTCTTCCTCTCTTCCTCCGAACTCTAGACCTCTGTATCTCAAATTCCAGACCTCTCACCGGGAAAATCTAAGATACCTCTCTTCCCTCGGGGTAATCCCTCAAAATCCCCGTTTTGCCCCTCCGGTTGACAACCTTCCCGTTATCCTATCCGCCGTGAACTTTCTAAAATCAAAGGGAATCTCCGACGAAGATTTCCCTCGCCTCGTCTTCCTCTGTCCCCAGCTCTTCTCTCCGACTTTCGACATCTCCAGAATCGATCCCGTCTTCGATTTTCTCACCGGCGAGCTCGGAGCTTCCGCCGCGGAATCCAGAGGATTGATCGTGAACTGCCCGAACATCCTCCTCTCCGACGTCGAGTACTGCTTGAGACCGACGCTGGTTTACCTAAAGGAGCTAGGGTTACAGAATCTGAACAGAGCGAGCAAGACGAACGCGCACGTGCTCAACACGAGGGTGGAGAAGCTAAGAGCTAAGATGAGGTTCCTAAAGAGCATAGGGTTCGGATACGAGGAAGCAGCTAGAGTCTGCGGGAGAATCCCAGCGATATTCGGGTACAGCGTGGAAGATAACTTGAGGCCCAAGTTCGAGTTTCTGGTTTACGACATGGAAAGAGAGATCGAAGAGCTGAAGAAGTTTCCGCAGTACTTTGGGTTTAGCTTGGGGAAGAGGATAAAGCCAAGGCATTGGCATTTGAAGAAGAAGAACGTTAGGGTTTCTCTTAGTAGAATGCTCATGTTGGGTGATCTCAAATTCTACTCCAAATGGAAACCATGAAAAAAAAAAACAGAGCAGTCTCTCTTTTTTTTTCCTTTGTTTCACTGTTAAATATTCAAATCTGTATTTTCAGGAAATCTGAAAGCTCTGCAAGAAAATTTTGCATTGCGTTTCAAATGAAAAGAGAAGCATCTATATTTGCGAAAGGAACTTAAATCTAGGGCGCAATCACAAGTCTCTCTTTCAAGGCTGACGAATTAGAAGCTCGATATCCGTACCAACTTCTGCAATCTTGGCTTCCTTAGAGGACTTTGCTGATTTCGCAATGCTCTCTACATCAAAATCTATCGCTATCTTCTTCACGAGGCCTTCAAGCATCTGCCATTACAGAAACACATACACCGATAAAGATTATGATTGTGACCAACAACTATATATATATTCTTCTCAAGAGGAACAACTCTAGTGGTTTGCGAACTAACCAGCGAGCCGATTGCTACCAAACTCCGGAACTTGGAATCAACGTCTGCAGCTTCCTCTTCTGCAATCTGAAATAAGTTTCATCTTTTCAGCCCAAAGATGATAATACAATCTTTGGTTCTACGAGAGATTCAAGAAACTTTTTGGTACATTGATTCTCTCAGATTTTAACTTTTATCTCAGAGTTTTGTGCAAGTGATAGAGTGACTACAACAGTTAATCTCCAATTCAGTGTTGAGATATGAATGGAATATACATACGCACGGTGGTGAAAATAACCAAATTTAGTCCTACCTGCAATGCTGCTGAAAGGACTTGGGATTGGCCTTCTTGATCCTTCTTTTCGATTAATAGCACTGCATAACTGCAGGGGGAAAAAACACATAGATCATGGTGTTGATGTTATGTGTTTGATAAAAAAACTCAGCAGTGAGTATTATATAGATCATAGCTACGATATGGCATGACTCCAACTAGGACAAAAGTAATATAAAAGAGATCTTACTTGAGAAGCAACGTCGAATAAGCCAACTGCAGGTTCTTATTTGGGGATGAATAACAGTTTGAGAAGGCATCAAGAATCTGCATTGAACGACAAGCAAAAAATAAAGGCTGAGAGTAGCAGAGAGAGACCACTTGTTCAAATTACCATAATAAAGCACATCTAGGCACTATGGTAAAATGTAACTAGAAACTTCATTTCTACTCCCAGACGCAGCTCAAACACGGATACTAGACACAGAAACCAAATGTTCCTCCTCACAGCCTGAGACTGAGAGTCACGGCTAAACCAGTATTTGGTTCATAGAGATTTATCACAGGTTCCAATTATCATATACAACTATAGAAACAAGATAGTACTTACTTGACTGTGATGTCTCTGTAGCCAGTAATGAAATGAAGAATTCTTGAATAGATTAACTAGGACACGAACAGTTGTTAAAAGATTTGCAGGAAGAGCAGGATCTCCTGTGACTTTCTTTATCACATCCAAAAGCAGGTCTGATTCAATTTAAAATAACAGAGAGATACAAGTTAATAAAGGGCATTAGCTGATACTTTAATTCACATTGAAAATTCATAGCTTCACGTGACAGATGATTACCATTGTTGTTTTCCACATGCTTGATAAGTAGGCTTGCTCCATGAGGATGTAACACGACCATCCTGAATATATCAGTAGCTGCATATTCAAAAACCATAAGCATAAGAGCATGACTCCAACAGCAAAACATAAGGCTATATATATCCAACAATTGACACATTAATAAAGTGGCTAGCAAAAGGCAAAATGCTTCATGGCCTACCAGGGAACATAATTGCTGGTGGCCATGCTCGTAGCACTTTTAAAAGCAAAGCAATATCCATGTCAGCAAAATTGCTAGAGTGGTAGTGTGATGTGTCCTTGAGTATTTTAACGATTGCCCCTACTCTGGATACTTCGGCTTCTGTCAGGGACTTGTCACTATTTACCTTCAAAAGATGGAAAAAACTATTCAGAAACATAAATCACCAAAACTAGTATAAGTGAAATAATCATTGGATCATTTTTTTCGTGCAACTGTAGTCGTCTGCAAAAAGTTATTACTGAGAGCTTACTGGGTCAGATTGTAATGCATTGTTGAACTCTGTCATCTTTTTCAGAATCCCGTCATATTGGGCAACATCGAAAACTAGCACACCTTTCTGGAGAAAACAATGGAAGAAAAAAGAATCAATAGCTAGAAACGACAACAGGAATTAAGAAAGAAAATTAAGGATTCCAGCGTACTTTTGGAATGTGCTTGTACAAAGGTTTTGTCGGAGTTGCTGCAACAGAAAAGAGTCAAAATGCATGAGTCAAACGGAAGATAACCCTAATGAAACTTGAGTATTATGTGCAAATAACCCAGATGCTGTATTAATACCAGCTGTCTGAGATGACTGCCCAGGCACATAAGCGTTTGCTGTTATACAGAGAAGGCAAACATAAAATTACAATAAAATCCTACAAGCAAAGTTTCAAACCAAATCTTATCGAAAACATGTGATTATTTACCGCCTGTGAAGGGATCGCGAAAAGATGGATTGAAACTGAAGTCTTTCTGCCCAGAATTTTGTAATATAAATTCAACAATCTGCTGTCGATATGCAAAGGGAAGATTCTCTTTTAGAAGCCACTTGTCAGCTGCATCATAAGGATTGTCTGCCAAACAAGAAAACATTTGAAAGTATAAAATAAATTGAAGCACTTGCACTTGCACTTGGAAATACGATATGGCCAGAATCACAGTTCAGGTACCTGATCGATTGTAAGGTAGCTTCCGGATAGGTTCCCCATCACCAATGTCAACATCAAAAACTAGAAGGAAAAAAACCGGTTAATAATGTTGTTAACTTAAAATGATTCTGAAGTTTCCATAAAAGTTTAAAATCTAACCAAAATCATACTGAACGCCATCGTGGATTGGACGGTCAGCCGCACCATCTGGACCATCAACAACCTCACCAATCTGAAAATTAAGGAGACATGCGACCACATGTTAGAGATAAATCATTCTACCACAAGTTATATGTATATTCATGTATTCAAGTCGAGAGCAGAAATGGCATGCAGTCAGCAAAACAGGGTTAAATGAAATAGATAAAAGCTCATTATGTTGACTTACTTTGTCCCATCTCTGTTCGCTCATATTCCATGCATAAGCAACACCATTGTCTCCTTCCCTCACGACTTTTGTCTGGCCATCACTGGTACCTGAGAGAATACGTGAAATACTAGAAGATGTTACAAGAATGAACATAGCCAGACAGTATCAATTACAGCTGCGCAGTTATCTATGTGTTCTCTTGAGATTTCTATTAAATTGAAAAGTTAATAATACAAAATTTGGATAGTTAGTGGCACCTGGTAATGTCAAAGCATCAAGCCCTGGCAGTTCGTCAAGTTTCATTCCCCCCACCTTTTTCCTGAGATAAAAGAAGATATATTTTGCAGTTATTTTCCGAGGATAAAAGACACACAATCATGAAACTGCCTCGTGGAAAAAAAAATGATCAGATCACCTGCTCAGTTTGTACTGAGAAAGTTGGGAATCATAGGCATCAATCTCCATCTGATCGGCAATCATGTCACCGCGTACTGTCCACACACGAACCACCCCATCAGAACATGCAGTCACAATATCCCCGGTCTCCAAGAACTTGGCATCCCAGACACAGCCTGGGTGTTCCAAACTCTGGACACATACTCCATCTGTACCAAACAATATCAGCAAAGGAAGAACAACGGATCAATATATAAGAAAAGAACATGCTTTATAACATAGAGAGACAAAAGGGAAAGCATGATCACCTTTCCATATCTTGGCATATCTATCTTCACTGCCACTAACGATAAGTCCAGATGCATGTGCATCAACTGAATACACAATGGAGGTGTGGCCAACCATCTCCAAAAGAACTTCGCCACTTAGAGCCCATAACCTGATTGAGCTGTTTATATAAAATAAAATAGGGATTAAATAACAGAATATATAATCACTAGATCACAAAAACTTATCCAGGTCATGCAAGAGACAGCAAATTCCGATTTAAGCACAAAAGGACGAGGTCATGGATGAGCGTCATTCACTTGGGAAATTGCAGTAAGTAAGGCAAGAGGTTATTGGAAGCAAAGAACTTACCCATCATGTGATGCTGAAAGAAATCCTAAATCAGGCATCACGGCTAAACCTCTAACAGTATCTGCATTGTAAAGTAATCGTAATTGTATAAGACAATAGTTTCTCCGATGAAAAAAATACCTGACAACAGGTTAGTCTGCAACTAGTATCAGATTCTGTCTTATTTCGTTTGCCGGTTTCTCATTTTGACAAAGAAATTTGAGAGAAATGAAAAGTTAGAGAGGCACAAAGAAATTCACCTGCATGCCCTGCAAAAGTCCGTTCACTTGTTTTCCCCTTCCAGAGTTTGAGAGTGGTGTCACTTGAACCTGAAACGAGCTCACCAGATGGCAGCTTTATGACTGTCTGGACGGGAGACTGGTGTGCCTCCCAAGATTCAACAAGTTGACCGTTTCTCCACCGTTTCAGAGTTCTTCAGAAAAAAAAATAAAATCAAAATGAGAACTTAAGTCACACTACACAACAGGATTCCAATATTTGGTGGATCTCTTTACCTCAGTATTACTAAAGCTAGTGATAAGCTACATCAAGACTATAGAAAATAATGTGAACAGGAGTAAGACTTACTGATCAACTGAAGACGAAACTATGTCATCATCATCAAGGGTAACACCAGTGACTTGCATCTTATGACCCTTCAATGCCTGAACAACCTCTCCATTTACCAGGTTCCATACGAGAACGGAAGTGTCCATGCTCCCGGAGACGAGCCTGCCTTCGGGGTAATCCTCACTCGGCGGAATCCATGCAAGCGGTCCGACGAAGCTTGTATGGCCCAGCAGAATTTTAGAAGATGAATACTTGCGGTTATCAGAATCCAGCGACCATATCCTTATGGTTCTGTCTCTTGATGAGCTAGCTATATTCTCATCAGTGCACACACATATTCCACGAACCTGATTTACCAATTTACAGTTGATTTGATTCATTAGCGTTAGGTCAATAGCATAAGGTCAATCATCACAGTACCAGCATCCAAAAACATTAATGACATTGGCACGCAAGGTTAAGCATCTAAATATCTCCGAAAATTTTCATTACGACCCACACATCGCGGTGAGAAATTGTCGAATCCGTAGATGAAATTGAAGCAGGACGGAATGCAATTTAAGAAAATTCCAAAGGTGGAATCACGGGGATGAATTATGCTAACACCATCCAAAGTTTTAAGAGTTCGGGTTTCAAAATCTAGAGGAAGAATCGATCGATCAATAAAAGGAGAAAAAACACAGTGAAGTAAGAAGTGGAATTCGCGAGAGATCTTACATCGTCATCGTGGCCACGAAGCTCGCACCTGAGCTTGTACTCGTTGAAATCGATATCCATCATGACTCTGAGAAGTAGCAGCAGCAGAGGGAGACGAAACAGCAAATAAAAGGCGACTCAAAAGTGACTTGCGGGAGGAGGAAAACTGAGAGAGAAGAAGAGGATCTTAATCTTCCTAAGGAAAATTAAATATCAGATATGTTTTTCTTAAAGTATATGTTTATGTTGTTCTTCTTTTGTTCATTTTAAATTTGGGATACAAGACATAGGAACAAATTACTTATGGGCTTTTTAAAAGCCCGACCCAATTTAGATACTGGTTTGATTTCTTTTCAATTTCTTAATTAGATGAATATAATGAGTGACCGGATATGAACAACATGGTGACGTGTGTAGAATTTAATATATACGAAAAAGGAGGGGACAGTGGTTTAAATTTCCGCACCTTCCTTGGATAGCGAGTACTTTCTTAGTGAATGGCATAAATCGTAATTACCAGCCACCTCCGAGCCCCTTTCCAAAACCGGTCCTTGTCCATCTTTTCTCGGCCATTGATTCTTCTTCTTCTTCTCCTTCTTCTGCACTGTTTATAAAACCCCGAAGCAGCCTCATTTCCATGGTAAGCTGTCTTCTTCTTCCATCTCGTTTCCGAAATATTTTTCAGAAAACAAAAAGAAAAATCCCATACTTCATTTTACATCTGCATTGCAAAATACACTTGTAATGCTCTGTGTGTTCTGGTTGTCTCCTTACTGAGATTTGAGCTTGAATCTTGATAATCATGGTCGGTAGTTTCTTTTAGGACATTGCGTATATGTGAAGTTTGGTTTTTTAAATCAAACGATAAGTCAGATCCTTGGATTCTTAGTTTGATTTTTTTAAATCTATCTATCATCTTTCAACCTTTAGTTTTCATAGGAATCCTTAAGATCTTCTCAGCTTCTTATAAACTTTCATCAGTTTACATTTTCTGTTGATTAATATTATGTTCTGTCAAGTTCTTAAGTATGTTTGATCATATGTAAATGCAGGCGAAGTAATATGGTGTCCAACAACTCTATTGATGATGATGATGATGATGTTGTAACCATATAAGCTTCGTGAAATCAAGAACAGACACAACAGGAGGCTATATAGATTATTATCTTTAAGGTGTAATAACAAAAATGGAAAAGAAACTTACAAAGAGTGAAGACTCTAATAACATGTCTCTGATTAGAGCGTTAAGAGGTATAATATGTCTGATGGTATTGGTATCAACAGCTTTTATGATGTTGATTTTCTGGGGGTTCCTATCAGCTGTAGTCTTGAGGCTTTTCAGCATACGTTACAGCCGTAAATGCGTGTCCATCTTCTTCGGCTCGTGGCTCGCGTTGTGGCCTTTCTTATTCGAGAAGATAAACAGAACCAAAGTTATCTTCTCTGGAGATAAGGTCCCCTGTGAGGAACGAGTATTGCTCATAGCGAATCACCGCACGGAAGTTGACTGGATGTACTTCTGGGATCTTGCGCTGCGTAAAGGACAGATAGGGAGTATGAAGTATGTGCTCAAGAGCAGTTTGATGAAGTTGCCTCTCTTTGGTTGGGCGTTTCATCTCTTTGAGTTTATCCCCGTTGAGAGGAAATGGGAAGTCGATGAAGCAAACTTGAGGCAGATCGTTTCGAGTTTTAAAGATCCTCGAGATGCTTTATGGCTTGCTCTTTTCCCTGAAGGCACAGATTACACGTAAGTTCCCTTGTCTTCTTTTGGAGTGATGATCTGTTCTTGTTTAGCAAAACCCTTTTGGTTAAAAGCAATTTTTACTAATGCAGAGAGGCTAAATGCGAAAGGAGCAAGAAATTTGCAGCTGAAAATGGGTTTCCGATACTGAACAACGTGCTGCTTCCAAGAACAAAAGGTTTCGTCTCCTGCTTGCAAGAACTTAGTTGCTCACTTGATGCAGGTTTGTTTATACTTTTTTGCAATCAGTGATTTGAGCAAAAGCAAACTCTTATGCAACTTTCTTGCAGTTTATGATGTGACCATAGGTTATAAAACACGTTGCCCGTCTTTCTTAGACAATGTCTACGGTATTGAGCCATCAGAAGTTCACATTCACATCCGTCGTATCAGCCTAACACAAATCCCAAATCAAGAAAAGGAAATCAATTCTTGGTTAATGAACACATTCCAGCTCAAAGACCAGCTGCTCAATGACTTCTACTCACGTGGACATTTCCCTAACGAAGGAACAGAGAAAGAGTTCAACACAGTGAAGTACCTCACAAACTGCTTGGCAGTGATTGTCTTCACGATCATCTGTACGCATCTCACCTTCTTCTCGTCGATGATTTGGTTCAAGATCTATGTCTCTTTGGTCTGTGTTTACTTGACCTCTGCTACACATTTCAATCTTCGCTCTGTTCCACTTGTCGAGACTGCCAAAAAAGCCTTCAAATTAGTAAACAAATAAACTCTCAATTCTTGTTCGACTCAAATGGAGGAGTAATGTTTTCCTTTTACTATTACTATAATTTGTACTTATGAAATGTGAGCTCAAGCTGCAATAAATGATGAACTCTGTTTTAGAATGTCTTCATACATTTATCTACACATGTTAGCTCATAGCTTGGCAGATAAAGAACACAACATGCAACCATAAATGTATAAGACACATTTGGCCACTACAGTTTTACCAAAAAGAGGATAACACATCGATTATTATCATTAATAAATTGTCAAATTGGGATAATACGTCCAAGATAAATCAAAAGTAAAAGAAGTTGCATACTTTATTTATTTAGGTTTGCATATGAAAGCAATTAAATTTGAGCCCCCAAATACAGTTTGAGGCCACCAAAGAACGCCCGTGACAAGTTAGCACATTGGAACATAGTTAATACCAACGTCTCACGGGTCTTCGTACTTTATAGTATACAAATTACATTATATTAAATTCATCACAAGACAACAACAAAAATATAAAATTTATATATACTACATGTTTAGTGTAGACCATTTTTTCGACATTCGCTATTTCCCCTACACATGCTCTTAAATGTATATGGATATTGAATAATATGCACAGGAGATTAGTTCTGAGATTACTCACAAGATTCTTGTCTTATGTGATGTTAGGGACCCATGTTATCATGTTAATCTCAAAAATTTGTAGACCTAATGACACCAGTAACGTGCCTATCCTCTCTATATAAACCCTATTAATTCTAGGTAGCCAAGCCTAACCTAAGTTAGGAGAAGAGCAAAGCCACCAAATAGTTGCAAAACCAATTGGTGAAAAACTCTCTCAAAGTACTCAAAAGCCATGGAGCCAAACACTAAGCTTGTCGTTATTACCTTGGTTCTTGCCTTGACACTCACGGCAGCAACTGGACAGTTCTGCGGTATGACCTACACCGATCTCATTTCTTGCAAGCCCTATGTGCAGACTAAGAACCCGACCACCGACATTGATCGCGACGGTCCTTGCTGCACTGCCCTGAAAACTGCCGACTTCGAGTGTCTCTGCAAGGAGAAAACCAAACCCCATCTTTTTCTCAGCGGGATCGACCTTGACCTCGCTTCTAAGCTCCCGGAGAAGTGTGGTTTATCAAATAAAAGTTGCTAGGACATGTTTTCTTTTGGAAGGTTTCGCTTTTGTGTTTTGATTTTCTTCATGAGTCCATGGTTTTCTTACACTGCTTTCTGTTGCTGTTGTTGTTATGTGTTGTTGGTTTGATGATGTTTCAGTTGTTGTCGTAACTGCTTTGTGTTGCTTTATTTCTTCAAAATAATAAGATTTTCTGTCAACAAGCCGGTGTCCTTCAACTCTAAAACATGTTACAGACAAGATGAGAGATGAATAAAGACAAAAGATTCCACTGGTACTCTACTCACATGACCTTGACGTGTGGTTGAGCTAAGTTAAGACTTAAGCGGCCCTTCCATCAATGGAAGAGGTTTTATATAACCACTTAAGATAAGAAAACTGATGGTTTATTGTTTCTGAATCTTCAAATTTTGCGATAACAGTCGCATTACAGTACAAGATAAGAACAATGGTTCCTTTGGCTGATGCAACAGCTAACTGTGCAATAGAATCAAACTACCAAAAATCAAAGAAACGAATCGTAAATGGCAAACGAATCTCTTAAGAACACAAAGACAGAGATCATCAACCTTGGGTCATGTCAGTATTCTATAATAATGTACAGAAAATTGATACCTACCTCTCTCTCTCTCTTACAACCTGGTTTCAGTCATTTCAGACAAATCCTTGGTCACAAAATGAAGCATGGCATATATAGCTTCTGTTTTGAAATGGGAAATAGCAGAGGAAGTGAACATATGAACTTGATTATCGATATATGCCCAGCTGCACCCAGAAAACTTTCCCAGCTCCTTCCCTCTCATACCATTCCGTATCCGTCTCATCTCATCCCATCTACCAGACGATGCATAAGCGTTAGCTAGTTGAATATAACGAGACCCGTTAGATCCTTCAATGGCTAACAATCTCTCTTCCACTTCCTTCACAAGCTCTGTATTCTTATTCCAGATACAAGCATTTAAAAACGCTCCAAGAACAACAGCATCTTCCTCAACTTGATCAATACCTTCCATAAGTTCTATAGCTTTGTCTAACCTATTGGCCTTTCCATACAAATCAATCATGCAGGTATAGTGACCAACCTCAGGGGACATGTTGTAAACCTCTTTCATCGACTTGAAGTATTGTTCGCCTTCTAGAACTAAGCCACGGTGACGACAAGCTGATAGGAGAGCCATAAACGTGATTTCATCCGGCTTAAATCCACACTCAGTCATGTCTTCAAAAAGCTGGAAAGATTTCGCTTCATGGCCGTGATGAGCATAACCAGCTATCATGGCGTTGTACATAACTGTGTCTCTCTCGAAGCTACTGTCAAAGACCTTTTCAGCATACTCCACATCTCCGCATTTCGAATACATGTCAACAAACGCAGTAACAAGTTTCTTATCCATTGAAACGCCTGTTCTCAAGCTGTGACCGTGAATCTCCTTCCCCGGTTCCACAGAAGCTTGTAAAGAGCATGCACCAAGGATGCTAACCATGACCAGAGAATCAGGAATGTTGTTCTCCTTGGCTATAAACTCTCGTGCAAGTTCAAACACAGAATCAGGTTCCCGTAGATTGAGATATCCCAAGAACATCGCAGTCCAAACCACAATGTTTTTCTCAGATAAAGAATCAAACAACCTTTTCGCGTCCACCATCTTTCCCTGAGACGAGTAACCAACGATCATTGAAGAAGTTGAATACAAGTTGCCAGAACCATACAACAAATGCGCAGACTCCGCGTACTTCATGTTCCCACACTTACAGTAAACATCAACGATTCCACTGCTCACGAACTTATTAGCATATGATCCATCCTTCAATACACGAGCATGTACTTCTTTTCCAATCTTCACGTTCTTTAAACTACTCAGAACATTCAGTACAGCAGCAGTAGTGTGTTCGTCCCATTTCAACCCACTTTCCTCCATAGTAACAGCCATCTTCAAAGCTTCTTCTTCATACCCATTCTGCGCGTATCCTGAAACCAAAGTGTTCCACGAAATCGTATCGTTCAGCTCTGGATTTCTCCAGAATATACTCAGAGCTCTTTCAATGTCACCTTCTCTACAGTACGCTGCAATCATCGCGTTCTTAGCAACGCCATCAAGAAACTCAACACACGACCCGTTAAAAACATTACAAACCTCCTTGAACCTCCCACATTTTGAGTACATGTGAATGAGAGAACTCACGGCAAACTTAGTAGCACCATTCCCGGTTTTCACCATAACTCCGTGCAACTGTTCGCCATAAAACACGTTTGCTAACTTTGCGGAAAGCTTAAGCATAGTAGTGACGGTGAAATCGTCAATCCAAATCCCATCTTCCTCCTTCCTATGCATCTCACGAAACATCTCAATGGCTTCACTCTCACACCCATCAGTTTTGGCAAACCCTGAAAGCAGAGTGTTGTACGTGATCAAATCTCGCTCAGAACTGGCCGTCTTGAACAGTTCACGCGCTTCCTTCAGATCGTTGAACTTTACGTAGGCAGAGATCACAGCGTTCCACGAGTAAACGTTTCTCTCAGGCATTTCGTCGAACACGTTCCGAGCTTCCCGCAATAAGCCATTTCTTGAGTAGAGACTAACGAGTTGGTTCGAGGAGACTGATGTTAATGTTAAACCAAGTTTAATGGACCGGATATGATGCGAAAGCCCGTCTTTTAAGCAGTTCATGTCAAGCTTCAGACATACACTCGAGAAACAAGGAAATGAGAACTCCGAATATTTTACATCTCTCTCTCTCTCTATGGAATCGGGTTCAAAATTTCTGCAAAAGGTCACCTTAGACTATCTGTGGGTGTTTAAAGAGAAGATCTTAGTAATATAATTGAATTTAAAAATATTGTACACAAGGGTTTAATATAAGATCTTTTTTTTTATTTAAGAACGGACAGGTGGCAAAGCATGAATGGATAAAAAAAATTAACACAGAAAATGAAAAAAAAAATCTATCATTAATTTTTTTCGTCATTCTCTTCATCTATCTCTCAACGAGAACATATGAGAACCAAAACATCGGTTTGATAGAAATCCCTAGAATCGCTCAAGAAATTCGAATCAATTGCAAAAATCTATCAATCCTTAAACCTTCTTCTTCTTCGTCGGAGCAGATTATTGTTTCCCCATAGCTTCTGAAAGAGAGATGGATTGGGATAGTGTTGCTGCCGATGATGTGATTGAGGCGCTGAGAGAGGTTGAGCCGTCGACGCGTTCTCGTTCCCTCGCCGAGTTCTTCTCCAAATTCGCCGGCCATGGTAAACACCCTTGATCGAGATGTGTGTTGGCTATTTGTTGATTTTCATTTTTCGTAATCGGACTTCTTAACATGTTTGTGTTTTCTGCAATTGTGCAGGACAAATCATAAAGAGCCGTTTGCTTACACGCAATCTTACCTCTCTCCATATCTTCTCCTCTCATCCGGAGAGTTGTTTGTCCATCGAATTCCCACAACTTGCTTCCTGTAAGCATCTTCGTCTCTCTCCCTCTCCATATATTCATTGTGGTTTTTTTGTTTCAGCAGTAAACGATTTTTTTTTGTGGGGACTTTGATTTTTAGATTAGAATGATTTAGGCTAAGATGAATTGTCTTCTCTTTTCTCTTTTGGCTTCTGTTTCTCGCTTATGTGGTTTATATCTTCAGTGTCTTCTGTTTTATATGGTTCGCTTCTTCTTCACATCATCTGCTTAGCTTCAATTTACAAAATTTTAAAGCTTCGTGGAGTAACCATGTTATGAGTCTTATGATATATCCACCTTCATTTCTCTTTCCTTAATCTGGTTTATTAAAGCTTTGCTCCATTCTCTTCTCCATAGTTCAGCTGTTTTGTAAAAGGTGGAAGTCAAGTTATGAAACGATAAGCCTGAGAGAGAGATGTACGAGAATTTCGCTGAGCTGTACGCTATCATCAAGGCTACGGAGAAGCTCGAGAAGGCTTACATCCGTGACCTGATCTCTCCGTCCGAGTACGAAACCGAGTGTCAGATAAGCCTGAGAGAGAGATGTACGAGACCGAATGGCAAGAGAGATTTTGATTCTACGCAAACTCAATCATCCTAACATCATGAAACGTGAGGGTATAATCACGTCTCGTACGTCGAGTAGCATTTATCTTGTTTTTGAGTATATGGAACATGATCTTGCCGGTTTATCCTCCAATCCCGACATCAGATTCACCGAGTCACAAGTACAAACGGACACAAGTATGATTCACCGAATTCATAGCACTTTCTTTCTTATACTTGTTGTTGCACGTGAATATATATGAATCTTCATTAGAACTTGTGTTGGTTGTGTATGCTAGTCTTGAGGTACTTAAAAACTTCATCATTTCTATTATGAAACTGAGATTTGTGTTCAAGTTCTGTGATTTTTATACTTATGAAACAGTTATGATGATGATATAGGATGCACAACCAAGGATGGTGATGCCTTTGTGGAAAGCCAAGTTGGAGGAACCAAAACAAGATCAGTCTAATGCTTCGTTGATGATTGTTGATAACTCCACAAGTAATTTTTCTTGACACGTTTCAATCTAGATGTAATCTGTTTCTTTCTTGTTGATTGAATGAAACTTCATTATATCATGGATATATAGGTCAAAGATGCAGGAGGGCGAGAAGAAGAAGGGAGGCGTTGGGTTCAAGTAGATAGGCGTAAGTTTTGAACTATTTTAGCTTTTAAAAATTCAGTAACAATGAAAAATTGTTACAAGAAGGCATAGAAGCTATTTTCTTTTAATTAGAAACATAATTTTGTTTATGTATTAATCTAAATTTTAAATATATATAGAAAAAAAAAATTTAAGACACCTATCAAAGTGTCTCTATTGTATGTAAAATTTTACAAAGTGTCTTAACTACATAAAATGTACAAAATATTAATAATTAATTATTAAGATCCATTTTAAAGTGTTACCATTGGGGTTGTTCTTAACCCGAGCGTGAAATGTTGAAAAATGTTAAGGTATGGGCCCATTAAGGTATGGGCTGTGAGAGAGAATAAACTACTTGGGCTCTACAGTTGAGCCTAAAGGTCTAGGCGCATTAGTAAAATGTTGAAATAGTTTTTTAAATACATTTTTAGCAAATTAAAAAACTTTTGGTTGAAGAGAGAATATATATGTATTATATATTTGTTTAATTGTTAAGTAGAAATAAGAGCGTATTTTTAATCCACTAAAAAATCTAATTGGCGATGTTTTGAACATAAACGTTCAAATCAAGATGAATAAAAGATATCTTCAAGGCATTGCAAGTTAATTTTTTTTAGTGAATCAGAGCTACATTCTCTCTTCGAAGAAGCTACACATAACAAGCTTCAAATTTACCAAGATAGACCATCTATCAACCATGAATAAAAATGATATCCATGTGAATAACAATCATTACACACAATTATAATCGTCCCTTTAATAATTGAGGTTAGAAGCAAAATAAAAATGGGGTCTACATTTCATTGTTAAAGAAAAAGCAAGAAAATATGTGATGGTGAAAATGAAAACAAATGTAAAAATCATGGAAGAGCAACAAAAAAAAAACATTTTGCATATCTTAATAGTTGAATTCAAATTAAATAACTGTTTATATATATGTAATTAAATGATGCTATAAATAAATTGCTTCACATCACCATCTGAATTGTAAAATTGATGATTTTATATATGTTGCTTAATTTGATCCATTTTTAAAAGTATTTTACATATCTCAATTTTCAGCTAAACAAAATGACATCATATATCTTACATGTTCTACTATTTGTTTAGTTTTTATTCCATAACAATTGAAAATATATTTTAGTAAGCAGTCAGCAGATTCTTAGCAGATTCATCGAATAGCGTCGTTACAAGCCATCAAGGTACTTGAATCGGTTGAATGAGATTACTTCTTCTATCAATGAGCTGATGTCATGGTGTGATTGTCTCTCCTCTTTTTTTTTTTTTTTTTTTTTTAATTAAAACCTCCAGGATAGTCTTGAAACCTATCGGTCGGGGTACTTGAATCGGTTACAATCATAACCAATATACAACATGGTACAAATTAGAAATGAACTGTAGCCACTTAGAATTCAATCATTTGCTCACAATGATGAGGTCTAATAAACATGCATACAGATGATTACCTGATTGGTGTCATGTCGAATCTCACCCCAAATAAAACTACATATATATAATAATAACTCTTAAATATGTTTGTCTACATATGTATTAGACAAAACCACAACTAACTTTAACTGGTCCACAAATCCACCCATCTCTAGTTTCGGACATATCCACGTACAGCACATGCCACATGCCTGTTTATGTAATAATATTGATTTTGACAAAAGAAATTTCCTATATACATCTTCTCATAATTTTTTCGTTATATCGGCCAAAAAATATGGACAAAAGATATTTCCCGCATATTTCATCGTTACCTTTAGATTTTATATATTTATACTACATAAACATAATATGAAGACAACATATATACATATTTTTTTGTCTTAATCAGTCGCTTTTGAATCGAAAAATGTTGCCTCGTCAACTTACATGATGATGATTTTGTCCCTCTTTATTTTAAATCAATGTATTTTCTCATCATAATTTAAGAATATACTGAAAGGTCGAGTATATACTTAATAATCTTGTCCATGTCAAATATACAAAGGTAACAGTCTAACAGAATGTTATCATCATTAACCGTACGAATAATGACCAAACTACCACAAATACTATGACCAGAATCTGAGTGTTTTTCTTTTAACCAAAAAGTTTTGCACCTTAAACCCATAATACCTTCATATCGAAAACCAGAACAGGTTAGTGTTTTTCCTGCTACCGATTTTCGAATTTGTGGCCTTGACTACAATGTCCGTTCGTGCCGTCAAGAATTTTTAGTCACTTATGAAAACCATATAAAGAAGAAACTGTCAAAATTTATAATGCAGCTATATGATAGCAAATAAATGAAAAACGATGGAAAAGAAAAGTCTTTGAAGTAATCTTAGACTATTGATTTTTTAGTCAATAGAAACCACAAAGAGTTTTTATGAATTTGTGGTATATGTTTCAAGTGATTGTAACATTTGCTTTGTTTCGATTTAAGTCGTGGCCCAACGAATCCCCTATATGCTTGTCATTGATTGCCGACGGCCCGACGTGACACCATTTGCTTTATTCAACGTGAAGAATAATATCTCCTTTTATTCGTATTTATTTGGTCGATATTCAGGTTAACAGGTGTATTATATACATACAAAAAAAAAGATGCAATATTTTTACGAGGATTTAATTTCTTATTCCCTCTGTTTCATAATAAGTGTTATTTGGAGAAAATGTATCTGCAATGTATTTAGATATATTAAATTCAAAACATATTCAGATACATCCAATTACAATACAAATACATTTCTCCAAAAACATTTATTATTAATTGAAAATTTGATAGATATAATTATATAAATCTATAATGCGTTTGTTTAAACATATTTTTTTTTTGTTAATACTGCCGGACCTCTGCTCTCGACTAGTTACATCATCCCATGATAAGAGTATATTAGCAAATCCTTAAAATCTCTTATGAATTATATTATTACTGGTTTTCAAAGCATCTTAAGTCGTCTGGTAATGGTATACTTGGATTCACGTATATGTAAAGCTGTGGAATCCGTATATATAGTTTACAATGTCTATTTATATATTGTCACACGTAACTCATATCATTACAATACTCGAGATGATTCGATATGAAAATTTGCTGTTTAGTATCCTTCCTTAGTATCCTTCCTTCGTCTAACTAATATTTTTCTATTCTCTTTTTTTAAACAATAATCTTTTTCCTCTTCTTTTGGTTATGGTTATGGTTATGGTTATAGTTAATCTACTGTCTATACATGTATGATTGGTAACAATTCAAACTTAATCAAAGATACTACATGTTACCAATCAAAGCCGTATATACTTGTATGTTATTCTTTTGTCTAACAAGTATCTTTTCATTGTCTCATCATAGCATATTCAAAACGTAAATAAATGTACATGTATACTTTTCAAATAAAAAAGAAGGGAGAAGCATAGAAATTCAAAAGCACGTGGTGGACTTTTGTACTGTATAGAAGATTATGTGGACTCTCTCTACACAGAGGCTTATCAAAGAATAAAGGCCATACCCATGAAAGTCTACGTACACTCATTTAATCAGTTACCCAAGTTATCATAAATCTAAATGTAATCCGAATATATAAAGCTCATATTAATTTCATTTTCATTTTATGTACATATTGCTTGTTATACGCTGGACATGTAAACAAATAATTACTTGTCTTATTGAGTCATGGTCCAACTCAACTGCATAGATATTATTGTTGGGGGTCAACTTTAAAGTCAACGAATTTTGAATACCGACAATCTTTTATTATTTGTTTATGCGATGCATTAAATGATATAGATAAGATATATGATGTCTATGTGGTGTATTAATTGATACAAAAATAAATCCTATCTTCCGTTGTTCACCTTGCTTTTAGAGGTAGTACTGTTCTACAAAATTATATTAGCGATGGGAAAGTCACACAAATATAACCATGTCCATGTGATATATATTATCAACTAGTTCACGTATTCACGAATATAAAATCACATTGGAAATGCGAAAGTGGGGGTCAAATCATATCATATGAGAGTCCAAATTTCCGAGCTGCCTAATGTTATGGTCACCTATGATGGCTGCCTTTTCGGCTAAAACTTGGCCCACTTCACCATTTGCTGCTTCTTCAATAATTGGATTTTCTTTTTCTTCTTTCTAACATGACAAGTTAAGGTACTATTGGAAAATAATCATCCCTTTTAACAGAAAAAAGACACACATATACACACAAAAAGTCTAAAACTAATTAGGTAATACTGAAAACCGTACGTTCGTTTGTTTTGTTAAATACAAAAAAAAAACTAACGTTGTTCGCAAGGGTTACATAATATAAGCATGCATCATAGTGAGAACAATGATTTATGAAGGAAAACTCTATTTTGAGTACTGAAGCAAAGTAATAGTAAATTAGATAAAAGCAAGCTTTTGACTATATAGTATAGAAAGTTGAAGAAACTCTGATGTCATACGGAAGAAATCAAATGGCTTTTTTATGTTTTTGGTCTTTAAAAGTCTGTAGATGCATTTACTTATTTCAGCGATTTTTTTTTTTTAAAGAAGAAGATTTTTTTTTTTTTTTTTTTGTCGACATCCTCAAAACTCTTCAAACATGGTGTTAACCATTCAGGAAAGGTTGAGTTTACATAATATAGATGGTAAAGGTGATCTCGAACACTCCGTACTAACTTGTCTGCCTTCGTATTCTGCGCACGTGGGATCTTTGATATTGAGAATTGGTTAAATTCCCGCCTAGTCACTGCATATTCCTGCAAATGAAGGGAAAAAGCTGGCCACCCCTCCGGATTCCCCACCATTGCCAAGACATCTGAACTGTCCGTAAAGAAGGATACTTCGTATCTCCCAGCATCTAGCATGCAATGCATTGCCCAAATAAGTGCTTCCAATTCTGCGTGTAGGGGTGTCAAACTTTTTCCAATCTTCCGGGCACCCATTAAAGTACATGACATTTCTGTATCTGTGCTATACCAGCCTAATCCTGTATTTGGAACATCAATTTTCCATGATCCATCCGTATAACAAAGGATCCCTTCCCTGGGTTGAACCACATTGTGCAACAGATGTGGACCAGATCCTACTGTGTCGCCCTTCTGAGCATCGTCCCATGCATATGCTTCTGCCATTGCAAGCTTAACAACATCCCTAGGGTCACGGGTGACATTTTTGAAAAAAATCTCGTTTCTCATCTTCCAAATATACCATAGTAACCACGGATATATCTTTATGTCCTCATGATCCAGGAGATTCCAAAACAAATATGCCATATTAGAATACAATGCTTATGTTGGAAATCGTTGTGTCGGTGTAGGTATTGGCGAAAGCGCCCATACCTATAGTGCCGGAGGGTAGATAAATAGCATATGGTTTATAGTTTTCTCCTCCGCCCCACACCTACTGCAACGAGGGTCACAAGCGATACCTCTAGCTTGTAAGCGTGCTGTTACCGCCAAACAGTCGGAAAGTGCTTGCCACATAAAGTGTTTTAGCTTCGGGGGACACTTGGTTTTCCAAACCCTTGCCTGTAAGGGGCTAATATCTGGTCCATAAACCCGGACCGGTTTCTTATCTGGGCACAGTTGCTCTGTCAGATATCCTGACTTAACAGTGTACCTTCCTGTCTTTGTGTAAAGCCAGCCCCATATGTCCTGCCTATATTCTCGTGTTGTTGCCATTCCAGTTATTATAGGGATATTTTCCGGTGCCACCAGTTGTGCAAGTAGTGGAATATTCCACGTTGAGGTTATAGGGTCAATCAATTGATTGACTGTTAGCTCAGGAAAGTAATTTACCCCGTTGCCTTTTGCTGATCTCGGGTGTGATGCCGGAATCCATGGATCATTCCATACCGAGATAGAATGTCCAGATCCAACTCTTTTAATGAGTCTTTTTTGTACCAAAGATCTAGCAGATGTAATACTTTTCTATCCATACGATGATGAGTATGATCGTATCGGATCCAGCGGAGTACCGTCTCTAAAATACCTTCCTTTAAACACCCTTGCAAATAACGACTCTGGGTAATCTATGAGCCTCCATAATTGTTTGGCCAGCAGGGCTGAATTAAAATCCTTTAGCACCCGAAAGCCAAGTCCTCCTTCCTCCTTTGATTTACACAGTTTGTTCCAAGCAATCCAGTGCATGCCCCTTGTTTCTCCGTTTTTACTCCACCAGAACTTTGCTACTGCACCCGTAAGTTGGGTAATGATGGTTTGTGGTAGACGAAAACATGACATAGTATATGTCGGAACTGCTGTGACCACTGATTTGATTAGGATCTCCTTTCCTCCTCTGGATAGCAATTTTGATGTCCACCCATTTACCCTTTTTTGTTGTCTATCGACAATATAATTGAAGACCTTTGTTTTGGCTACTCCCAGACTCTCCGGAATCCCCAGATAAGTACTCATTCCTCCAATATTACTAATCCCTAACTCATTGTGTAACAACTCTCGTGTCGCTGGTGGGACTTTGTATCCAAATTGGACAGACGATTTAGTGAAGTTAATTTGTTGCCCCGAGGCTAGCTCATATTGTTTCAAGAGGTGCAGTAATACAGTCGTCTCTGCCTGTGTAGCCTTACAGAAGAACAAGCTATCATCCGCAAAAATCAGATGCAATACTGCCGGACTCGCCCGGGCAACTTTCATCCCTGTGATAAGACCATCCTTTTCTGCTCGTTTCAAATTAACAATCAATATTTCGGTGCAAAGTATAAATAAATAAGGTGACAGTAGATCCTCCTGCCTTAGATCTTGTTTTGGTTGTATATTACCTTTTGGACTCCTATTTATAAGCACTCTGTATTGAACTGACTCTATATAACACATTATCCACTTAACCCATCTCTCAGCAAACCCCAATTTCAAAAGTAATTGTCTAATGAAAGACCATTCCACTCTATAATACGCCTTGCTCATAAAGAAGAAAAATATCTAAATAAAATTCATAATTTAATAAAATTTAAGATCACCACGCATGATGTCATATATTATTACTCATAGAGTCTAAGAATTCGGAATTTTTAATCCCATGTGGGGTAATGGGATCGAGTCCCATTTGTCAAAGAGAAAAGCTGACCGGCCTTAAACGCAAACAAAAACGTTCCTGAAAATTTAGATTTAGATTAGTCGACATCTCAAGAGGACTAAACAGTTTTGATAATTACTTGGTTTATATTTTGTTGGAGTTAAAAGAGTCTACAAGTAGAAGCAAGTTGTTTTGACAATTCAAAGTCTTCATAATAGCGATTGCTCTCGTAAGCCAACGACTTGTTGCAAGTATCCATAAATATCATCATATATGAATATTATATTACAAAATTTAACAGGAATCTTTTTATGTTGTTGTAGAGTGATGATTAATTTACCTCTTATCATCTTCAAGAATCAAGACACGTGGTCTTGGACTGTTGTGTGTGTTGACCCGGCTTCTCTAAGGAAACCTTAAGGTAAAAACTTAATATATACATTTTATCAGAAGACTGGAAATTCTCTTGTTAGATTAATCCTAATAATTTCATCTGTGAATTTTTTATTATATATATTTAACATTTAATTAGAATCCTCAAATAGTGCATAAATATATAGTCTATCTTCTGATCTTATACGTGAAAAGCATGCAAACGTACGTGAATACTAATCATTGAATTGAAGCTACGAAATGATTTGAAGAAGAGAAACATGCATTAATTACCATTCGTAATTACCCCCTTTTCATATTTACATGAGTTAAGCTGTGTCTCAGACTCTCAACCTCACAGCACGGTACTACGCAGGCTGAGACACACGTACGAGACTATAAGAAAACAAAAATAGGCAATTGCTTTTTTTAAAGGGAAATAAGAAATTCATACAGATGCGTTGGTAAGATAAATATTATAATCAATGTCACTGATCCGAATCTTAGAGTAAACTATCGTCTATTGGTGTGTATATTATCTTAGCACACATATCATCTCGCTGGTTGTTTTTAGTAGGTTACAGACGGAAAACAATTTTAAACTGAAATAAATAACATTATTTGAGTTGTCCTATGCGATTAATCGTACAACAACAGTCAACAAGCTCACATGGACAACATCACAACAAGTAGCCTTCTACGAGATTACCTTTAGACCCTCCGAAATCCAAATAAATTCAATATAAAATTGAACTAATTACATACAAAAATGAAATGATCGTTCTTCTACTGATAATTATGTTTTGTCTCTAACGAAACATGCAAATGTATATCTTTGGAGAGTGTTCCCATTGTCTCGGACGATTTTGCCCCTTTCCATGAGACTCTGAATACACAGTCACACACACACGTCTATATAAGCCACAACTCATTACCACACGTTGTTGCTAGCATACTCAATCCTCTCACATCTCTACTTTCTCCCTCTCTCTAAAATGACAGGTTTTACGCCGGAAAACCAAGCAGTCCCGTCGCCGGCACCGGCAACAAAACATGTGCCAGAGTTAGGTCCGCCGGTGAAACCAAAGAGGAACAGATATGCATTCGCTTGTGCAATCTTAGCCTCAATGACTTCCATCCTCCTTGGTTATGGTTAGTTTTGGTCAACGCAAAAAACATGAAAAAATATATACACACACATTCATTTATTGAGCCTTTTCTTCTTCTTGATTTGCAGATATAGGAGTGATGAGTGGAGCAATGATTTATATCAAGAGAGATTTGAAGATTAGCGATCTTCAAATCGGGATTCTCGCCGGTATCCTCAACATTTACTCACTTCTAGGATCTTGCGCCGCCGGAAAAACCTCCGACTGGATTGGTCGGCGTTACACAATCGTGTTGGCCGGGGCAATATTCTTCGCCGGAGCTCTCCTCATGGGATTCGCCCCTAACTACGCTTTCCTCATGTTCGGGAGGTTTGTCGCCGGGATAGGCGTCGGTTATGCCCTCATGATCGCACCTGTCTACACCGCCGAAGTCTCTCCGGCATCTTCTCGCGGCTTCCTCACCTCCTTCCCCGAGGTACACACTGATACACATATATTATATTTCAATGAAATTAGTATTTAAAAATAAATGTTATTTATCTTATTTTTCCTAATGTATACATCTTTTATTTTTAGTATTCTATTGTTACTGTATTGATTAAGAAGAGACCGCTGACTTTCCTTTCATTATCTATGAAACGATTAATTTGGCCATATTTTTGGTAGGTTTGGTGGGTGATTTTTTTTAGACGAGAGGATATGATTTTTTATTTAATTTTAAAAGAGAGTGTAATATCTGACGTGGCAGACCGATTATGCTGACGTGTACAGGTGTTCATCAATGCCGGAATAATGTTCGGCTATGTATCGAACCTCGCCTTCTCCAAGTTTCCTCTGAAGCTGGGATGGAGATTCATGCTCGGGGTCGGAGCCGTACCTTCCGTTTTACTCGCCCTCGGCGTTCTCGCCATGCCGGAATCTCCACGGTGGCTCGTTATGCAAGGCCGTCTCGGCGAAGCCAAACGCGTTCTCGACAAAACCTCTGATTCCCCCGCCGAAGCTGCTCTCCGCCTCGAAGACATCAAAGAAGCCGCCGGAATCCCCGCCGATTGCCACGACGACGTCGTTCAGGTGTCGAGGAAGAACAGCCACGGCGAAGGAGTTTGGAGAGAGCTTCTGATCCGTCCGACTCCAGCCGTACGTCGCGTTATGATCGCCGCGATCGGAATCCATTTCTTCCAGCAAGCTTCCGGAATCGACGCGGTGGTTCTCTTCTCACCGCGGATCTTCAAAACCGCCGGCCTCAAAACCGATCACCAGCAGCTTTTAGCCACCGTAGCCGTCGGAATCGTGAAGACGTCGTTCATACTGGTCGCCACATTCCTCCTCGACCGGGTCGGAAGGCGGCCGTTGCTTCTGACCAGCGTCGGAGGAATGGTACTCTCTCTGGCGACATTAGGAACGTCTCTGACGATTATAGACCAGACGGAGAAGAAAGTGATGTGGGCGGTGGTGCTGAGCATCGCGACGGTAATGACTTACGTGGCGACGTTTTCGATCGGAGCGGGACCGATAACATGGGTTTACAGCACGGAGATATTCCCGTTGAGGCTGAGATCACAGGGATCGAGTATGGCGGTGGTGGTGAACAGAGTGACCAGCGGCGTGATCTCGATGGCGTTTCTTCCGCTGTCGGAAGGGATAACGACGGGAGGAGCGTTTTACTTGTTCGGAGGGATTGCGACGGTGGCTTGGTTTTTCTTCTACACTTTCTTGCCGGAGACGCAAGGGAGGATGCTTGAGGATATGGATGAGCTTTTTAGTGGTTTCAGGTGGAGAGACTCCAAAAGTAAGCCTAAGAACATGAACTCGAGTTCGAATCCGGAAGTTGAGATTGGACCAAACAAACAGTGAGCTTTTTTATTTTTCTCTCTTTCTTTTAGAATTTGGAGGGGAATGAGATACAAAATTAAAGTTGTAGAAATTTGGTCAGGTATATAATAAGTATGAAATGAATTGGACTTGACTATTTATGTAATGTTTGCATATCGTTTGTGTTCATATATGCCTTAACTTTAAGCAAAGAAACCAACAAATTACTGGTAATTTTGATTATTCAAAAAAAAAAACAACAAAGAAGCAACCTGTTATCAAATCACACCTAAATCAAGATGAATGATGAGTAACTGATTCATAAAACAAAGAGAACAAAATTCAGCAGCAACGGTAACAAAATCACATTTGTATCTAACATCATCTTTTTTCTCTGTTACAAAATCTTTCTCCTCTCACTTTTTTTTTCTGGCTTTTTCTTTCTTGTGCGAAACGTTAGGGCTCTGTTTTCCCTCTTTCCTTTGCTTATATTGGGCCACCTTAAAAAGGCCCAGTAGATTCAAAAGACAATAAATGATTGGCCCAGTTTCAGCTAGGGTTTGTGTCTTCAAATCCAGCTAGGGTTCTTGTATGTCAAGCTCTAACATTGATCCTTTGTAAAAGATGTTGTCGGAACTTCCAAGGGATTTGGCAGAGGAAGTGCTCATCAGGCTTCCGGTGGCATCCCTCAGAGCAGTGCGATGTGTTTGCAAAAAGTGGAACGCTTTATCCAAAGGTCGGAGCTTTAGAAAGAAGCACATTGCTCAAGCAAAAGCAGAAGCAGCAAGGGAGCCTATGGTGGTCATGTTGATATCTTATCGGGTTTATCTGATGAGCCTAAACCTCCAAAACGGCGTCGACGAGCCATCTATAATCCCTCGAGGTAAACTTAAAAGCCTAGACGATTCAAGATCGAGTCGAAATAAGAGAAGTCTATCACTGCGATGGCATATTGTTATGCGTCACGAGAGATGAAACTAGGTTCGTTGTATGGAATCCGTATAGTGGCCAAACCCTGTGTTTCAACTTCAGCAGTGAAGAGCTGTTCTTGAGGTGGAGGTATGCTATAGGATTCGAGAATAGCAGCAAATCGTGCCGCAGATACAAAGTCTTGAGGTTTGCTGAATTAAAGGAAGAGTTATACGTTACGTATGAACTCTACTATATCAACTCCAGGGATGATATTACTACGTTCCCTATGAATGTTATCTTTCCGGACCGGCATGTAGAGTCCGATGCACGTGGCGTGTCTTTGAAAGGAGATACTTATTGGTTTGCTCGGGAGAAGATGCCACGACGCCTAGGAGATATACACAGATCACAGCGGGCTTGTTTCTTGGTCTGTTTTGATTTTACGACAGAGAGGTTTGGACCGCGTCTAACTCTACCGTTTGACCCTCAGTACGACCAAGATAGTGTGGCTCTATCTAGTGTCAGAGATGAGCAGCTCGCAGTGTTATTTCAGGACCAGGATACATTACGTATGGAGATATGGATTACGACTAAGATTGAGCCTGGAGCTGCGTCGTGGAGCAAGGCAGTGTTTTTAGCGGTGGATATGGAACCACTCACGGGTCCTTATCATCAATTCGAAGTTACAGAAGCGAGTTTCTTTGTTGACGAGGAGAAGAAAGTGGCGGTGGTTCTTGATATTTTTCTTGATGAGAGAGATAGGGCTTCAAAGGTGGCTTGTATCATTGGAGAGGATGGATATTTCAAAAAAGAGCTACTGGAAGAAGAAGTTCCCTCAATCCACTTCCACTGTACTTTCCCACATGTGTTCCCTCTTGTTCCAAGTTTAGTGCATATCAAACGAGGCCGCATATGGAAAAAAAGAAAACAGATTATCTGAAAATTGTTGATTTGTGTTTTGATGGAAAGAAACAGAATTTTTACCGAAAAAGTCCTTTTGCAATCAGAGAACATTCTTCTTCATCTGTGTTTTAATTTCCAATAGGATGACAAAGCATTCTGTATTAATGTCACAAGGCAAAGCTCTCTCAGCGCCTTGAAATTCAATTTTCCTGATGAAAGAGCACAGAGATCGGACGTTTTCGCCAACCAGATTTTTTTTAGTTATCGAACGAATATGTAAAGATCCCAAAAGATGCAAAATAACGAAAAAAACCCACAAATTCAATTTGTTTTTTTAGGGTGGTTCTACCCACAAAGGAAACAAATTTACAACATGTAATTTAAATATCATGAGAGATAACTTGGCCAAGAGACCAAAACCCATTGTTGAACTCAAAAGCATTCATCTGGGAGATAAGATAGATAATCTCGTTAGCACTCACACCCTGAAGATCTCTGTTGGCTGCTTGTCCCAACATCGATTGTGTCTGGCAAGTACCTACCGACAAAAAGAAGCAAACAAAAGGAGAACGTTGAGACCAAACAACACTGGTGATTTCAAACATGTATGGAGAGCAACAACTGTTTTCAAAACTTACAGCTCTTCCTCTTCTCCGCTCTTCAGCGCGTTCTTGGCAATGCACTGGAAAGCTTCCTCCACGTTGGTGCCTTCCTTGGCAGAGGTCTCAAAGTAAGGAATGTTTCCCTTTGAAGCACACCAAGCTTTAGCCTTTTTCTCCGAAACCTGTGTGATCAAGAGAAAGTTTTGTGTTTTACATCTCAGAGGAATTCATAAACAATGATTTTTTTTTTTTATAAGTAAAGCACATACCACTCTGCTGTTTCCACCATCCACGTCGACCTTATTTCCGATAAGAACAAATGGGAAGTTCTCTGGATCCGATGGACTCGCCTGTCAAGAGATATTCACACTCGCGGTTACGGTGACATTTCTCTTTTGATTCTATCTACAGGAGGAGGAGGGTGAGAAAGAAGAAGCTGGAATGTGTTACCTGGATCAGAAACTCTTCCCTCCAGTTGTTCAGATTGTCAAATGATTTCATGGAGTTGACATCATATACAAGAACGCAGCAATCAGCACCTCGGTAAAAAGCTACACCAAGGCTCTGAAACCTTTCCTGTCCAGCTGTATCCCAGATCTGTAATGAACAACACATTGACAAAATAAACATGTAAATAGTTACCTGACACTAGCACAAAACCAAGTCAATATAGGTAAGTAGAAACTTATTAGTTAATTAGCGTTGATCTAAGCTAATAACTTGCTCTCAGAGCCAAGAACTCTCTTTTAAACACAGCTCCAGCACCATTACTAACTTAAAAAATTAAGTAATTCACTAATAAAGCACGAGTAGAAAGTAGAAACCTGTAAAGTGAAAAGTCGATCTTCAAACTGTACTTCCTTAGTCAAGAAGTCCGCTCCAATGGTTGCCTTGTACTGGTTGCTGAACTTTTTATTAACATATCTGAAGTTATCGAGTTAAAACCAAAACAAAAGCGCGAAATCATATAACACGACCAAAGAATCTGTTTTTTTCCCAAATCTAGAAATCTACTGTATTCTACTTGTTAGACCATTCAAACAAAAGTAGGATACTGGTTCATCAACGAGGTTTTCCCAACCCTGCAAAATCGAAATTCAGATTAGTTTCACTCAAAACAGACATAACCTCTGTCGCTCTGCAAGACTTCAAGACAGTAACTTGAGTCTAAAAGAGTTCATAGAGAGAATTACAGCTTGAATGTGAAGCACAAATTCAGTATTAAATATTATTTCCCCTCAAATAATATACAGGCAAGAACAAGCAAAATTGTAAAGGAAAGCAAATCTGAGATCATAAATTTGTAACTACATGTTGATGGACAACCAACAAGACTCAAACTAAAAGCAGTATAGACTAAAATCATGGTACAGTAAAATCAAGTTGAGACTAGCTCACTAGGTCAACTTTTCAATGTAGCAAAAGAAACCAAAAGCCTGGGAAATTACTGATATTTGATTAACAACACAAAGTTACACCATAGTTAAGCCACACCTAAACGCCAGATCAATTATGAGTGACTGATTATTCAAACAAAGAGAACAAAATTCAGCAAAACTAAGAGATCAACAAATTATATCAGTATCTGAACCCACAGGAAACGAATTGCACAAAATCCTGCCTCAATCTCAAAACCCAGACAAAAAAAAAACACAACACAGTCACTTAGAAAACCTCAAATCACATACATAAACATAGACAGCAAATACAGACAAGAAACGTAGAATCCAGCAGAAACCTAACCCGCTATCGCCGAGGATGATGACTTTGAGGAGGGTACGTCTACGGGAAGGCATCGAATCGGAAAGAGATGAAACGGTGAACGGATCTGAAAGAGAGAGATTCTACGATCTCTGGTAATTTGTGGAAGAAGGTACTTTTCACTTTGTTTTCTCTCTGTGCCCTGAAGAGTCTTCTTCTAAGCTGTTCCTGATCTGTCTTCGTAATTTCTTAGGCGACTAGTATTTTGTCTTTATAGTACAAATTGTTTTCCTTTTAATGTAAGTATTTATAAATAATATTAATGTGTAACAAACAACAAGCAGCTCTCGTAGCTCAGTTGGTTAGAGCACCCGTTTAGTAAGCGGGAGGTCTTGAGTTCGACTCTCAACGAGAGCAGTCACGCTTTATGACATTACCTTTTCTAATCGGTCATTATTGGGTTATGTTTTTCTTCTCTTTCACGTGTAATTTTATTTATGTGTTCAGCCAATCATTTTATTTTTATCAAACACATTGAGTTCTTGACTGTAAATTTTTTTTTTTCAAATTTAGTTGAAGGTACATAATTTGCATGGCTGGGTTAATACCCAAATATAGACCCTACAAAAAGAAGAAATTAGTGTTTCAGAAAGGACATACAAAAAAATAATAATTTGGAAGCACCTTTTAAAAATAGAATTTGGAAACAAAGAGCTTTTGTGTTTCTCTTTGTTCATCTCTCTCTCTTAAGAAAATCTTAAGGAGAGAGCTTTCGGATAAATAAAAGAAGAAAAAGAAACACCAAAGAGATTATGGCGGAGGGGCAATCCCCGGAGAATTCACCGCCGTCACCTACACCTCCATCTCCTTCCTCCTCCGACAACAACAACAATAATCAACAACAATCTCCTCCACCTTCTTCATCTTCACCACCAGCTCCTCCTTCGCCGGACAATTCCTCCGGTGGTTCCTCTTCCTCTCCTCCACCGCCTTCTCCAGACTCTCAATCTCCACCATCGCCGCAACAAGGAAACAATAACAACAACAATGGTGGAAACAATGACAACAACAACAACAACAATGGTGATAACAACAATGATGGAAGCAATGGTAATAACAACAATGGTGGAAGCAATGGTAATAACAACAATAATGGAAGCAATGATAATAAAAACAATGGGAATAACAACAACAATGGCAACAATGGTAATAGCAACAATGGGAATAACAATGACAACAACAATGGGAATGATAACAACAAAAGCAATGGCGGAGGAAGCAACAACCGTTCGCCTCCGCCTCCTTCGAGAAACTCCGACCGTAACTCTCCTCCCCCACCTAAATCGCTGGCTTCACCTAGATCGAGCGGTGGTGGCTCGAACTCGTCACGTAACGATACACAGAACACGGGTGCTATTATAGGAATTGTGGCTGGTGCTGTATTGTTGTTTCTTGTTATGATCTTGTTCTGCGTCTGTTGTTGTCGTAAGAAGAAAAAGAAGCATCAAATGCCGTACTATGCAAGCAATGGTTTCGCCACCGGCAAAGGTAATAAAACATAAATGGTCAACACCAAGTCACCAACCAATAAACCTAGCCCTAAGTCTGTATTTCTTGTGCATCAGGCTAATTAGGCTAATAACCTAACTCATTAAAATCTTCTTACCTTCAAACTACATTTCAATTTTTTGGAATTTTATAATCTTTGTAGATATTATCAAAAGAGGTTTGTGTTTCTGAATGTTTTGATATATTGTTTGTGGTGAAACCAGTAACTGTGTTTTCTTATTAACCAAGAAACAAGGTTAAACAAAAAGTCTCTGTTTTTTTTTTATTAGGTGGAAGTGATCAGTACCAACAGCAACAACATTACAATAACCAAAGCGATCACGTAATGAACTTGTCTCATCAATATCCTGGATCAAACGGTAACAATAACTGGATGAATTCACCGCCTCCACCGCCACCTGGAAGCTGGCAACCGTCGCCGCCACCACCACCACCGCCCGTCTCAAGTGGTTTAAACGGAAACAGCAGCGACATGAGCTCAAACTACTCAGGTCCATATGGCCCGTCCCTACCACCACCTCACCCTTCAGTGGCTCTAGGTTTCAACAAGAGCACATTCACCTACGACGAGCTAGCTGCAGCAACTCAAGGCTTCTCTCAAGCTAGACTATTAGGGCAAGGCGGGTTTGGGTATGTTCACAAGGGAATACTTCCCAATGGGAAAGAGATCGCTGTGAAGAGTCTTAAAGCGGGAAGCGGACAAGGAGAGCGCGAGTTTCAGGCCGAGGTTGATATCATTAGCCGAGTTCATCATCGGTTTCTTGTGTCTCTCGTTGGATATTGTATTGCAGGAGGGCAGAGGATGTTGGTGTATGAGTTCTTACCTAATGACACACTTGAGTTCCATCTCCATGGTAAAAGTGGCAATGTTCTTGATTGGCCTACAAGGCTCAGGATTGCTTTGGGATCAGCTAAAGGACTTGCTTATTTACATGAAGATTGTGAGTAAAAGAAAACAAAATTTCTAAATCTCAAGAGGCTTAACTAGAGATGTGTGACCAAACTTGTTTTCTTGACTTTGTGGATTCAGGTCATCCGAAAATCATTCATAGAGATATTAAAGCTTCAAACATTCTTCTTGATGAATCCTTTGAAGCCAAGGTATGCTTATGATTTTAAATCTTATAATAATAATGCTTTCAGATTTGTTTTTAATATTTCCTTCTTTAAAACTGGACTGGCTCAAATCTGCAGGTTGCCGACTTCGGATTAGCGAAGCTATCACAAGACAACGTTACACATGTGTCCACTCGTATCATGGGAACTTTCGGGTAATAATAAAGATACACAAAATCAGCTGATATAAAAAAAATGTTGCTGCAAAAACACAATCTTGATCTCTTTAATCTCATCCAAGAATCTGTTTCCTCTAATCAAGAATCTCAAATTCTGAATCAAATGATAGGTACTTAGCTCCAGAGTATGCGTCAAGCGGGAAACTGACAGACAGATCAGATGTTTTCTCGTATGGAGTGATGCTTCTTGAGCTCGTAACCGGACGCCGACCTGTTGACCTCACTGGCGAAATGGAAGACAGCTTGGTCGATTGGGTCAGTCGCAAAATATAATAAAAACATCACAAAATGTTTCCCACTGTTATATAATCTTTGTGGCAGCCTAATGAAAACTATACAAACTCTGTTACTTTCTTACACAGGCAAGACCCTTGTGCTTAAACGCAGCTCAGGACGGAGATTACAGTGAACTAGTTGATCCAAGGCTTGAGAACCAGTACGAGCCTTATGAGATGGCACGAATGGTGGCTTGTGCAGCTGCAGCCATCAGACACTCAGCTAGACGCAGGCCTAAGATGAGCCAAGTAAGTTTTTTAACACCAAAAATGAGAATTGTATCACACTAATGGGGTCCAATCCAATCAAAACCAAATGTTCTGAGAGACTCTATGATTCAACAAACAGATTGTTCGTGCTCTGGAGGGAGATGCGTCGCTGGACGATCTAAACGAAGGAGCGAAACCGGGGCAGAGCTCGTACCTCGGGAGGGGATCATCGAGCTCGGACTATGACTCGAGCACTTACAGTGCGGATATGAGGAAGTTCAGGAAAGTGGCGTTGGATAGCCATGAGTACGGTGCAAGCAGTGAGTACGGGAACACGAGTGAGTACGGTGTTGACCCGTCTTCCTCGAGCAGCGAGGACGTTCGTAGAGGAGCAGCTGCTAACAACAAAACCACTCCTACCCGAGACCTTTGATTTTTTTAGGGCTGTTAGATTCAAACATGTGTGTTTGTGTTTTGTTTTCCCTTGGAAAATTTTAAAAACTCTTTTTTTCTCTTTTTTTTTTTTTTTTTTGGGTCAGATTCTGACCGTTGGATTCGTGTTTTGTGTCTGTGTGTTTTGTTTGTATTTCAAAACTTTTGATTGTGATTAATTGATTATTAATGCTAAGACCATCTCCATTGGTAAAACTTAAGTTGGGGTTCTGAACAATATTTTTAGTATAAATTTTCTATCATTCTAACTTAAGAACTTTACTAAAAGATTTTATATTTTTTCTCTTCCATTGGTAGAGCTCCATTAAGAGTTCTAAGAAATAAAAAAAATTAGAATTGGTATATATTCTCCAAATATACTTTGTTCGACTATGAAACAATACAAATCAGGAATTGGATCAAAGATTGCATTGTTTTGCAACAACCTAAACCAAAAGCATTAAAGCTTAATAAAAAACAATCGCAATAACTACAAAACACGAATCAAACATTGCAAAGAAAACTATCACAACTTACATAGATTACAGGTAAGTGAGGTTTCCGATTGTAGAAGACAATGTACCAGACAAGCTTTGGCTACGAAGTCCTCTGTTTTATCAAAGTTTCCAAACGCTCTGCATCAGTGACACTTAAAATTGATCTGAACGACTCAATTGCAGAAACATAGCTTTGAGGTGCATCATCTGAACTTTTCGTTTTCTCTTCCTCCTTCACATCCTGAACAGATGAACAACATCGCATGGGCATAAACAAAAACCAAAGAAACATGAAATCGAAACAAATCCTTCAAGTGAACTTCATAAACCACAAATACAAACAAATCATTCATTTTTTTTATCCAATTCATCTATGATCTTCACCCACAAAGAAAACAACATGTGGCATGTGCTTCCGTTCACAACACTACAAATCACAAAAATACCAAAGAACTTCAAATTTTCACAAAGGTTGCATCTTTTCGATCCATTTTGTTAACCATAAGGTAAATTTAAGATCTAACCACATCAAGTATCATCCTTTAACCAAAACCTAACTCTACCAAAGAGTCATCAAGTTCACAGAAATTGTAAAATCACTAAGCTCTATCAAAGTTTTCCATTCACTTCTCACAAGCTAAGAAAATGTTACTCTCATTATATGGCTGATTAGAAAAATACAAATTGTCAGCATAGAAAACATTTCCTGATTATGATCTTTGTTTGAGAATACCGCGGAAGCCCGGGAGCTGGCGAATGATACAGGAGATACCCATGTCAGATTCATCTACGGTTTTCATACCATCAAGGCTTGAAATCTAGTGCCCGCACTTTCGTCAACGGTCTCTAGAAAGAGGATGGATAAATCGCGACGGGAGGAAACCACATACCGAAAGGAGATGGGTTGCGAGCAAGAGAAAGAGAAGGATTTTTAACAACGGCGAAGATAGACCGGACTCGACCCATCCGACTACCACAGACGGAAGCTAGCCTAGACGCTGACCTACGGACGTAGGAAAATTTGGGTGCAGCGAGGTTTCAGAGGCGGAGAGATTGAGGTGCCGAAAGGAGTTTTTTTTTTTTTTGTTAAAATTAGTCCACCCAATATGAGGTTGACACGTATGGGTTTTTAATCAGTCCTTAAAAGTCTTAGTTTGTATACGGTTGTTAGCAATTTTACACAGTAATGAATTGTTTATTATTTTTTTTAACTTAAAAAACTTTTAAAAACTCTCTAAAAGTCACCGATGGAGGTGCTCTAATTGTCTCTCTCTACTAATGTTGAATTGCTATTTCCATCTCTCTGTTAAAAACCTTTTGTAACTTGAGATTCTACAAGCGAGACATAAGATGAACAAGAGAGGAATTAAAACATCCCAGATAGAATCAAATATTAAAGTTTCCACTTTTTGAAAGTAACACAAGGATCTTTTTTGACAAGAATATTGTAAATTCGGAATAAGTCAGATTGATCAAATCTTTAAAGTTTCCAACTTTTTTGTGGTCCCTCATTTCTACATCACCTTCTTATGATTTTTCTAAGCTGAAGAAGACTTTGGGTTGAAATTGAACAATTCAGATTGAATCAAATCTTAACGTTTCAAGCTTTTCGTGATCCCTTTTTGATTTCCACATTATGATCCTTCTAAGCTGATTACTTAAGACTAACGAATGATAAGAAGCAGAAGGGTTATTGCATAATTAACGAAATTGCGACTCTAGGAGATCTCAGAAACAGAGGATGACGACGGAGAAGGAGATCATGAAAGTGTAAAGAAGGATCAAGAACCCGAAATAGAGAGCCCAGTTTCTCTTAAACTTCCCGAAGTAGCTATCCGGTGGCTCCTGATACGGCACTTCCAGATCCCAAGAAGCAGCCGAGGCAGAGACCTCGTCTTCTCCGCCGCCACCACGACCACCGAGGAAATCCCCGGCGGCGATGCGAGACTTGATGAAACGGAGCTTGTGTGTTGCTAGGCCTAGAGTGAGCTTGTGGCAGCGTCGCTGGTACTTGAAGCCGTTGATGCAACGGAGGGTTTGAGCTAGGGAGACGTAGAAGAAGAGGTGGGAGAAGGAGAGGAGGCAGATTGGTGCCCAGCAATGGCGGCAGTGGAGACGGCCTGAAGGCTGAGAGAGAGAGAAGAAGACGAGGGCGAGGAAGATGAAGAAGAGCTGGAAAAGCTTGTGAAGCTTCTTCTTCTGGTGGTCAATGGCTCGTTTTTTCTCCAGAGTTTTCTCGAAGTGGAGCTGGATTATTGTGTTTAGAGCTTGTAGAGCGGTTTCTTTTGGGATGAAAGGTTGGTTATGCTGGTCGATTTCGTCGTCGTAGTCCGCCATTGGAGTACCAAGAAGAGAGAAAAGAAAATGTGCGTTTGCGTTTTGAAGAGAGAGAAAGAGAGAAAGGTTTTGGAGATTGTGTGTTTGAGAGAACATGTGGGTGTGGTTCGTATCTCTAGACACATGTACTGTTATCATATCTATCTCATCCTCAAACGGTCATTTGTTAAGCTTCTGTTTGATCAATAAATGGAGTTTTTGAGACATTAACTACAAATTCTTTTTTGACGATGATGACTCAAAGTTCTTCTATACGGACAGATGCTAGTTTTGTCTTTGGTTGTTTCAAGTTATGTCTCTGCAACTATCTTAAACTAAGACTAGATTTTGGTTCTGATGAGAGAAAGATAAAAGATTCATTAAGTAATTGCGGTCAAGAAGAAGAAGTCATTCTGTGACCGCAAGAAATTCAAATACAGACACAGACTACAAAAGTTAAGAGCTACATAAGAGTTTGTTTCCATGTCTCATTGTTCCTCACGCCTTATGTCCCATCTTCTTCTTTATCTTGAGCACAGAGCTTGTCATCAAAATAGCGCATTCGACTGGATAGGTAAAAAAGATTTTATCAGTCTCTCAGATTCATCAAGACAATGTAGTAGAAAAAGATCCATTGCATCAACTAACTAGGCAAAGTTTTTCTGAATTTGGCCATTGAAATAACAGTTGCCGCAAATCTAAGCTCCATCCATAAGAGTACTAATACCATTCCCAATACTGATTCAATTACTCAATTTACTATAAATGATTTAGCTAATGTCAATTCATGGTCTCTATAAGCTGATGAATAATAATATTCTAGGATGTAACTATAGTGAATATCAGCAAAGGTTTTCAATACTTGAGTCAAAGATTTGCAAAAGAAACTAAAGAATCACCTTTTTTTTTGTCTATCTCTGGATATTGAGCATGGCTTTAGCCTCAGTCTGCTGCTCAACCAAATCTTCACTTGCATACTCTCTAAGCAGATCCATCTTCTTCTTCGCCAACACCATCTTCTCTATTTCCTTCTCGTCCGGCAACGGAACGTGCACCACAAACTCCCTCACCTTCTCCTCCTCCTCTCTCTCCTTTTCCCTCTTCTCCTCCTCCACCACATCCTCTTCCTCCTCGAACAACACCTCCTTAGCCGCTCCTACGCTCACAACCTCCGTCGCTCCCTTCCTCGCTTCCCTCCTAACCTCATCCAGTCTCCGCCACTCCTCCACATCTATCTTCCTCATCTTCCCTTCCGCATTCTTCTCCAGCTTCTCCAGCATCCCATCCTCGTCGTCCCTATACCCGTAATAGCTAGCGTCTATCCTCTTGTATATATCGTACCTTGTTCTCCGCTTCCTCAGCTCCGGAGGCTTCTCGAAGAGCTCCCTAATCCCTGGAAGCTTCTTAGCAGCGCCGAAGTACCGATACCCAGGTCCTCGACCACTAGTGTTCGGGACGTCGATGATGTTTCCTTCGAGATCCGTCATCTTCGCCGCGTGCCTCATGTAATTCGGACCGCCTAGCTCCACGATCCGCCGCTCCCAGTGGTATTTCTCCCTGAGAAGCTTGTTGATCTCGTCGTTCAGGTCGCGGAGCCGGTGCTCGCCCAATCCTTCGTTCTGGATCTCGGTCACTTTGCGGCCGATCTCTCTCATAATTTGCTGCCTCCACTTGTCCGCCTCCGCCAGATCTCGGCATTCCGACGCAAGGTAAGGACGACGCTCCTTGGGCTTCTTCTTCTCCGTTTCTTTCATGGTGATGAACCTGTTGAGCATCGACTGCGCTTTCTCCTCATTACGCGCCATTTTTGGATCTTCGAAGTTACGGTTAACACCAGAAAGTTCTCAAACGGAAGCAGAACTAACAACAAATCGACTCTTCTTCTCTAGCTTCTCTTTTGCTTAAACCCTAATTTTGCAGGACTGTGAGAGGAAGGAGGTGAGACGCGAGGATCGGGATTAATTGGATTGAAAGCTGTATTGTTTCCAGAAGATTATACTGCGTAATAATTTGTTTTTTTTATGTCGTCCTCTTTGATGATGCCAAAGCCCAATTTAACAGCCTGTTTATGCTATTTACAAGGCCCAATTTGTGGATTAAGCTGACCCATTGAGGAGTTCATGTTATATGACGGTTGACTTTTTGGAATTTACATCTAACAAAGTAACAATTAAAAGTCTGCAACTTAACTCGGGATCATGTAAAAGGAGTGGAAAAAAAAAAAATCGGTGGTTAAAACTTGAAACAGTAGAATTGATCAGTGTAATAACAATGGTGCGATCATTATCCATATGGTGGTATTGGTAGAAACAAATAACGAATCTCTCGATTTCATGATGATGGAATTTGCAGAGTAACACTTAAAACCAAATGAAATAATAAAAATCTTATCTAATATAATATAAGAGTATCAAGGTTCTTCTTCCGAGTTTGCATAAAATTTATCACTTGAGATACAAAAAGAAAATCTGACTGATGACTCTAACGAGTTGGCTTTTTGGAATCAACATATCATCTGACTTTGAGCTCGAAGTTTTGGACCTTTTGGTGGTTATAGCAGTATTATTGACGGTCAAAGCAATTAGTATAGTTATAACGCTCTAAGTGCGATGGTAGAGCTAGTTAATTTCATTGTGTCATAGGAAAAATATAACGCCTCAAGTTCAAACAATTATAGTCTTTCGATTGAAAGGTGATGATGGAGGTTGCAACTTGCAAAACAACACCTAGAAACCAAAAATAATAAAAATCTTATACAATACTTATATTAACATTGCAAAGAGTTTCAATATTCTTCTTCTGAGTTTTCAAAGATATTATAGGGAAAAAAGGAATAAAGAGGCATCAATTCGATCACTCGAGCTACAAAACAATGGACTAAAACGCCAAACGAAAGCGGTTTTTTTTTTAAACGCAGACGTAAGTAAAACCCAAAGAGTTTGTCACACACAAGTGCACATAAACGAAAAAAAAAAAAAAAAAAAAGGAAATGAAACAAACAAATGGAGAAGCAAATAGAAGAAAAAAAGAAACTTTGATCCCATTCATAAAACCCAGCTTTTTAGCCTTTCTCCTTGAGAGCTTAGAACTTAGAAGCATTTTCTGTGGACAATCCCTGGACCTGCCTCATCATACTCAGCCTTGGAGATCCACATCTAATGACACAAACACATATAAATATAATCAGCCTTTGATTAACTTTTGCAGGATTTTAAAAAAACGGAGAAAACGAAAAATCCTGTTCATTATTTTTACCTGCTGGAATGTGCTGAGGGAAGCAAGAATGGAACCACCGATCCAGACACTGTATTTCCTCTCAGGCGGTGCAACGACCTTAATCTTCATGCTGCTTGGTGCAAGTGCTGTGATCTCTTTGCTCATACGGTCTGCAATACCAGAGAACATAGTGGTTCCACCACTGAGGACAATGTTACCGTACAAGTCCTTCCTGATATCCACGTCACACTTCATGATCGAGTTATAGGTCGTCTCGTGGATTCCAGCAGCTTCCATTCCCACGAACGATGGCTGGAACAGCACCTCTGGGCACCTGAATCTCTCGGCACCGATGGTGATCACCTGCCCGTCGGGCAATTCATAGTTCTTCTCGATGGAGGAGCTGGTTTTGGAGGTCTCCATCTCCTGCTCGTAGTCCACAGCGACAAAGGAGAGCTTCTCCTTGATGTCTCTTACAATTTCCCGCTCTGCTGTTGTGGTGAACATGTAACCTCTCTCGGTGAGGATCTTCATGAGGTAATCAGTCAGATCACGACCGGCAAGGTCGAGACGGAGGATGGCATGTGGAAGAGAGAAACCCTCGTAGATTGGCACAGTGTGAGACACACCATCACCAGAATCCAGCACGATACCTGCTCAAAACCAGAGCTCAGATTCAAAAATGATAACTAATGAGTATAAACAGAGAAACGAAAAGCCTAAAAATTGTACTAACCGGTAGTACGACCACTGGCGTACAGGGAGAGAACAGCTTGGATGGCGACATACATGGCGGGGGAGTTAAAGGTTTCGAACATGATTTGGGTCATCTTCTCTCTGTTGGCCTTTGGGTTAAGAGGAGCCTCGGTAAGAAGAACCGGGTGCTCCTCAGGGGCAATACGGAGCTCATTGTAGAAAGTGTGATGCCAGATCTTCTCCATGTCATCCCAGTTGCTCACAACACCATGCTCAATTGGGTACTTCAAGGTGAGAATACCTCTCTTGGACTGTGCTTCGTCACCAACGTAAGCATCCTTCTGGTTCATCCCAACCATGACACCGTGATGCCTTGGCCTACCAACAACACTCGGGAAAACAGCCCTGGGTGCATCATCACCGGCGAAACCAGCCTGTGAAACACCCGGCGTAACAATCGTCAACACACTGTATTTCGTAAGCAAAAGAGAACATCCACAGATCTGGAGATAAAAAGGTAAAAAGAGAGTAACTAACCTTCACCATTCCAGTACCATTGTCACAGACGATGGGTTGAATGTCATCAGCCTCAGCCATTTTTTATAAGCTGCAAAACAATAAAGAGTTGAGTACTGCGAAATCGAAACTGTAGCTTTCAATTCAACTTACGACTCTACAAAATCCTATGATGAAACTACAATCCCTTATCCATCGGAAAGAAGAACACATACTTTCCCAGTGGCTTCACTCAAATCAATATATTCCAATAATCAAACATCATCTAACCTTTTAACAGTTCAGATTTCAATTGACATCTACAAATCATTTCCCAGAGTTTTAGAGTTGAAACAAGAAAAAAAAGTTTCAGAACGAATCCGTAATAGTAATCTGAATATGGATCTATCCCTATAGCAATCTGAATAATGGATCTAAGATCAAGTCAAATTCCAGTCGCTCATCGAGCTAAAGATGATCGGTCAACTGAAATCGACTCTCGGGAGATCAAAAGATGATTGATAAGTTCATAGATCCGAATTCAACTAATTCCAGATCTCTACCAAATTCAAAACGACATCTAGATCCAACATTTAAAGTAGATCCAGAAAGTTTTTTGTTTTTTACCTTGAGCGAGAAAGATCGAAAAGTCGGAAGAAGAAGATGAGATCGAAGAAGAAATAAGGAACCAAAGACGATTCCGGAATCTCTCTTTCCTTCTCGCTTTTAACCTTCCTTCTCTCTCTTCTCGCCGGAGATACAAAAACGGCCGATGAAACTGAGGACAACGAGACAATTCAAAGGTGAGAAATACGTTGAATTTATATAGGCGGGTTATCTGTACAACTTTCTTTTCGGCCTTTCAAAAAAAAAAAAGAGAAATAAAAATAAAAATTATCGACAGAGACGAATCATTTCGACCACAGGAAAAGATAACGTGACCTGGCTGTCAGACAGCCTTTTCCCTCGTGTTAACTGTTTAATACCCTTTTTAAAATTAATTAAAGATCTCAGCCGTTGGATTGATCGGATTAATTGTTTTGCTGAGATGGCTTGACTGTGATCGGCTCGGCGTAAAGTGACAGCTCCATTTTCTTTTTCTTTTATTTTCAGATTATTATTTCTTGGTTGAAGGCTGCGATTATTATTAGTGGTTAACTTAACCGAGTCAATCCAGGCAACGATGGTCGTGGTTGGCTTGTTCAATTAGATTTCGCAAAATTCAACGTAATTAATTCATATTCTATTAGGATCGGATCGTATTTAATTGTTTAAAAAAATGGAACAGTAAGATCAGACCGTGAAAGAAAGTGATTTTCATGATGTGTTACGGATATATATAAACTAAAATATAATAATATTTCATCGTATTCACGATTAATGTATCAATAATAGTGGCTACTACATCTACATGTACATCCGAAGTCGTCAAAACGATTGTGAATTAATTATATATGCTGACATACAAATAATAGTTGTTAGCTTTTAACATATTTGCCATTTACTTGTAAACTCTCTTACGTAATGATAACCTATATGAACTATCTATCGATATATGTGAGATTGTAACCAAGTCATCGTGTGCATAGCAAGTGAAAATGTTAGCAACGATACTATAATCCTCATTTTTCTGCGCATCTAAAAATGAAAAACCACTATGATTCATCCTCGTAAACTTTTTATTTTTGTTAAGAGACGAAAAACTAAATAAAGTCAACTTTTTGTGATCCACGTGAATCGCACGTGCCGAGTACAAAGGAATCAGACGAGAGAGAGAGAGAGAGAGAGAGAGAGAGAGAGAGAAATCTGGAAAAAGAATGTGGGAAGGTTAAGCTGGCACAAACGAAAACGTTGTGTCCATCATTACGAAACTACTTCTGAATTTCATTTGCTACTACTATTATGATTACATTTAATTCCCCACTATTTATTATATGGGTTATATGAGGCAGGCCATGTTCATGCTTTTTATATTATAAAGTCATATATATGGCAGGCCACGTTCATGTTTTTTTCTTTTCTTGGAGGAAAAGTCAATTAAGGTTAGTTTTTCTGGATTTAGTATGTAATTAATGGTTTGATTGATCCCAGAGATCTAGCTTTTCTCTCCTCACAACTTTACTAGTAGTGGCACACCACAATCCACCCATAAAGTTTTCTTGCTTTCTTGGAATATGGATTTATCATCTATAAACTCAAATGGTTTAAGCCCTACAACATGCAATAAAAAAAAAAAGGATCCTATATCAGTACTTTATAGAAAAACATATATTTTGGTAATACTGTTTTTTTCAATCATGAAGTTCCAGAATTAGCTATCTATTACTATATTGTTTTCCATTGATCTACTATGATATTTTTTTATGATAATGTTTTGAAAGAAAATGATACAAGCACCTAAGATCCGTCCAATGGAGTTAATATAAATTTCGTTTTGCCAAAATTTCACTGTAGATCATGTTAAATCACATTGTGATCTTTAACTACACCTGATTTTTAATACATGATGGGGGAAGTAACTATCGAAACCGAATTTGTGTGTGTGTGTGTTCTGATGTACTTTTACAAAATAAATGACAGAGTTCTTCAATTATTAAAGTTAGTGAATTATTGTTGTACAAATAAAGTTAGTGAATTATTACACGGATCAACAACACTTGACAGTAGATCAAGGCCTAACCATTTATTTTATTTTTGGTGACAAAACACAAGCTAACCCTTAACACCAAAAAATGTTGTTTTACAGCAACAAATGAATATTACAGAATTTTGGTCCATTGGGCTTTACTAATAGACCCAAAGTTACCTGACCCGCTACGACTATTGTCGAGTCAAATACTACTGAAAGGATTCTGAGTGAAGGATAAAGAAGTCTTAACAAAAGGATAAAGAAGAGTCTTCTTCATATTCCAAGCTTTTCTATTTAAGGGTAATATGAAGTATAAGCCACACCTTTTTTTGGAGTACTGTTACATTCACTGCTCCATATGCTCGGTTTTCTTTGAGTGTTGAATAATTGGTTTTGGAGGTCTTAATGGTCTAGATTCTGAGACCTCATTTTGGTAGAAGAGATCTTGATACTTGAAAGCACCAACAATGGTTGTTAGTTTATCGTACAATTTACTTTATATGATTAGTACAATATTTAAAACCACCCATTTTTGTTATCATCTGATTTGACTCTATGGTGGTTTCATTCTCATATTCCATTTTTTTTACTTTATGCCGTTTGTTCTAGGTGTAACCTATATCTTACAGCTTCTACTCATTTGGGTGGATTGTATCAAATCATTTTTTTCTCTCGTGGGGTCTTTTGAGTTTTCTTTTGGGCTTATTTCGTCACGTTTTTTATTTTATTTTGTCTGATCATCCTCACAGTCTACTCACCTCTACACCAAAAAGTTTGATAGCGAAACAGGAAAGGCTAGGCTACTTATTTTACATAGCTAGGCATTAATCAATATGGTAATCACTATCAAACAAGAAGTCAGTGGCATAATCTAGGATTTTTTTTTAAAAAGCTTAGAGAGATTAAGTTAATCTTTTAGTTGACCAAGTTGATTGGCTGCTCTTAATTAACTCGTTAGTTCTAAGTGTTTTGCCTTCTCAGCTTCATTATCTGAGTTGTTTATGACTTCATTCGCTCACGTGAGAGTCTAGGATCTTCTATTGGCATGTCATTTTTATGGAATGTACATTTTCAGGCGTTAAAGAATGAAGAAAGGCAAACATGTCACAATGTTTGAAACTATACAGTGGGAATGATAACGTTGTTTTTAATATTGTACTACACATAGATTGCGATCTCTTGATAACACTTATATATACATATATCATTAGGTTTTAAAACATAACTGCACCTAACCCTATAGTTGACTCTGTTTCTAGAAACCGTGTATCAATCTCTCCGGTCCTAATGGTGCTATATGCAAGCTAATCATGTCCTGTCGTGGTTGATTAGCTGAAGAGGTCGTCTCGCTGCAGCCAGCTATCTTCTGGCAAGTCTGAATGAGGCAGTGCCTGCAAGTGGGACAGGACGAGTGTGAACTGAGCCATTTGTCTATACACCGGACGTGGAATCCATGGTGGCACTTGGGCAGAAGCTTGACTCGCTCTCCGGACACAAACTCAGAGAGACATATGGCACACTCTGTGTCTAAACCAGGCAGCTTCGGCTCTGTAGAGTAACTTACCGTCTGGAAACTCTTCAGGGCCTTTCTTTTGACCCCTGTGTTAGCCAAACGAACCGCGAGCTCGTCACTAGCTTCGGATGATAATAGATTGGAGTATCTCAACGCACATCTTATGATGGAATGCAATCCAAGTGAGCAAACTAGTGCACATAAGAGTACCGATAGGACCATGACAACATTTGCATCAAAGCTCATATGATGTGTGTAAGAGTGAGTTGCTTGATGAGCGTCTGCAAATGGTGGTGATGCAGTGGTAGGTGGTTGATAGGCTGTGTGAAGTAGTAGTCTTCTTGAGTAAGCAGAAGTTGCAGTCGACATGATGAACCTGTTTGAAGAGAGAGAGATTGATAGATAGATCTTGTAGGTTTTTGTTGCAGGTTCTATATATAGTGCGGAAAGGTAAAGGTTTCATATACTTTCTGAGTTATAATGGGAAATAGTTTTAATCTGAATTATGGTTGGTGTAAGTGTAAGGGTGCTTTTATTTAATAGTCTTCAATCATATTATATGGATTCTCCACTGAATTTGCATAATCTCAGTGTGCTTTCTTATTGAAAATGGGCCCATCGTACCATTCACTGCAATTGTAAGGCCATGTGGCAGTAAATTCAGCAAATCAAATCCTCAAGAATTATTGCTCACAGGGACCCATGAGCTTTAGTATGAAGCAGCCATGAACTTACCCTAATCTTTGAGATAGCATTCACATTATACACCACTTTGGGTCTTGGCCCATATCACTGATCTCTCTCTGTTCCGTCTTACTTATTAGGGCTTCTAGTATATGTTTGATGCAGACTAAGTTATACAGTGACATCTATCTACACTGACTATCTTTGGTTTAGATGTAAAATTTGTCATATATTCATATGTTAAAGGAAACTGAAGTTAGAGACACTAGATCAAAGTGATGCTATAATTAAGGGTAAGATTTTTTGATGTTGCAAAGCAGGGGAGATCTATCATTTCTCACTAGTCTCACTCTGAAAATTACATAAAGACTATAAGACCCTATCTGAAAATGATTTATCTTTTCCTTTGTTTGTGCCACTAAGGGTTCCACATAGCTGGTAAGGAACAGATAGTGGTCTGTTTTTTTTTTTTTTTTATCCTTTCCTGAAAGTGATTAACTTTGCCTTTATTGCTTTATAATTACCATGTGATACTCGTGCATCCTTTTGGTTGACATTCTTGATTTGGTAGTCTTCCTCCTACTACGTGATTATTATAAGTGAAGGAGTAAAAAAAAGAGCATCAAGATGTGAAATAATTTATAGTTTGGAGAACCAAGTAAAGTCTTATGACTCTTATCAATTTAGATGAGTAGAAATGTAACTGTAACTGGTTCAAATTGTATCTGTTATGGATGCATTTGAATTTATTATGATTTGGACTCATCCAAAGTGTTTAAAGAGCCATGTAACTAGTTTAAGGAGCATAGTAATTATGTCTCTTGTTGAGCTAGAGAATTTGCAATTCTCTAATACAGAGCTTTTGGCTCATTTATTTCTTTGTCTAGGTTCAATTATTTGATGTTTAATCTCTGACTTGTCTTTTGGTGGGACCTATTCCATTACCTTTCGATTCCATTTCTTATTAGTGATGGTCATTTGTTGATTTTTTTTCTTCTAATCTTTATTTTTTTTTCTTCATTATTCAATTTGTGCTTGGATGAATTGGCGCAACCTCTTGTGTCCAGAGTTTTTGTCGACAGACTTTTTTCCTTTTTATTTATTTGGATGGTTCTGAATGATCTGTGATACTATTTAAAACCTTCTCTCCTTCACAGCTACACCATTGGATTTTCCTTTGTGCCCTGTAGTGCTTTTGTCTTTACATTTTGTTGCTTCTTATGCTAATTAATAAAATAGAATGTTCTTAACCCCACCAAATGAACACGTCTACTAGCCGCACACTTATATACAATCAGTGCACGAGGAATCAGTTTTCCCTTATTTGTTCAATTAAATGGTTCATTTTTATAATGTTTTGTTGTTATTTAGCCAGCCTCCATATTGGTTTTTGTAGTTGTAAAATTGTAGTCCAACGCGCTGTTGAGCACTGTAAAGTCCTTAGTTAACAATATTACAACAATATGATTCAATTGCACCTGATGAAGTTTACTTTAGGGTTGTGGAATCCAACTTTGTTTAGATGGTTTTGAAACAATACATGTGATTCTGGCTCTCTTCAGTTTCAAGATGGGGATTTGATATTTGGAGCATCTGTTAAAGATTAGGACAATAAAATCAAGAAGTGTATCAAGTTGATATAGTAAACTGACTACTATATCTATTTTGTCCTAATTTCGTGATGGTTTTTCATTTGGAGTGACTGAAAGTATTGTTAAACTGGAGCTTTCCATTATGATTTCATAGCATGTCTGTGTTGCAAGACTAATTTAAGTATTGCTCAAAGTAGCTTTTAGGTTTGACTATAACCCACTCACTTAGGTGCATGTTTGACCTTATTATGGGTCGGCTCCATATCCCTTTCCAGAAACACTGAATTGATTTCTTTATCATTAGTACTAAGAATCCATAAATATACTCTTACCCAGATTAGTTACTGTGGGTTGTTTTTGGGGCATATATGTGACATGAATATGCAGAGAAATTCTCTGAAAAGCAGTTATCAAACGTTTTCTTGGCTCCTCTGAGTATTGCGTAGGAGTCAAGAATTCATATAACTCCCAAAAACGCAAAGAAAAGTCTGATCAACTTATGATGCCACACAAAACTCAAGATATATCCTCTGTACATTTTGAGCTTCAGGGAAACAGAAGAAGAAAGCTAACGTGTGTTTGATTTTGGAATCCTAATGGCTAGGGACATAAACTGTGTTCAAATTTAAAATAAGGTTCTCCAATCTTGTTAAAGAACCATAATTCTTGGAATCTAATTGTCTAGCTGCTTTCTCTAAAAGTGTTTACTCTTGCTTCGGGTTCTAGAGGATCAATTCTGACATCTATGCTCTCCGTTGATGTTGATACAACCTGATCAGCTTCACCGCAGTCGCCTAAGATCTTTTGGCATGTCTCAACCAGACAGTGTCTGCATTTAGGACAAGTCATATGTTGTGTAAGCCACTTGTCGATGCATCGAACGTGGAACCCGTGGTTGCACTTGGGAAGCAGACGAAGCTGTTCTCCAGCTGCGAAATCAGACAAGCAGATAACACACTCTTCTCCGAGCCCTGGCATGTTTATCTCAGGTGAGTAATTCACTATCGGGAACATCTTGAGAGCTTTCTTCTTGATGCCTTTGTTCACCGCTGAACTTCGTGGCGTGGACGGGCTAGTGATTGGATCAGAGATCATGAAACTCGAGGAACGTCTAAATGCACAACGGATTACGTAATGCAACCCTAGGGAGCAGATGATACCGCAGACAAGGATGGAGAGAAGCAGGAGAACGTTACCGCTCAAGTTGTTCTTGTCGGGTACATGACCTTGTTGTTGTTGTTGCTGTTGGTGTTGAATGTTGTGAGCAAATGGGAGTTGCTGAAGCAATTTCCTGGAGACGAAACTGTTGATGAAGTGTTCTTGGAAGACTTGAGATGAAGAAGGCAAGTGATCTGAAGACATGTTTAGTTACTTGTATTACAGATTTCAGGATATCAAAAGATGTTTCTCTCTTTCTTTTTGCTTTGTTGTTTCTCTTATGTTGTTTTGCTCTGGTTTATTCCCTTGGGTGATACAGAGTTGGTGTTTATATATAGCTTGATTATGATTAGTTAGTGGGGACTAAAGGAATTAAAATATGGTTTAGAGACGATTTAATTGTTGGTATTTTGGAAAGTTCCTTTCTCTCTATCTCTGAAAATGAAGATGAGGAATTTGGGACCCAGAAAGAGCTTATCCAATTCCATGAGTCCTTGTGTTCAGATTTGTGCCTCTGTCCATATCTTTTCCAATTAACAAAATGCTTTTGTAGGGACAATCATTTCCTCCTGGAAATAATTTTATCTCTCGTTTAATATAAAAGAAAAATACAACAAAAAAATAAGCTTGATATCTATTATTTATGTGATTCTTATTTTAATCAAGAGGACCTTGTTGAGTTGGTGTATTCTCTCTATTATGATGGTGTGGAAAGTTGTAAAGCAGTGTTTATGTGTTTTGTTGCTTTTATAATTAGTTATCTGTATTATTGTGCCTCTCTTTCCATGTGTTGTGTCGCTTCATAATTCTCGAAATTTTTAATAATGAAATTTAAAAGTACTTAAAAACAAAATGTTAAAAACATCCCTTAATTTTTTCTTCTTCTTTTTCTTCAGTAAATTTCCTAATTTTGTGGAAATGATTGCAAATAAATTCAGTGAAATCGCTATACATATAGAATTATACAATTCCTAATAGTGGACGATCAAAAATATATAGATATCTCCCTTTATTAAAAAAATATATATATATATCTCTTTGTGTTTCGACAATTGTTCTTTTCGTTTCATCTCTTTACTCTTTAGTCTTTATAGGTAATATATGCAAGATCTTTTTTTTCTGATAATGATCTAAACGATAAACTTGTCTGCATATATATGAACCCTTTTCTGAATTATTTAGTTATCTTATATATTTATGCATTATTCGTTTTGCAAAAAGCCATAAAAAGGAGGAAACGAAACAGATGTAATCTGCTCTATTGCTGCCCCTTTTCGCTTCTACTCCACAAACGTTATCGTCTGGGTTTAGGTTTTGTCTTTTGCGTCGTCGTAATCTTCCCTACCCTTAATCTCTGGTGCCATGTTTAGTTGTTTTTAATGAGTGTTTTCGTTTCAAAATCTTTCTATGTAATTATATAAATCTATGGATTTATATTTGCTCGATAATTTATATACCGTACGTATTTACAAGCTTTTTCAACTTTGACTGATAAGCATATACCATTTACATATTCCTCTTAGTTAAAACAATATTTTTAGTGATATTTATATTTTTCTAATTTGTAAATAACTTTATAAAATGTGTCTGATATGTTTAATTCAATTTTAGATGGAGATAGATATAAGTGAAACTTTGTGGTTGTGGACATGGATTCACCCCCAAAAACACACAAGTGGTATATACTTGCTTTTTAATTAACCCGACTTTTTTCTCATTTTTTATTTGCCTCTTTACTTAATTTAATGAGCGATTAATGAAGAAGTAATGCGATATATATAGGGTTTATCTCTACATGACTTGGTGCATCATGGAAAGATTTTGCATGTCACGTAGCCTAATGATAAGTTATAGAATTTAATATTGGTATCTTGTAGTGATTACCCATTACCACGAAAAGAACATCTTGTAGTGCGTTCAAAGATGATATTTTCCATTTTTAGATGAATACTAGTTTCCACATCAAAATCAACAAGTCGTAACGTATATGCAGCATAAAATATGTTTACAAAGATTTGTGTTGCTTCATAAGATCAATAAGAGTAATAGCACAAAATAGCATAAAATTGGTAGTCAATTGAGCAATCGATATATGCAATTTCTGGGTCCAAGCATGAAACTATTTTGTCACTTATGTTTTCGCTTTTGCCCTTACGTGCTTCATCGAAATATTACTTTTTTTTCTCTTCAAATCCTAATTACTTATTCACAAAACGAAGGGATATGAAGACAAAAAACAATTTTAGTCCATCACTTTATTTAAAATAGTTGTAACTTATTTTCTTTGTTAAAAATAGAAGGGCATATTAATATCGTGCCTTTTGCTTTCACGGTACCCCATAACACCACTTCGCCGATTAATTTACCCTATTTTCGATACTCCCAAAACTTAATCGATACCGTTGGACGGAACAGAGTGAGAGGCAACCGCAAGCGACATCCGGTAGATCTTAGCGATTCAGATGCCGATAGGTTATTTTTCAGGTAATCCCCAACCGTCTTCCAAATGCGAGACCATCAGGTCTTGCTATTATGTTATTTCCCCTGAAGTTACCACTTTCACTCGCAGCTAGGCATTCTCTTGGTTTGTAGCAACAATTGTCAGAGATATTCATTTTGCATGTTGTTTTCTTTTCTGATTTCTTTTTAGACATGTAGTTCGAACCAAGACAAGTTTGGGTTGATGGATTTTCAAATTCCATGCAAAACTATATTTTTCTCTGTACTCATTCAGATTCAATAGCTAAAATTTTCCCCTGAGAAATAGGCATCCATCTACATTTATGAATGTTTATGAATCCGGTCGGCATTTACGATTTACAAATAGAGTCCATATTTGCACATGGCTTGCATTGTCGATAAATGGACCTTCACATTCTCTTATCCGGCTCTACAATTTAAAATGATCTCACCATGTCTTTATTTTTGATAACGGAAATCAGCACTCTCACAGCACCACATGTCTGTTTATTAACCCTTATCACTAATTGTAATATATGTATCGTAGACTGACATCGGTTTGTAATCAGCATTCGCAGGATGGAACCAAACGATCTCCCCCTTTGCATCTTCGCTGATCAGCAGGAGCCGGTGGGAGAGAGAGTGAACTCCTACTTCAAGCTTGAAACCATTGGTGTTATCCTCAAAGCACTCAATCCGGACGAATTAAACGTGATCCGCCCGCGGTCCGGAAAATTGTTAGACCTCTATCACAAAACCGCTCACTCTGGAAAACTTGCCCACTTTCTCCTAACGAGGCAGCTGAAGACCGACAAAAGACACGAACTCTGGTTCGTATTTGGGATCTCGACTCTGCCGGACAGGTAACTTCATTATAAACCTGGGTAGCCCTGTATCTTATGTTATATATCTCCAACAATGTAATCAGATACTCGAATATATGGATGTCTAAGTTTGAGCCTGTGGCCTTATAAATCAGTTTGCGGGTGTTCTTTTGTAGGTGGCTGTGACTTCAATAATCGAAGGCGAATTCGATGGAACTCCCCAAAGTGCCTTCGCATGGGCCAATGAAGTAGATGACCCTAAGGTGGATCACATGGAGATGCTATCTTCATCTTGCAGTCTTTTTTGTTCCTATTTATGGCATGAACATCTATCTTCACCTTGCAGTCTTGTTTGTTATTGAACACATGCCACAAATACAGCTCATCTCCTTTATATGCCACATCCAATATGACATTCTCTGTTTGATCCAATCTTGAGTAGACCCGTCCATCAAATACATTAGATGTCTTTAACGTTTTTTACTCTGCAATGTAGTGTTCTTTTAGCAGCCATTCAGATAATCGTTCATCATATTTAATAACACTCCACTAATATTAATAGACAGTTATATAACCTCATATACTAACATATATTATAGTTATATGAGCAATATAAAAATCCATGAAAGAAAATAACACACTATAATATAATTTACGGGTACGCGATCCGCTGAGTAAATATAACAATCTATAGAACAACATAACTTTTGGAGATGAATATAACACTCCATTAATGTTAATAGACATCTACAATACACTTTTATTATTACAAATCCCCATCATTTTCAAATAACCCATTACAAGTTTATATCCGGCCCGCACTAAGTTTATATCCATCCAGCAACACAAATCGCCACCCCCCCCTACGAGAATGTTGTTATTAATAACAGAAGCACTTCAATATTAGACATAGATATTCATAAACGAAATGCATGGACCAGAATATATGTATACCTGCTCTAACCGGTTGTAGCGCTACATAAAATTAGAGGGAGGAAACCACTATTTATGGACACTCTACATACCTAGGTGTAATCAGATATTTACATTTTCCCGCTCACCCACTCATAATATCTTGTTCTAGCATGACTAATTCACAATAATTATCCATCCCTTCGAAATATCTCATGCATACGTCAGGCGGCTTGAAGATTATCTTGCCTCCCCATTTAATGCTATCCGGCGGCTATCTGATCTCGCCAATATCTCGTCCAAATTAATTTAATTGTTCTAGACATATTCAAGTTAATAGTCAGAACCACACGCAGTCCATGGCACTCTGCGTAATTAGATGAACTTGTTTTTTTTTTCGGCATCCTTTAGCTATTTCTTTCTAGCGTATGAATGATTTGTTGTTTTGCTAATTATGTACTCAAATTTAGTCATCCATCTCTTTCTCCCTAGTATATATAACCCTTATGGCGTTATTGTGGATTTAAGAAAATAATTATAATAACAGACAGTTGTACTAGTTTACTATAACAATTTTGAAGCCAATATGTGTTAGCCATGGCTTGTTTCATTTGTTTTCGTTAATTACGTTTACTAAATTAGTATCAGATAGTTTAGTGAAAGCTGGAGAAGATTGTTTTGGGAGTGGGATTTTGACAAATATCAAATATCGTTTTGAACCATTATAGTATGAATTTCAACCGAATCCAATTTGAAATTCAGAGTAAGTGAAAACAAATTTTAAAGTTCACTAGTTTCAAACTTAAAACTAGTTTACAAATTGTTCATGTCTAACTTAAGTAAGGCTTCAAATTGTATATGGGCTTCTCGTGGCCCAACTAAAAGAATTGTATGTTCTAAAGAGTGTTATATGAACGTGGGACGATTAGTCTTGCCTACCTGCACCGTAATCTCTTTATCGTCTCTAGTCTCTCTATCCGTTGTTTTTGTCACAACAAGAAATAGAAAATAAAACTTACTTATCGTTTGGATCGAGAAAACTGCCATGAGAAATGACGATCTTTTGGATTGAAACACCGACAAAGTCATTGTCATTATTAATTTGAGAAAGCCTGTTTATTTTTCCTAAGAATTGACAACAAAACAATATTGACTTTTAGATAAACCAAACTTATCCAATATTTTTTGGAAAATGTTAAATATAGCTAAAGTAACATGTTCAATAGATTTATACATTTCTTATTTGTTGCTATCTTATAATGTAAACTTATAATACTTGTTTCTCTTAAGTAGTTTCCATTCAGTCAGTTTCTCATTCTCATTGGTCATTAGATCACTTACTTTTGTTCCCCCATGTCACATAAATTTCTTGGGGAAAAAAAAAGAGTGATATTTTAAAATCTTTTTATACATGTGAAATGAAAAAAAAATCATTAGGATCGATTTATTTTTGTCAGTTGCTACAAATTTTCCTAAAAATTATATTTTGCTAAATATCAATTTTAGATTCGACAAAGCGAGCGAGTAAAAAACTTCACATTCGTGCATAGTTGGTATATTCTTAACTTCCCTTACCTACGAAAACCTTGCCCATGGGACCCACTCACAAAGTTAAAAAAAAATATAAATTTGAAACAAATAAAATAAAAATTGAAAGTATAAGTGTGGATCGAACGAGTCATGTAGAAGATATCATCGTCTCTGAATAAACAAAATAAGAAAAGAATGAGCAACTATTTTGAAGTTCGAATGATGATGAAAAACCTCGCTTGATTTTGAGAAATTTCCCATTGTTCGATTCAGTTTCGGTTTCCAAGGATTTAAAGCCGGAAGACGAACCAATTCTCTGATTTCTGTAATCGAAAGTTGTGTCCTTTTTTTTTTTACTTCGTTAGGGTTCTTCCAATTTTGCCGATAAAATCGTGAAAAAATACAAAAAAAAAGAAAAAAGTAGTGAAAAGAAACGAGTTCGAAGAAGGAGTTGAAGTTTAAAGGGAGCGACACAAGGTAAATGATGCTTACTGGGTAAAGTCTTCATAACTTCGTGAGTTTGGATACTCTGTTCTGGGTTTAGGATTTTACTCTTTCATGTTTGTTTCTGAATCGGATTTCATCATCGAGAAACTTGTAGATGATTCTAAGTTAAACCCTTAAATTCTGGGTTTTTGTTTCGATCATATGCGGAATCAGTAGGGTTTACCGATTTTTGGAATAGATCTTTTGTTTGTTTGATAGTGAGTGATACTTAAATCACCTTTTCAATTTTGATTCCCAGGAAAGGGACAGTAAAAGATGAACAAGAGTAGCAATTCGGAAGGCGCTAAAGCGGAACAGATCATATTTGAGTTCTTCGCTAAAAGCCTCCACATAATCCTCGAATCAAGGACTCCTTTCATGTCTTCAAGGAATTTCAGCGGCGAGCAGATGATTTGTTCCCCTTCCTCGTCGTCTTCCTCTTCCTCAAGCGTCAGGCCTCGTGACAAATGGTTCAACCTAGCTCTCAGGGAATGCCCCGCGGCGCTGGAGAATTTCGATATAGGTCGCCGGAGCAGCCTCGAGCCTCTGGTTGTCGATGTGGTTCTCGTGGCGAGGACACTCGGTAGCGATCAGATGAGCTCGTCAGGTAAGAGGGAGCTTATCAGGAACTTTTCCGGGAAAGAGTATCATCATCAATCTGGGTGGAGTTCAGATCAAGACGAGATAGGGTTTGAAGCCAAGAACGAGCAGATAATCGAGAGATGGGTGGTGCAGTATGATAACAGGAAGATCAGAGAATCTCCTACTACTAGCGGAAGGAGGTCAAGCAGTAATAAGTTGCAAGTGATGTATAAGAAAGCGACTCTGCTTCTGAGATCACTGTTTGTGATGGTTAGGCTTTTACCTGCTTACAAGATTTTCCGGGAACTCAACTCCTCTGGGCAGATCTTCAAGTTCAAGCTTGTTCCTAGGGTCCCTACCATAGTTGAGCCATTCACTCGCAGAGAAGAAGCGGAGATGCAGAAGTTTGCTTTCACGCCGGTTGAGACCATCTGTGGTCGGCTTTGCCTGTCGGTGCTGTATCGGTCTCTCTCAGATGTCAGCTGCGAACACTCGACTCCCATGTCTCCGACGTTTATCACCGATTACGTTGGAAGTCCTTTGGCTGACCCGTTGAAGAGGTTTCCTTCTCTTCCTCTTTCGTATGGTTCGCCTCCGTTGCTGCCGTTTCAAAGGCGACATAGCTGGAGTTTCGATCGATACAAGGCCTCTCCGCCTTCGGTTTCTTGCTCACCGTCGCCTACGCACTCGGATTCGCATGCTCTGGTTTCGAATCCTTGTTCCCGTCGACTTCCTCCTCACCCTTCTGATATACCACCCACTGGTCGTAGGAAGGAAAGCTACATCGAAGAGTACTCTCCTTGTCAAGATTTCTCTCCACCTTGTTCTCCTTCAGCACCTATACACGCTGTCTCGAGAGGCATCACTCGTACTGAAAGTGCTCCAGTCAGAATCCCGGCTCCTACTTTCCAGTCCAAACAAAATGTGGCGGCACCTTCTCCTTCACCTTCTCCTAATTTGAAATTGTCGAGACACGCTTCGTTGAAGCCTGTGAAAAACTCTGGTCCTGTTGTTGAACCTGGAGCAGCATTGGAGAAGGTAAACTAACTCCACGCTTTTTTTCTTTAATCTATTGTCTTATCATGTGAACGAATGAGTAAAATCCTAGTATTTGTTTCCTTCAAGCTGTTTCTTTATGGGAGAGAAGATTTTAGGAGGACTTCTGGCGTGAGGCTATCTTCCAACAGCTCACCGCAGATATCATTTTCTCGGAGTTCCAGTAGATCTTTCCAAGACGACTTTGATGAAACTGACTTCCCTTGCCCATTTGATGTTGAGTATGATGATATTACAGATCGTAGTAGCAGGTATGGTCTTAAAAAAACTTACAAACCTCACTGTGTCTTTTCCACTTGATCTACAACCCAAGTACAGTCTTTCTGTTGCATTTGGCTCTCATTGTTGCTTCCCAATAAGTAATCTACTAAACCTTTCTCATCTATTTTAATCATTGTGACTTAAGAAGCTTGTTCATGTGCTTTCTCACTTTGAGCCTTTGTAGTAAGCAGCCATTAGACCCAAAAAGTTTCTGTAATGCTTCTTTATCCATGTAGCTTCCATCAGTTTTGCCGTATTCTTGCACTGTTCTTCTACATGGAAGATAGAAAACTGCTAAAACGTTTCAACTTTTAGCAGAGAAATCAAAGAAACTCTTCATTGTCACTAATATCATATCTCATCTACTCCAGAACAGATCTTTCTTTGGATTTATTAGTGAATAATATAATCACTTGAAATTGTTCCCCTCTGGTTTCTGATCCAGTTCTTGAGTGTTGTTTTGCAACTGCTTACATGTATTTTCCACTAGAAACTGATATTGCTTTATGATTGCCTTATTTCAGACCAGGGTCTTTTGACCAGAGAGGAGACATACATGAACCGCTCGAGTCAAGCGGGTCCTTCCCAAAGAAGTCACAAGATGCTGCAGTTGGTGCCCTTGTGAGTATGCTGAAGAAAGCTCCACCTCTCAGACAAGATGCCTCCGAACATTCCATACCTGAAATTTGTTGGAACAACAACAACAACAACAAACCTGCACAGGCTCACGAGACAGCAGCAGCGTCTATCACAGCCTCGGGGCTTGCTCTGGCCTCAAAGACAACAGCTGATGCTTTGGAAGAGCTGAGGTCTTACAAGGAAATGAAGAATGTGTTGCTTAGTCAATCCACGATGGACCCTTCCTCTGTTACTACTACTTCAGCCTTTGCTGTTTCACAATCTTGACCCTTTTTTTGGGTTTCGGTTTGGTTTTGGTTAGTTTTGGTTACTGGGTTTGGTTTTGATTTTGATTTTACATAATGTGCCTCTGTATATATATTAAGCTCTCGAAGTTTGGATGATATCATGATAATGGTCGGTATGTAAATAAACATATATCCCCAAAAAAAAAAATTATGTAAATAAACGATAAACCTTTTAATCGCATGTATATAAAACTAAGTAATTTTTATATTGTAAAAGCATTGCATTTTGGGAGTTTATTTTTCCACTTCAAATACTCCATTGATTAAATACTTGTTATGAAGAAACTCGGCTTATAAAATGAGCTAATAATCTGACAACAAATTGCTTGCATTTGAAAAAAGAACCTTTCAATTTTGATTTGATGTGTAACTTATATAAATCAAAATACAAAAGAAGTTTAATCACACGTCGTCGTTTCGAGAAAAAAACCTTCGTCACCCGTCGGCGAATCTGGGAAGACTAAAACCCTAATCGAAACCCGACACTCGACAGAGAGTCCAAATCTAATCGTCTTCTCTATTTGTCTCACTCGTTGGAGGGAAGAGGAAGAACAAAATGCCGCTCTACGACTGTATGCTTCTGTTCAAGCCAATCATCCGGAAGGAAGGGCTCATCGATCTCGTAGCGCGCATCGGGAAACACGTTTACAGCAGAAATGGCGTCCTCACCGAGATCAAATCCTTTGGCAAGGTCGAATTGGGTTACGGTATTAAGAAGCTCGACGGAAGACACTATCAGGTAAAAAAAACTAGTGTTGAATCGATCATTTGTAGACTTAGTTGGATCAGGGTTTCCCAGGCCGATTCGATAGTAGTAGCTTTAGTGTTTAGATTCGCCTTTCGATGCCGTATATGAAGAAGCTTTGTTTTTGCATCTTTCTGATCGATTCATATGGTTTTATGTACTAGATTAGGGGAATTTATACGATCCTGGATTGCCATGTATATAGGTTGAGATAAAAATGTTGGTCATTTCTCAATATTCCTCCGAATTGATACTTGTTTTGCTCAGAAAGTATGCTCATTTTAGGTTTTAGTTGAATTCTTGAAGCAACATCGTCCTGATTGTGAATATCTGATTCATACTAGTCACTAAGGTTCTTGATTCACCAAGTTGAACTTATGCTTTGTCTTAGATGATTCAAGAAAATCCGGATTAGGATATCAGAACAGCTAGGATTTTAGAAAAGTTCCTATTTACTCATTTGGCCAAAGAGTTTGATTGTTCTTTTGATCTTCTGTGTGGAGTTTTATTGTTAGTTTGATGCATCACTTGTTGAAAGATAATTTGGTTCAAGCAATCGTTGCTCTTAGACGTCTGGGAATCGTTGGCAATAGTTTTAGGATTAGCATATGGTTGAGAATATTAGCACAAGCTTTAGTCATCATTCTCCTAAGTCTCTTTAATTGAATCTTCATACAGTGAGCTGAACACACATCTTTGTTTAGCTTCTCTCTCACTAACCTTCAAATTCACGGATTGTCGTCTTAAGTAGTATTTTCTGCCTTGGAGCTTTTGGATGTTATACAGTAACGTAATTGTATGGGTGAATGGCGCAGGGACAATTGATGCAAATAACAATGATGGCAACTCCAAACATGAACAAGGAGCTTCACTACCTCAACAAGGAAGACAAGCTCCTGCGCTGGCTCCTAGTTAAACACCGCGACATCAAGATTGGATTATCGGAACATGATCACAGGGACGAGTCTAACCTAGTCACCAATAGGAGCATACATGATGATTCCTCAACGGACGAAGACGACGATATTTTAGGGTTATCGCGATGAGGAGGACAAAAAAAGATAACTGAAGAAATCGTTTACTTTGATATGTTACTATGAACAGATCTTCAAGTGGAGGAGCCTCCTTCATCTTTCTCTTATGGTTGTTATTGAGACTTTGTTTTTTTTTTTTTTGTTACAAGAAGTGGTATGAGTTCTTTTTGCTCAGACAATGAAACAAATTGATTATGTAATAATAATAATTAGTTTTTTTATTCTAAGATTTGGATATTTTCATACGGGATATTTCAACGTCAGCAATTGGCTGATAAACCCGGAATTAAATGCCACGTGTATTGACACGTCATTTTTGCATGGACCGAACAGAGCGTTTCTCTGTTTTTAGGACTTTTGAATATTCAATTTTATTTTTAAAAAAAACAATTTTTGGGGAGAAAAAAAAAAGAATTAAAATAGAGGAAAAACGGAGGTGGACGTTCGTGATAAACTTGAACAAAACACTTGTTCTATTTTCCCCTCGTCGCTTCATCTTCATCCATCGATTTCACAAATCACAATTAGGGTTCGGATCATTCCTCTCATTGTTGTTCTTCTCCTTCTCCGGTTCCGTCTCACGTTGGCGATTTAACCCGAATTGAACAATTCATTTATCCAGGTAAAAATCCAAGCTCATAACTTATTACCTTTTTACCCTGTGTTTGGGGGATACAAATATTTTCTTCGTGTGTTTTGTATGCATGGACGTAAATGGGACATAGGTCTCTCTCTCAATTTGCTCTTGTTGATGGATGTTTTTTTTTTTTTTAAACATTTTTTAAAAATTTCTATTCTCTTCTCAAATTATGAATTGATTCATGGTAATTATGTATGCTATATGTCGAATGTGAACAATGATGGAATGCAATCAAGAAAGAAAGAAAGAATATTCGATTTTTGTTCTCAATAAAACGATGTCACGATCCTAAATTTTGACGAGTTTCACTTGATTTTTGTTATGTTCTCTTGATCTGAGCTGATCAATTGAAGGGTAAGAAGTTTCAAAAAAAAAAAAAAATTCCCAGCTAAAATTGGATTCAAGGTTGTATTGGCGTGTGGAAATCTTTGTTGTCTTTGAATATTCTTTCATTTCACTCGAAAAGAAAAGCTTTTCTTTAAAGATTCTGTATTTTTTTGGAATTGTTTCTGTCGTAAGCTTGAAGTTGAAGGTGGATACTTTTCAAGGTGTAGGAAAGTATGGATGGTTCAGAGGATTCTTCTGTACTTCAAGAGCCTCCTGACCCCGAAGTGCTCGAAATTGATCCAACCTTTCGATATATACGGGTATGCTGAACATCTCTTGAATGATCCAAACATTCGTTATTATTATAAAACCAAGCAAAGAGGGATTTAAGATCCACCTCTTTGGCTTGTTTTGCTTTTTCAAATGTTATTATATTGTGTGGTGATTTAATTAAGTATCTTATGTTGTTAACCAAATAACTATGGACCTTTCAGTATAAAGAGGTTATCGGAAAAGGCGCATTCAAGACAGTGTATCCTTTTCTCTTCATTTTGTTACTTATTTTCAGAAGCTTATACTTAGGAGAATGAATATGTTTGTGTTCTGCAACTTTTCTTGGTTTGTAACTTTAACTCAGAAGAAATCAGTTACAAAGCATTCGATGAAGTAGATGGGATTGAAGTCGCGTGGAACCAAGTACGAATAGATGATGTTTTGCAGTCACCGAACTCCCTCGAGAGGCTGTACTCTGAAGTGCGTCTTTTGAAATCATTGAAGCACAGTAACATCATTAGGTTCTACAACTCATGGATCGATGATAAGAACAAGACAGTTAACATAATAACTGAGCTTTTCACTTCAGGGAGTCTCAGACAGTATGTATCTCCTCCCTTCCTCTTTTATTACACAACACTTTGTCTTCTGTTATCTTTGGAGTTTAAGCAAATCTTTTTGTTTTTAGTTACCGTAAGAAACACAGAAAGGTGAATATGAAGGCCGTGAAGTGTTGGGCGAGACAGATTCTAATGGGTTTGAGGTATCTTCACAGTCAAGAGCCACCGATTATACATCGTGATCTCAAATGTGATAACATCTTTATCAATGGAAACCATGGAGAAGTGAAAATAGGAGATCTTGGTCTAGCTACTGTCATGGAGCAAGCTAATGCCAAAAGTGTGATTGGTATAGTTTTTATTCACATTTTCCACTTTAACCAAAACTTTGAAAAAGGGCATAGAATATTGAAGTGTTACTATGTTTACCAACAGGAACCCCAGAGTTTATGGCACCGGAGCTTTACGATGAGAACTACAACGAGCTTGCTGATATTTATTCATTTGGGATGTGTATGTTGGAGATGGTGACATTTGAATACCCTTACTGTGAATGCAAAAACTCTGCTCAGATATACAAGAAGGTTTCAGCGGTGAGTTTACCAACAACGTCATATATATTTTCATATCTCATTTGATTTTAACTGGATCTGATTTTTTGTTGATTTCAAGGGAATAAAACCAGCTTCACTCTCTAGGGTTCAAGACCCAGACGTAAAGCAGTTTATTGAGAAATGCTTGCTTCCTGCATCCGAGAGGTTACCAGCAAAAGAGCTTCTGCTAGACCCTTTTCTTCAAGTGAATGGTTTGGCAATGAACAACCCTTTGCCGCTTCCCGACATTGTAATGCCCAAAGAAGGTGCGTTTGGAGAACGTTGCCTCATGTCTGAAGGCCCTCCAACAGCACGGCGTAGTAGACCCATGTCTATGGATCTCGACGAAGACAATAACCTGCCGATTGTTACTTTCAGCGACAACTCAGGATCCAGGTCTATTGAGGTCAGACGCGCAAAGAGAGGGAACTTCTTTGTCCTCAAGGGTGAAGAAAACGATGAACACTCTGTCTCGCTAATTCTTCGTATAGTAGACGAGAATGGTGAGCATTTTTGGTTTCAATATTTGTGACTTTCGCGTTTTCAGAAACATAATGTTCCTAATTTTCTTGTTGCAGGACGTGTGAGGAACATTCATTTTCTGTTCTATCTAGAAGGTGACACTGCTTCCAAGGTGTCGAGTGAGATGGTTGAGCAGCTCGAGTTAACTGACCAGAACGTCACGTTTATAGCCGAACTGATTGATATATTACTTGTCAACATGATACCCACCTGGAAGACCGATGTAACGGTCGATCATCTCATTCACTCGCAGCTGAATCATAGCTCAAGAAGTTATCAGAACGAAGCGAAGCCACAGAGACAAGAGGAGGCTGCTTCTGAGTCGGTTAGCCCCTCGTGGACCTCTGATTGCCCACGATCAGACGAGGAAGATAAGCAGTGTGTGGATACCATTGAAGGAGAAGACGGGAGCTGCGACAATCAAGAAGCAGAAGAAGCAACGGAGCCAGTAAGTTTGGAGGAAGAAGAAAGGTTAAGAGAGGAACTGGAGGAGATAGAAGCCAAGTACCGGGAAGAGATGGAACAGATAGGAAAGAAAAGAGAAGAAGCAATAATGGAGACGAAGAGAAAGTTGTCTCTGAAGAAGATAGAACAAGTTGAGTAGCCAATTAAAAAAAAATACACAAAAAGACGTGGTTTTGGTTGTTTCTTTATATTCATTCTGAGTTGATTTGTTGCTTAAAGACGATGAAGAAAAAGCACTTCGCTCTCTCAAAGTGTAGAAAGTTACAAGGGTGAAGAGTTTCTTCGTGGTTGTTAAAGGTTTTTGATGTGTTCGAAAACGTAAGAAGAGATGGTTGTCTTCATTTTTGTCTCTTTACATGTAGAAAAAACTACGATGAATATTTGTGTTGAATGCAAATTTGTTGAACAATGGCTGGAGTAGATAACAAAAGCAGAGCATTTCATTGTTATGGAGACGAAAATTTCATTAAACCATAAGAAGGAAACCAAAAGAAACCTAACATTTTAAGTCTTTCTGAAGTAACAACACATGAGAGTTTTCATAAAGCAGAGAGATAAACATGGCAAAATCATAAACGATCGAGCAAATCATAATCACTGGTCTCCAGGAAGTGACTTGATGATGTCTGAATCACCTGGATCAACGATGCTGAGGCAAGACACTCGGAAGTATTTACCACAAGCAGTACCCAAATCGACATTGTTGCCATTGTAGTGATGAACTCCGACTTTAGCAAGCATAGCGTAATACTCAATCTCTGATCTCCTTAGCGGAGGGCAATTGCTGGAGATAAGAATCAACTTACCTAACAAACAAAACGAATTCCAACAATGATTCAATTCAACAAAGATTACGAAGACGATGCAAAGTATTGATCAATCGATGAACAGAAACGTTTTATGTGTACCTTTGGAGCTGCGGAGGGATTTGAGAACAGATTTGTAGCCAAGAGTGTACTTGCCACTCTTCATGACAAGAGCTAATCTGCTGTTGATTCCTTCATGGGACTTCTTCGACTTCTTTTCCGCAACCATTTTTCGACGCCGGGAAGAGTCACAGATTCGCCGGATTATCAAGAAGATGCCTTCAGGGTTGAAACAGGAGCAGTGGGGCGGCTCAAAACGAGAAGGTTATAGAGAGATAGATGGGGGAAGGTCTTAGGGTTTGTTTCTTGTCAATGTTGAGACCCGCAAGACCCAAAGCTAACTCGACCCAAGGCCCAAAATAAATCTGGCCCAAGTTCAGATTTTAAGGGTCGATCATTTCTCAGACATTCTCAACTGAAACAGAGCGAACACTCAAAGAAGTCGTCAGAACGAAGCTAGGCCACAGAGACAAAGTGGGGACTGCTCTTCATGCTGCTTATTAGCCGGTTAGCGATTCGGTGGAACGGAAAAAAGACAGCAAGTTTTGAGGAAGAAGGAAAGGTTAAGACAGGAACTGGAGGAGACAAAGAGATAGCTAAGTCAGTTTCTGAAAAGACAGCAAGTTGATTGAGTAGCCAAATAGTACGTTCCTCGTCCTTATTTTATTTTGGTTCTGTAGTAAGATTTTGGTTAAAGAAGAAGAAGCTAAAGCGTAGAGAGATTCCTACAGGTTCAAGTGGCTTCCTCCGTTGCACTTTGGTTGTGAAATGACTTGTTCAGTTGAGACCTACTTCTAAAATCTAACTTGAAAAGTATACAATTCCATTTGCAGCATCACATGATTAACGATATTAGAAAAGACAAATTGTATTTCATGTTAACGATACAAATCCATTTTGCAGCATAACATGATTAACAATGATGAATTTTACTTTCGAAGTAAACTTGAGTTGAGCATTACTAGTTTAGCCAAAGTTAGGATGAAAACTAAGTCTTTACTTCCATATAAAGAGATGCAACAATAGAGAAGAAAATGTAATTAACCATAACGAGGTCTAGAAGCAAAGGAAACCAAACATTACGTCTTTCAAGAACACATTGCATAAACCAGAGATAACATGGCAAAATCATAACTATCGAGCAAATCAAAATCACTGGTCTCCAGGGAGTGACTTGATGATGTCTGAATCACCTGGATCGACGATGCTGAGGCAAGAAACTCGAAAGTATTTACCACAGGCAGTACCAAGATCGACGTTGTTGCCATTGTAGTGATGAACTCCGACTTTAGCAAGCATAGCGTAGTACTCAATCTCTGATCTCCTCAACGGTGGGCAATTGCTAGAGATAAGAATCAACTTACCTAAACAAACCAATCGAAATCCAGCAATCATTCAACAGAGTATTCACGAGAGCTCAACGAAGACGAACCAAAGATCGATGAATTAAGGTTTTTTTTTTATATTTGTTTACCTTTGGAACTGCGAAGGGATTTGAGAACAGATTTGTAACCAAGAGTGTATTTGCCACTCTTCATCACCAGAGCTAATCTGCTGTTGATTCCCTCATGGGACTTCTTCGATTTCTTCTCCGCAACCATTTTCGACGCCGGTGGATGAGTCTCAGCTCGCCGGATTTCACAGGGAGAGGCCTTCGGGGTAAAGCAGAAGCAGCGTGGCGGCGCAAAATGTGAGACTAAATAGAGAAACGAAGGAAACCCTTAGGGTTTATTCTACTGTTCGTCAAGTTACGAGGCCCAAGGCTCAAAATAAACTACCCCATGGCCCAATTGAAACCCAATAAAGCCCAAATTTAGGCTTTAGGGTAAGTTGCTTGATACTGTCTGTATTCCTTATTTTGGCGGGATTTTTTTTGGGATTTGATGGCACCAAAAATCGGCGAAAGTGCAGAAAATGAGAAAATCAAAAATCTGAAATTGACAAAAAGAAAACCCTTTCGTATGCGAAAGTAGAGAGATAATCAACGAATCGAGGAAAGTAAAATTCATCAATGGGTCGAATAGATGTAGCTGCGGCGAAGAGAGCGTACCGGACAGCGAAGGAAGTGGGTAACCGGAGCGAAGAGGCGAGGTGGGCCAACAATGTCGGCGACATCCTTAAAAATGATGGAGAGTACGTTGAGGCTCTCAAATGGTTTCGAATCGATTACGATATCTCCGTAAAGCACTTGCCTGGGAAAGATTTGCTTCCTACTTGTCAGTCTCTTGGCGAGATCTACCTCCGCCTCCAGGATTTCGAAGAAGCCTTGAATTATCAGGTAAGACGTTTTAAAAAAAAAAATCTGATTTTTTCTGCGTTTTGCCTTATCGATTTCTGGGTTTTTTCGCATTGTCATGTACTATTAGGATCGTGGAATAGACTACTGTGAAAAAATGGGGAAAAAAACTGATGAGCTAAAGTCTCTATTTTGGCTGTTGCAGAAGAAGCATTTACAGCTTGCTGAAGACAACGATGACACTGTGGAGAAGCAACGAGCTTGTACCCAGCTAGGTCGTACCTACCATGAAATATTCTTGAAGTCTGAGGATGACTGTGATGCCATTCAGAGTGCTAAGAAGTACTTTAAGAAAGCCATGGAACTTGCACATGTTCTCATGGAGAAACCACCTCATGGAGAGTCTAGCAGCTTTCTTGAGGAGTATATCAACGCGCATAATAACATCGGTATGCTTGACCTTGATCTCGATAATCCTGACGCAGCCTGCAGCATTCTGAAGAAAGGGCTAAAGATTTGCGATGAAGAGGAGGTGAAAGAATATGATGCTATCCGTAGCAGGCTTCACCATAACCTTGGGAATGTTTTCTTGGAGCTGAGAAGTTGGAATGACGCAAAGAAACACATCAAAATGGATATCAATATCTGTCATAGAATCAGTCATATCCAAGGAGAAGCCAAGGGGTATATCAATCTCGCTGAATTACACTACAGGACCCAAAACTACAACGATGCACTTTCGTGTTATGGTAAAGCCTATTCTCTAGCGAAATCTATGCAAGATGAGAGTGCACTGGTTGAACAGATAGAGCAAAATATCAGTATTGTGAAGACAGCCAATGAAGTTATGGAGGAATCGACGGAAGAAGAGCTTAGGCTTAAGAAGTTGTCTGCAGAAATGACTGATGCCAAAGGCACTTCGGAGGAACGAAAGTGTATGCTTCAAGTACATGCTTGTCTTGAACGTCTCATTGAAAAATCCAGAATGGTATTTGCATGGGAAAAGGTGAGTTTTATTTCTTAAACACTTCTTGTTTTTAAATCCCAAGAGTTCATGCCATGTCTGCATGTGTTTGAAAAGTTTCCAAAAGCTAGAGTTGTTCATCTTATGGGTCTTTATTCATAAATAATCATTGTTAGATTTTAGGTTTCATCAGGGTACTATGGAGTGTTATTTTCTTAGACCGATTCAGGGTTTGTGAAGTTCTTCTGATGACAAGTCTTTTCAGATCAGTCAAGAAGAATATATTATCCAAGAAATTGCTTGATTTTTCTCCTCTCTTTTTGAAAATTTTGTGGTGGGATAACATTTTATTTCTAAACTTGCAAAACAACGTTATATTGGTAGACCAGAGTTGCAAAACTATGTTTGTTCTGTGTCAAACGGATATTGAGATCCAAGTCTCTGAGCCGCAGTTCCTGTGACTCGTAATATACTTTTAAACTTTAAGTAGGAAACTGCCATTAATTTTTTTTCCATGCAACTAAAAGGGTTTCAGTTTCTTCTTTGAATGTCTTAGCATCTTGAATTTGGAAAAAGGAAGAAGAAAATAGCAGATGAACTCTGTGACAAGGAAAAGCTGAGTGATGCCTTCTTGGTTATTGGAGAGTCTTACCAAAAGCTCAGAAAATTCAGAAAGTCCCTAAAGTGGGTCGGTAGAAGCTATGAGGGATACAAAGCAATTGGTAATGTGGAGGTGAGATTTGTTTTCTTGCACGGTTATTACAACTTATATTTCTTCGTTTTCATCGTATTTAATTCACAGCACCAGAGATAATTGATGAAGCCTCTACTCATTTGTTCTATGTAAAAAAGAACACTGGTTTTACTATTTAGTTTTTCTTCTATATTGATTTTAATTTTCACTTATGGTGGTGGTCTCTTGTAGGGTCAAGCACTAGCGAAAATTAATTTAGGTGAGGCTTTGGACAGTATTGGCGAATGGAAACAAGCACTCAAAGAATTTGAAAAAGGGAACAGGTAGATCGAGTTATCAAATTGTGAATGCACGCATTCATACATGCATATCTTATGCTAATGAATTAAACTGATGGTCATTTTTGGATGTATTCTTCTGTGGTGCTGCAGAATTGCTCTGGAAGCCAATCTTCTTTCAGTTCAGATTTCTGCACTGGAACATATGCATTATAGCCATATGATCAGATTTGGGAATGCTAAACAATCCAGGTAATCTCTATTATGTAGTCGATGGGCTAATATAGATAGAAATTAAATCTGATGCAAGGTTTAGCAGGGCTGCAACTAGGTTTGCAGTTTCAAATATTTCGCTTTTCTCACAGATATTCTACTATTTAGGGAGTTGCAGGAAAAGATACAAATTCTGAAGGAGTCGGAACATCGCGAGAGGGCCGAATGTGGTACAGAAGATGAATGCTCGGAAACCGACTCAGAAGGGCATGGGAAGATTTCTAATGATAGGCCAAATGTATGTAGGTCACCGGAACCTCAAACATCAAATTCAATTAGATCGGAAACGTTAGCAGACCTGGATGAAGCAGATGATGACATGCCACTAATTTCATATCTCCCGCCTGGTAAACGTGTGTTCAAAAGAAAACAATCAGCGAAACAAGATGTTGACACTGACCGGACCAAGAAAGATATCTCTGCAGTAGCAGACTCTCAGCAGACTATTGTTGGTCGGAAGCGGATTCGTGTTATCCTCTCTGACGATGAAAGTGAAACAGAATATGAGTTGGGGTCCCCTAAAGGCAGTTTCCACAAAGTTCCAAGACAGAATGAGGAAGTTTCTGAGGAAAGTATGTATTTTGATGGTGCTCTTAAGGATAATACTGTCATTCAAGGTAATGTAGAAGAAGGTTTTTGCTCGTACTCACCTCTTCATCCCAAAGCGGCACTAAATGTCAGCAATTGTCGACCTTTGAGCAATAATAAAGCTGTTGAAACAGCTGGTTGTAGTAAAAGAGGATCTCAATGTGATGCTGGCGATTCCAACAGCACGCATTGCAAAACTGGAGCTAATCTTGTGAATTATCACCCTCATTCCAAAACTGAGAATGTGAGAACCCGTAACCTGTTCTTTGAGTTATCGTTGATTATTCTCGATTGAATTTCTTTTTCTTTTTCCTTCTACTTAATCCATTCTTCTCCCTGATAACTGTATTTTTTACTTGTTGCAGCAAAAAATTGAAATTGAAATTGAAAATGTTCACATGGCTTTAGACTCGTGTTCTGGCAATGATGAGTCTGCGAAGGTGGAACTTACTTGCTTATACTATTTGCAGCTTCCTGATGATGAGAAATCCAAAGGTATGTGAACTTATTTATTTCACAGCAAACGTTTAGAAGATTTGCATGATCCCAGTTTGGATCCATCTCTATAATTCTCGTCTCATGCTTAATAATTTATGTTTTGCAACACGTTTTAAGGATACTTATTTATTAAATTTCTGGGCTCTAAAAGTTGTTTGCGTATTTGAACATCCTGTTTGGGTTTCATTAGGTCTGTTGCCGATCATTCATCATTTGGAATATGGTGGTAGAGTTCTGATTCCATTGGATTTATATGAGATTCTCACGGGCTCTTCTGAAAATGTTGTTATTGAAGCTTCCGTTAGTGGTAAGCATTGTCTTGGTATAAATGGTATCTACCCGGGAATATTTGAGATATGTTTGTCAAGCTGATGTTACTAGTTTTGTTTTAGTCAAGAATTGTTCTTTAAGTTCTTACATGAGTGTGGCTGAACTGCTCTATTGATTCTCCCCTCTTATTTATACAATATTGCTGAATCAGCTATGCAATTAATTTGTTGCAGGTTGGGTTCACAAGCGCCTGATGAAACTATACATGGACTGTTGCCAGCAGTTGTCAGAGAAACCCAGTATAAAATTACTTAAGAAATTATATATCTCGGAGGTGAGAATATTACTCCAAGTTTGCCAGATATGAAATAGTTTATTTTCTTTGTTTGCTTTCCTACCTACTTAAAAGCATGCTAGTTGCAAATTGTCACTTTATTTGGTGTATAATCTAAATGGTTATTTCGGTGTATGTTATCAGGTAGAGGATGATATCAATGTGTCAGAATGTGAACTGCAAGATATATCAGCTGCTCCTTTATTGCGTGCCCTCCATGTCCACAATACAGTTGCTATGTTGGATCTCTCCCACAATATGCTAGGTGAAGTTTCCTCTAATGTTTTACCATTCCATGTGATGTGTTACATTTTTAGTTAGTTGGTTAGATGATAAGGACTAGGAAATTCGAAATTACTTATTTTCCATGGTCTTATTTGTTGTTAGGGAATGGAACAATGGAAAAACTGAAACAACTTTTTGCCTCATCAAGCCAGATGTATGGTGCTTTAACTTTGGACATGCACTGTAATCGATTTGGTCCAACTGCTTTGTTTCAGGTACACTATTAGGCTCACAGTTAAAAGTTTCACATATTCTTTTTTTTTCTTCATACTGTTTCATATACTCCACCTTACCAGATCTGTGAATGCCCTGTCCTGTTCACTCGGCTGGAAGTCCTCAATGTGTCCAGTAACCGACTTACAGATGCTTGTGGGTCATACCTCTCGACCATCTTGAAAAATTGCCGGGGTATAGTTTTTATTTCTGTTTTTGATTTGGCTGTCATCTTTAGTATCTATTTGGTCTGGTGGTATCTTTTGTTTCTTTGTTCCGCCTGGTGATGTACAAATCCAGCAGATATACGAGAGCCTGAATGTTACCTTTATAATCTTAACTCTTATCTGTCGCTTGTGCTTATGTGTCTCCTTTCGTTTCTTAGCACTTTACAGCTTGAATGTGGAACATTGCTCACTCACCTCTAGAACAATTCTAAAAGTTGCTGATGCTTTGGATTCGGAGTCAGGACTTTCACAACTCTATATAGGTAAACTTTTGAATTTGTTATATGGAGTCATTTTTCAGTCTTGTATTCATTTAGCTATAAAAAATGGTGTATCCGTACTTGTATGGCAGGTCATAACAACCCTGTTTCAGGGAGTGCTATTCAAAACCTCTTGGCTAAACTGGCTACTCTAAGCAGGTTGAAAAAAATAACATCAAGCTGCTTCTTTACTTTTCTACTTCTGTAGATCGCTAATACTATCGTATGTTAAACCATCACAGCTTTGTAGAATTGAGCATGAGTGGCATAAAGATGAGCAGCCAAGTTGTTGATAGCCTTTCTGTACTTGTTAAGACTCCATCTTTCTCAAAACTTTTGCTTGGCAGCTCTGGAATAGGAACGGTAATGATATTGCTAGAACCTCTGAAATGAATTCTTATATTGTGATAAATGCACCCCTTTTTCATATGACGATTTTATACAAATTATTTTAGGACGGAGCTATAAAAGTCACTGAATCTCTATGCTACCAGAAGGAAGAAACTGTGAAGCTAGACCTTTCATGTTGTGGACTAGCGTCTCCTTTCTTTCTAAAGCTCATCCAAGATATTACTCTAACTTCTAGCATTCTTGAGCTCAATGTCGGTGGAAATCCAATTTCTGAAGAGGTATGTTTTCTATGACTTCAACATCCTAAAGCTCTTGCCTCTAAACTCTGTTGAGGCTAAAATGGGAGAGAATAAGCTAAAGAATTTTACAATCGATTAAACTCGTGATTTTGTTATCATTTTAAAGCTCAGAACCGATCTTCGGACTAATGTAAAATCCTGCCTTATTAAATCTGATCCTCTGAAACAATGTACAAACAGGGAATCAGTGCACTGGGGATGCTGCTTATGAATCCTTGTTCAAACATAAAAGTTCTGATTCTAAACAAGTGTCATCTGAAACTCTCTGGAATTCTATGCATAATTCAAGCACTTTCAGGTCTGAGCTATAATTTTCCATAATTCTCTTGTAGTAGCCGCTATTAAACCAAATATCTTCTCCTTTTTAAACTATCAACTTAACATTTTCAGATAATAAGAATCTCGAAGAGCTTAATCTTTCCGAGAATGCTAAGATGGATGAGACTGTGTTTGGCCAACCTGTGAAGGAAAGCTCAGAAATGGGACAGCAAGAACATGGTACATGTGAATCAGTGACAGCAATGGACAAAACTCAAGGAGTTGAGACAAAACACCATTACCAGAACCCAGACAAAGAACAAGAGTTGTGTGAAAGCACTATGGAGTATGCTGGTCTTGAAGTTCCAGACAGCGAAGATGAGCAAATAGAGGAACAAACTGCAACCTCGAGTAGTATGAGTTTATCACGCAAGAACCATATCGTAAAAGAGCTTTCGACCGTTCTTGCAATGGCTAACCAATTACAGAATCTCGACCTAAGCAACAATGGGTTCTCAGTTGAAGCCTTGGAAACATTATACTTGGCATGGTCATCATCAGGATCTCGAACCGGCATAGCCCAAAAGCATGTGAAAGATGAGATTGTCCATTTTTATGTCGAAGGAAAGATATGTTGTGGAGTCAAATCATGCTGCAGAAAGGATTGAAAAATCTTCCTTAAAGATCTTCCTCGTCTGAAACTGTACTGTATTTGCCAATGTGAACTCTTCAGGAATAAAGCCTCTCATTATTCTTCTGGTGCAACAGCTTTGTTAGATTAATGCTTGACTTCAGATTTTTAAAAATAAAACCTCAATTATTGTAACCGACCATTGAGTATTTAGACCGTTTCAGAATCTTGTACATGTTGATATACGATTTAGGAGATAAGTTTTTGTGGTGTATGTATAAATGCTGAAGTTGAAGTGTTCAGTAGAGTTTATCTGCTCATGTACCAATAATACAGTATGTACAATATGTTGATCTTCGGTTTGGTTTTGGTAGACTTTTGGTCTGTAGTCAACTTAAAAACATTGTAAAATGTATTTTTTATATATTAATAAGTAAAGTTTGGTCTGGTCTTTGAATTTTTCAGATATAACAAGAAGTACAACTATTTTGATCAACTAAAAGTATAGTTAAATTTTAAGTTCTACTGGATAAATTAGGAGGCTAATCAAGATGAAATAGCTCATTTATAAAGGTGCATAACTTTTAGGAAATTAGAAACTTATCTAAATTTGTGTTATTATATAAAGTAAACTTTTAAAAAGGAAGTTGTGGTTAATATTTCTTAGTAAAGGGATGTAATAATGAACAATTGAGAAGGTATACGTGTATTTGTAATTTTAGAATCGATTGCGGAATTATCGGATATTAATATCTAATCATTCTTTATTTAACGTGTAATACCATTATCACCATCATACCTTACGAATCATGCCGTGTCCGCCATTTACTCTTCCAATTAAGCGAGCAATAATTAATATAAATGTTCGGAGTTATTACTTAAATATGGATGTATGTAAATGTAATTTTATGAAAGATAAGCAGATAGTAATTTAATCAAAAGAAAGAAAAAAAAAAGACATCGTAGTTTGTATAGGTTAACTTATTTAGGTATGGTGAGCTTTTCCTATGTAGCTATGTAGAGAGGAAAAAAAGTAAGCTTTTGAACATTTGTATGCATCCGACCTTCGGCGGAAAATTTAAGCTTAACTTTTTGTTAAAACGGCACATCTTTCGGCTTCGTGCCTATTGCTATAGCTGATCTTTTTCTTAATATATAATCATATATTCTACTTGATCATGCTTTCCATTAAACCATCCATAACACAATTATAAGTGAAAAGGAAAAAATGTATTATACTTCACATATATATATATATGTAATCGTTATGGAAAAAATAGTTGATTACGTGCATAATCTTTCGTTAAAATATCGGATTTTCTTAGGCCAATGTAAATTTTAGTTTTAAAAACTGATTGGCAAGTAAATGAGTTTCATGTTTTCAGATAAAAATAATTTCAAAACCAAAAAGTTATAGTAAACGAGTGAAAATAATATATATATATATATATTATATATATAAACGAGTGTCAAATCAATCCGGGCGTGGCGGGATGGGTTATTGGACACTCTGTACATGACGAAGGCTATTATTATTTTTACGATTTTACGTTAATAATTTAACCTTGCGTGATCTTTTGGACTATCCTATTTCACTCTTTCGATTTCGTTTCCTATTCTGTATTATATTTTACAATTTTAAAAATAGCTTCATGCACTGACTATTGTTTCACTATCTTATTATATTCTTTATCCAAGAATATATAAAAAAAAAATAGAAGACATTGTTTCTTCTCTTCAAATTTCATTGGTTGAACGAGTAAAAGATGACCCACGGTGTTCTCTAGATGGTAATGAAGTTGCTGGTCTTTCTTTTTGAAAAGACGATGCCATTATATATCAACAGCTTTGATATTATTAGAAATCAGTAAATGATTAATTAGGTGAAGAAAAACTAAACATGTCAAATTATATTAACGAGATTGTTGCATTCTAATATCTCATCTCGTAAACTTTAATTACATATACCAAAAAAAAAAAAAAGAGTAAGAATAGCAAAACCCAGACCTAATCACAATATCTTTGATCACTTCTACTCTAAAGAAGTTACATGCAAGCCAAGAAACTGACCAAAAGATCGAGGAACAATTAAAAGGGGTCAAACATATGAAACCCTAATTACATGTCAAAGCAAACATCAGAGATCGATGAATGATCTTGAACCCTTGTTTTGTGTATATGACTGCATGCATTACATATATCATATAAAGTAATCTAGAGAGCGCGTGATCATGGAGACAAGAATGCTTGTATACCAATGTCATTGTGTTTTCGTGAAGGACCAGAAGCTGGAACAGGGAAGTGTCTTGGCAAGAACCCTAAGAAATGGCCTCTCCTCATAGTGTTCTTGTTGTGATCTTTATTAGGGTTTCTGAAGAAAACGCTTGATGGTGACGAGGCTCTCGAGGCGTCGCAGTGGTGAATGAAGAAGAAGCAGAGGATCAGAAGAAGAAGAGCTTGTGGGTTTAGCGATAATCTTTTTCTCCAATAATGTGGATGCGTGAGAACCATTTTTCTGTGTTTCGAATCTGAATCAACGAATGAGATCAACACAGATGTTTTTGTTTGTTTCAGTTTTGGGCAAGTGGGTTTTAGTTGAGGATTTTTGATAGAGTAAAAGATGGTAAGTAGTGATGAGATCAGCAGATTCAGAGAGAGAGAGAGAGATGAGCTTTTGAAAGCAACCCCTTTTGAACAAGTCTCTCTTTGGCAGGAACAATTATAATGGCCAACAAAACTAGATAAAGGTAAAGGAACTGAACATGCATTTATTGCATTTTATTTATTTGAATCACTGTCACTCAACAATCACTTGTGTAAATCTTTTTTTAATTTTATAAATAATGTTTCTTCTTTTGCGTGGAAAATGTATCCCTTATTTAATACCAAAAAGAATTTGTGTATATAATAGAAAACCATGGATTTAGAATTTATTCTTTTATATAGATGCAGTGTCAGGTGGACCGGGGGACATGAGAAGCAGACTATAAGGAAACAAATAGAATTAAAAAAACGAAAAAGCGATAATGGAATTTTCAATTTTGAGGCATATGTTCACCTTTTTATTTCTTTAAATTTCGCTATGACATAATTTTTTTATTATTCCCTCTGTTAATAGAGAATTCCATAAAAAGTTTTGTTCACAATCTCTATTAGCACTTCTAATATTTCAAGAAAAAGGTAGATGATTTTTTTTTTTTTGTTAAAACAGTATGAAAATGCCAACAAGTCTACAGCTTCTGATACGTATCTTGATATCTTCTCAGCAACTTCAAGCTATATTTTGTCTCTCAGATGCTGTCATCCAATGTTACATGAAATTGTACAGAAATTATTTACAACAAACGTAGTGTCCTATCCTACGCATACGTTATATCACACAATGGTTTATAGCAAAAATGTTAATATAATGCATTGAAACAAAGAATGGTTCAGAGATAATAATTTATAATAGCTAAAATGGATGGTCAATGAAGAAGGTTTTTGGGTCCCCAGTCCCAAAAGTTAAGGTCAAGAAGATAGAAAGTGGGAACAAGTTCCTCTGTCCATTTTTATTATATTCTCAGTCATTGTTTCTTGTCTTTCGATAATGTATTATTTAATTAATGTTAGTAATATCATTTGGTTAATTTAGTGCCACACTGCCACTTGTAGTGTCTGATGAGCCAACCATTTGTCCAAGTATACTTTTTCTTTTTTTGTCAAAGGATGGTCCAGTTACTTCATTAATAAAGTTTTGTATTTTAAATGCTGGAGTACTTTTTAATGTTTAACACAACGATGTGCTCAAACCTAGTAATAATTTAGTAATTTCTATTATTATTGTTGATGTTTTTTTTTGAACTTTATATTACTAATGTTGTTGTATCTTGCACATTTATGTTCAGTAAAATGCATGTTACTAGTAGAAAACAAAAATAAAACAAGGGGTGATGCGTTTGTTACAGTAATTTGCTAATCTATAATCTATATAGGTGTCACTGGTGTTGGAATTTGAACATAGATAGATTCTCTAAAAGCACTACGTTACACAAACATATTTATAGATCCATTAATTGGATTAGTTCCACATCTTACCCAAATTTCTTTATCAATCGATATTAGATTGTTTTTTATTTATCAAAAAAAAAAATGTATCAGCTAAAATCAAATTTCGAATTCACTGTTCTTAAAAAACTTTAATAGACATTCTTAAGCAAACTCCGGCCACTAGTAGTCTTGTAATTAAAATATTACGAAGAATATTCAAGGTAGAAATTAAGGCATAATTGCTCTGCTTTTAACAAGAGAAACATAATTGACATGCTTCTTTAATCATCAAATTGAAGCCCATATAAATGGGCTTATAAGTATCCATTATGGTTACTCATATCACTTTTCTAAAAGTTTTTTTATATTTGTTTTATTTTTTACAGCACCTTTGATAAAAGTTTTTTTTTCCCCCGGATTAGCACGAATTGTGTTAATCGTTAATAATGCCTAGTATATAATTGTGATATTAGTGACACGAAATTCCGTATATCATTGTATAAGCATATAATGGCTAAGCATATAATGGCATTCAAGACACATTATGCATATTAATAATTTTAAAAGAATGTTGAACTTTTCAACACAGTACTGATTTAAGATGTGTGTTTCAGTAAGCACAAATTCGGACTATGTGCCTTCAACTTAAGTGTATATTAATACCTTTGACTGTATAGTTGTCGATTATTAATCTACAATAGAGACGGGTTTCAATTAAAACGTTGAAGGAGTAGTAGTTCTGTAAAGAGAGAAAACCGAAAACTTTCAGATTTCGAATACCAAACATGCAAAAAAATGACTAAATTAACCTGGTTGAATCTTCGATCCATGCAAATTAATTTTTATCAGAGATTCCATCTGAAATCAAATTGGATCGGCACCACAAAGTATACGAGACTATTTTTGGTCACTTTCATAATTTAATATCAACAAAAAAGTGTTCCATATCCCTGCATAAAATACTATCCCCAGTAAATAATTTTATCAGTACATGCATAGATCGTGCATTATATTTTACATATGTATAGCGACACGTTTAGTAACAAATTGTATATGAATAGCCCACACGAGCAAATACCCCCTCGTACGAACGAAATCGTTTTCAATAATCCTTTTCAATTATAAATTTTGCTTCTCTTGATTACATATAAGTGTGATCAAAAGTTTTCCCGTATATTAAGGAACAAAAGGATGATCTTTTTCCCATGATATAAGCAAAAATAAATCGTTACGGAATTATATGTAATCGCACGCGAATGAATTATCATTGCTCCTATGTTACTTTGCGCGATTCCTCAATTTACTCTCATCACCTCCTTAATTACCCGTAGCGTGTGAAAATCTTCATCATTACAATTATTTTATTATCATTATTAAAGTTTATGATTATAAGGTTTTTCAACTTTTTTTTTAATGTAAAAC